GATCATGACTATGAAGAAGAAGGTATTCAAACTCGAAAACGTAGACCTAAAAATCCAGCAGGATCAAGTTCCCAATTACAACAACAACAGCAACAACAACAGCAACAACATCAGCACCAGCAACAACACCCGCAACAACAACAACAACAACAGCAGCTACAAAACCCGAATCAACTTCAACATCAACACCAACAGCAGCCATCGTCGATGCCACAAACACAAAATCATCAACACCAAATTCCACCTCAAACACCACAATTACAGCAACAAGTACAAGAAGCGCAACAGCAACAGCAACAACAACAGCAGCAAGGTCAACAAGAACCCCAACAACATCAATTACAGCAACAGCCACAATCACACCATCAACAGCAATTACAATCACAACAGCAATCCCAACTCCAATCAAACCCACAATCGCAACTCCAACAAAACCAACAACCACAACAGCCCCATCTACATCAGCAACAACAGCAACCAATGATTGTTATGCATATGAGTGTCATTCAATCATTAACTTCTTTGGACGATTGATGTTACATCTAGATACATTTGGGGTTACAAAGGTAGCATGGCATGATCATTGTTCATAAGGATAAATTGAAACATTAGAACTTTTTTGTAAGGTTGATGAAATATCGTTTAATTTGTTCAATTAAAGTGTTTGTATATGTGTGCGAGTGTATGTTAAGAAAAGATAGAAAGAAGAATAAAGAGGAAGAAACAGAGAAATAGAAGATAGAGAGTGTCAAAAAAGTTCTGGTTGATGAATTAAGCTCAATAAATTAAAATTAAATGTTAACCAGAGAGATCTTTTTCATCATACAATGTTTGATCATAGATTTCAGCTTTTACAATTCGTCCACCAAAGAATCTACCATTTAATGAGTCTCTTGCTACGATAGCCTCTGTGATTATATAAAAGAAAATATAAAATACAAGAAACCAGTTAAATTGATTGAAAATAAAATTATAATAATAATAATTATAATTACAATTATAATAAAATGATAATATGATGCTATGAATTAATAATTTCAATTTTTTACCTTGACTATTACTCTACAAATTATTTGACTATAACTTCAGCGTCATCTTCTGGTTGTTTTTCTTCTAAATAATGACACGGTTCACAATTCCAAATTTACCACATTTGTTCAGTTACTTTAGAATCAAGAGCATCATCAATATCTTCGACACCAACCATGTTACGTAAGACCACCACTCTTGACTGAAAAAAAGTTAGATAAATGTTTTATGAGAAAGGCTCAATTTCTTAGATGATTTAATAACAGTCGCTATTCTCAAAATGTCTCATTGTCATAGTTTCCAAACAAATAATTTTTTTGCAAGATTTGCACAAAATTCAATCTAATTATAATTACCATTCAATGTGTATAATTGTTTTTGGCAACAAAGTAACATAAATTAGCAAAGTTTGGTTAATTTGATAGTTAATTACGCCAAAACTTTGATTAAAAATTAAAAGACTATTTTTTGGTAAATTTCTGTGTAAATAGCAATAAGACTTACCCCAACAAGTTACATCTGACAATGTGGGGATAATGACTGTACATTTAAAGTTATTACAGTACGGCCACCTTTGACTCGATAGAATTTCATTTATTCGACTAATTAAAGGTATTAAAATAGCTTATTTCCATTTATCCTCAATTAATTTCAGCGTGATTGGCTGAGACCATCAAAAAGCCAACAATTTAAGGGTTATCCGCATTGTCCCTCAGTATCGGATATTATTGCACCAATATCCACACAGCATTATTCGTCAGCGATTTTTTCCACTTGCACTTGAATCTCTAGAAAACACAGAGACATAATTAACTTCAGGATTAAAAGTTCACTTAAAGCTAATAACAAAATAAACTTTATAATCTTAATAATAAACAACTATAAGACGTTTAAAAATATTTAAATGAACAATCTCAAGATCAAAAAATACCCTTGATAGATGTGACGATAACAAGTTTAAAGTAAATTCAATTTTTGTAAACATTGACCAATTCGTAATCAATTTTATCAAACCGCCACATCTGCAAATATCACCGCTAGATGGAGTTGAATCAACTCACAAGTCAGTTGATTCCAATTAAAAATTTAACTTTTGAACTCAGATGAATTCAATCTTTTGTAATAAAAAAGTATATCTGATTTAAAACCTTTTGGTGAAAGTTCCCTGTAGGTATGTTGATTCATCCAGGAGATAGAGCTTGACGACCAAAATAAGGCCACACGTGAAACAGGCGAACCACTGGTCAGAGGAAAATAAGCTCTTACGTTAGATTATAGCTGATGATATAAGAACCATTTTGAGCCGATTGGGATCAAATTTGATGGAAACACCACAATTAAGTATCGATTGAAATTAAATGACCTAACCGCTATAACACATGATCCACGCTTGAAAAATATTTCCTTACCTTAAACGATAACCTAACTGAGGACAATATTTACACAAATCTTCAGAACTCTTTCATGACTGGTTCATGAGAAAGTTGTTTCAATCAGAAAGATCAAAAATTGCTATAACTAAAGCAAGATTGGGACAAAACGTGACATCCTTCGGACCTTTTGAAAAGACTCAACATGGTTTTCAATGTCCTCTTTCATAGCTTTAATTTTCAATTTGCCGAGCGGTGATTTTTCGTGGCAAAAACCCTTTTTTAAATAAAATGCGATAATTTTAAAGTAAATAATTGTTTGCTTTTCAATTGATTGATAAAAATTTATGCATTAATTGCTATAAAGTCTTCATAATTAAAATTAATCTTAAGCGTTTATATTGCATCAATTTGTTGACCATTTCTTCAATAGATTCTGTTTTTATTTTACTGATATATTTGCTCTAGAATTGAAATTGCTTTAGATATTTGGTCAAAAGTACTCGTCATTAATAGTCTCTTAATAACCTTTAATTCTGGCCTTTTAATCTGTCAACTTGGAATAAAGACAATTTAATTTAAACAAGTTCTTTGTCGTTCATTTGATATGCGGTTCGTTATTTAATTTTCAAAAATGGCTCTTCCAGTCAACACAACAAATCAGTTTACTAGGCATGACTTGTTAGAGTAGCTGTAGAAGGCGTTTACAAAATGGCGCTCATCATTCTTTTTCTGGCTTATTCAATGCTAAAATGCTCAGCTCAAGCTAGGATCAAAAATCTTAAATATTATTCTTGTTCTTTTGTGGTCGGTTTCTCACCATATATTTCTCTCTCACTTTGGTGTCTCCTGTGTCTCTCTCTCGTTTTTTCATCATCTTCATCATCTCCTTCATCATCCTCGTCTTTATTAAATAAATAAATAATAATAATCATCATTGTTACAATTTAGTTAAATACCATGATCAAAAGAAAAGGTGGTTACTCTCTTTCTTATTGCTTATTCCTTTGTCAGAAAATGATACTTTTTGTGATGAATTTTACTAATTGATATCCTCTTTTTTCTCTCTCTCTTCCTCATCTTATTCTTTTGTCTTCTCCTCTCCTCATTACATTCTGCTATCCACTCTTAACCATCTCTTTTTTCAAATCTTTTTTCATCTGTCCCTCTCTTTTCCCTCTGTCTACCTTTCTTTCTCTTTCTCTCCTCTCTTTCTCCCTCTCTCTCTCTCTAACTTCAATCTTATGAATCCTTCTCCATCTCTCATGTAATCTAGTCGGAGGCAGAGGTCCCATTTCGAATGGACCAATGCATACTAGACCTCTAGTTGCCCTTTTGGACGGACGTGATTGCTCAGTTGAGATGCCAATATTGAAAGATGTTGCAACGGTTGCCTTTTGTGATGCCCAATCTACACAGGAGATTCATGAGAAAGTGTTGAATGAGGCTGTTGGAGCCCTTATGTGGCATACAATTACTTTAACTAAAGACGATCTCGACAAATTTAAGGCTCTTCGCATCATTGTTAGGATTGGTTCAGGAGTGGATAATGTTGACATTAAAGCTGCTGGAGAATTAGGTAAAGTGCAACTTTTCTTTTGTTTTGTGAGTTACTGCCCTTCAGCTTATGCTCTTGCAGCCCAGGGTTGCATTTCTCAGTGATTTGCTAATCTAAATCTTCTCATATTTAGTATTTGCATTTGTATTTGTATAACCACTGTCAATGCTTTCAAAAACTCCTGCTATTATTGCTATGCCGGCTTACTTTATTCTTTCATTAATATCAACTTTATTTTCTTTCTTTAGGTATTGCTGTTTGCAATGTACCCGGTTATGGTGTCGAAGAAGTAGCAGATGCAACCCTTTGTTTAATATTGAACTTATATAGACGGACTTACTGGTTAGCAAATGCTGTACGAGAAGGTAAAAAATTTCAAGGGCCTGAACAAATTCGTGAAGCAGCAGCAGGATGTGCTCGAATCAGAGGAGATACCCTAGGAATTGTTGGTTTAGGTATGCACTTCTTTTTTAATGACATTTACCCAAACTTTCGATTTCCCTCCTAACCTATTTCTTTGTAATATTTCAGGACGAATTGGTACTGCAGTCGCCCTAAGAGCAAAAGCATTCGGATTCAATGTTATATTTTATGATCCATATTTACCGGATGGTATTGAAAAATCTCTGGGACTTACTCGTGTTTACACTTTGCAAGATTTGCTTTATCAAAGCGACTGTGTCTCTCTACATTGCACCCTCAATGAACACAATCACCACCTAATTAACGAATTTACAATTAAACAGATGCGACCTGGTAAGTTGACATTTCATCTGGCAGTCAGCCAACTTGCAACATCTGTTGTCATGTGTATCATTTTGCACTCAACATGGAGTTACTAATCTTTGTTGGCGCTCTTTAAATTTTACTTAGGTGCCTTCCTGGTCAACACTGCACGTGGTGGTTTAGTTGATGAAAATGCGCTAGCTGCCGCTTTAAAAGATGGAAGGATTAGAGCTGCTGGTCTTGATGTTCAGGAGAATGAACCCTATAATCCCATGAGCGGTATGTTTTGTTCTCGTTCTTTATCTTGATTTTCCCCTTTTTAGTGATAAATTTTACAATTTTTCCCTCTCTTTTTTATTCCTTATTGATTAATTTTAAATTAATAATTTTTTCTTACAATTGGTGCTCAAGGTCCACTCAAGGATGCCCCTAACTTGATAGTTACACCCCATGCAGCATGGTATAGTGAGGCAAGTTGCACTGAGCTTCGTGAAATGGCAGCCTCTGAAATAAGACGAGCCATAGTCGCACGTATACCGGATTCACTCCGTAACTGTGTTAACAAAGAATATTTCGTCTCAAGCGCTTATGGAGAGACTTTAAATGGGTCCACAGGATATAACTTCCATTCGATGGCTCCCCACTCTACAACTCTTGACTCCATGCCTACCGGAGCTCCTGGAGCAGCAGCAGCAGCCCATGCAACCCCTCATTCGACACTTCAAGAAGCCGTTCAATTAACTCCTAAGCCAGAGAGCTCGGAGCTTCATTAAAGTTATCATTCATATTTGAGAAAATAATTACTCAGACACCACCAACAAACAACAAAAATTTAATACAATCTTCAAAAAACCACCAAACAAACAAATAAACAAATCATAAAAGAAGTAAGCTGCAGTTTGGTTGACAAAAATTGAGATAAACACCACCTCAAAACCCTTTTTCATAAAAAGAAACAAAATACACCTACACCAAACAACACATACATAAAAAATTATTTGAAAGCCATCCAGCTGAACCCTTTTCTTGCTATAAGTCCCTTTTCTTCTCAACGAAACAGAAACAAAAAAGATTGAGGATAGGTGTGATGTACTGATACATGGAACCATAACTTCCTCCATTCTTTTAATTGTTCATCTGCGGACATCTGTAGGAAAAGTTCAATATCAGAATCGATCCTCTTTTATCACTTTGTAATATCTCCTCTTCATGTTCAATTAATTTGATTAAAAAACGGTATGGTGAACGATTTGTACTGGAGACAGATTTGAATATCCTGGGATAGATTTAAAATTGTTGTTGAAAGAGGACGATTGAAACTTTAACTACTGGCATAAAACCAATAGCTAACTTGATCTTTTTCCGATACACTTTCTCATCCTTGATTAATCCCATTCACACAAATTAATGAAGATATGGTTACATGATTCCAATTATATGTCTCACCTGACCAATCATCGTCATCATCATCATCACCATCCACAAAAATCATCTTTCACCATCCAAAAATTGTTATTTAATTAGGCGGATATTTAATTATAACCGCTTCTGAGAGAGCTTCTTGGATTCCATTCCAATGTAGCTAAAATCAACCATGGTAATCGTAACAATCATCTTTCTTTGCAGTTTATGATTAAAAGCAAAGGCTATTTTATCAAAGGAATCAGCTTTTTCTTCCAACGGTTAGATCAAACATAATTAGTGATCAAAAAGCAATGCCTCCAGAGGAAATTAATTTATATTAAAGATTAGGCTTAAGATTAGTTTTGCAATTACAAAAATCAAATCGGTTCAATTTTATGGGTTGGATATTAATAAAACTTCAATATAAACATACGCGCGTTTTACAATATAAAATATTCATTTTTGAAAATAATTTCATTGTTCAATAAATATTGAAATACAATATCTTAATTAACTATTTCAAATATTTATCATTCGATCCTCCAAATTCAAATAAACAATGAAGTAACTCAATAGATCTAGATTTTCACTTGCAAGTTATGTATCTGAAATCCTGCAATTATACATACATCCAGTGGTGGGTCAAAATAGCAAAATCAAATGAACAAAAGGACAAAATCGGTTAAATCAATTTCAAATTGATATTTCCATCGATTTTATGCAGTTACGGGTAAATAAATCAAAAAATTGTCTGATTATCAGTTTAATCGGGGAAAAATAATTCTAACTCTTTGATAAACTGTATAAAAGCGTGAATTTAATGGGACCGGCTTTTTTCCACCGTATTGTCCACCACCCAAAACTAAAATCATCTACAGACTTTTCTCATCAAAATTGTTCACCACTTTTCGGATATGATATGTATAATAGATATGGTGGTGATTAATAGTGGATGTGTTGGTGGACAATACGGTGGAAAAAGTGATTTAAAAGAGATTGAAAAGGTGGTGGAAAAAGCACTTTGAAAGTGGTGGACACTGTGGTGGGAAAAAAGCCGGCCCAATTTAATACATTTTACAATTGTAACTTTTGATTTTTCGTCTCTTGGTCATTTGCTTTTGCTGTTTTGAACTCAACCCCTTTTGATAGTTCCTCTCAATATTTCACCGATTCAATTTCCCCAATCAATTTCATCTGAAATAATTTATCCTTTCAATTTAAGGTAAAATATAAAAATATGAGAAGACATTCAACCAATGCTCCTAATGCTATTCTTTCTGCCATCTTTTTTGTGATATACTCGTTAATGTATTCATAAATCTGATATAAATGGTTTAATCAATTTAAAGCTATCGTAAATATTATTTGTTGGTCTTTGCCTCTCTTCGCAAACCAAGCTTGGATTATGATCTTGTTAATGAATGAAAATAATCATTTTGATAGAGTGAGTTGAATTCATGATCAATACAGTCAGACCATTAATTGATTAGTAACTTGTTTTCGTGTACAGTGTTTTGCTGACAACTCTTTCAATCTTCGTCGTTTTGTTTGATATCTGTAAAAAGCAAGGACATTAATATTGATATATTTTCATATTTATTATACAGTCGTACTTTTGGAGGTTTGTTTTCCTCTCTTTGGCAAAATTTGCGCTAATGGCACTTGAATGAAATAAAAAGCGATTTTTAACGTTCGGAAGCCTGCGAAGCTATGAAAAATAGTCGATTCATTGCGTATTTCCGCCAAGTTTTGGGGAAAAATGATAATCATTTAAGGATGATTTCAAGCATGGAAAGCACAAAACTGTTGTTCAGAGCATTATCAAAATCTAATACATTGAAACCCTCGTTGTTTTTGATATTAACCATATCAGCTTTGGTCATATGAGATGCAATGGCGAGGCAGACATCTTTAAAAATGTGTTCAGATCCTTCATTAGCGTAATTACCAACTTTATTGTAAAATCCATTGATTGCTGCCATCAATGGCGTGAAACCGTCCACAGTTTTAGCATTTACATTGGCTCCGTGTTTAATCAAACACTTGACAACATCATTTTTACCCTTTACAGAGGCCCAATGAAGTGCAGTCCACATATTACGATCACCTTTACTAATATCAGCTCCTTTCTTCACCAACAAATCAATTATCTCCTCAAATTGGCCTTCGTCAACCATATGAAGAGGTGTATTACCAGAAGAATCTCTTGATTTAACATCAGCTCCTTTGCCTAATAAACGTTTAACCTCAGCTAAATCACCCTTGGAACAGGCTTCACGTAAATCTTTATTCTGAAAAAAGGTAAGAGAAGAAATAGTTGAGAAATTAGCAAAAATATTCAAAATCATGATCAATAATCATAATCACAAGAAAATAAAACTTGAGATGAAACAAATCGCAGTTTTCAATCCTCTTCCATTGGACTGGGTTATTGTCTTATATTTGATTCACACTTAAGTAATCACAATTTCACGTAGATGAACTCAGTGATGAATAGTCCAGTTAATGTTCAACTCAGATTAAGTAATTAAAATTGATGAGATGTCTAATTAACTGGACCAAAAAAGGCGTAAGATGGTCGAGTAACAAAGAAATTGAACTATGAATAAAGATTTGTTACTTACTTCAGTATTAGCAGACATGATGATTCAATAGACAAACCAACCAACAAAATATGTAAAACTAAATGTGTTCCGATTTTATTGATGAAACAAAATTATTGAATAAAGAGATTTGGTTTAACTTGGTCTTCCTTCTGATAACTAATAGTAAAATGAAGTTAACTCAAAAATTACTGATTCACTAGAGCAATCGAGCAATCGTTGTGAACTTGCCAAATTTGTCTAGTCTCTAAAGATGAGTGTTTACGCAGATTTCTTGTTTTTGTAAAATTCAGATTTGTTTACAGTTTCATCTGCTCAACTAATCACTCTTTCTTGCCTTCCTACACCTCAACTAACCTTGTTAATTCACTCAATTTTGCTGCTTTGAACCCGAATCATTTATCCTGACTCATGTAAGTGAAGTCAAATAATTGAATTAGATTGAGAAATATAACAGTTTAAAATATTATTGAATACAGAATAGCTCGTGCATTAACTGTCCAAATTATTATAGCTTTTCGGCATATCCTGGTTAATTCAACTTTAAATAAACCATCGAGAATATCAAACACAACAAAACACCGCAAAAATTCATATCAACGCATTACAGTAAACTCTCTTTTTTTGGCAAAAAAAGAGCCACATGCTGACTGATAACATTCAACATGGAAAAATTCTGGTGTTTACATGTTACAAGGTGAAGAGTTATAGTACCTGATGTAATTATCGTAAGTCACTGACCGAAGGATCTTAAATTGCTGTGAAAATGGTCATAAAAGACCAAATCGTCAATGAAATATCGAAATCCTCTTTTCCCATTTTGTCAGGTTTTGTGAAAATCGATGTTTACTGTAACTTGATTCCTCCACCAATTAATATACGTAATAGTTTAGAATAACACTTTTCTGTTGTTCTATGGATACTTAATCAAATTGGGTTAACTATAGTTGAAAATAATAGACTCAGAAAATAGTTGAAGAATCATTTTAAAATTAAAAATTTGAACAATCCACATTTTTTGGTTGAATGACGGAGTCTTGTACTCTTACCAAAATATCGATATATACGGACTCGATACTGTTAGTCATAGTCTTGTCATTTCAGTGTTTCAACTGTTATTTGCAACTGTTGATGAAACGTTCAAGTATTGTTTGTGCCTAATTTGTTTTGTGGATTCTTTTATTTTTTTTATCATTTTTTAATTACTAATTTTGTATTCGGAACAATGTAAGTAAAGCATTTTTACTATTAATCTCAATGTTTATTTAAATACGTATTCAAACGTTGTATGTAAAGGTGGAAGAGCAACAAGTGAAATTAACCTTCAAACCTTGTTAACTCCCCTTAATATAAAACTAGTCTAAACAACCTTTAGTGTGTGTAGCTTCTTTCCTCTTTTTGTCTCACAGTATTTTTGTCTCTTAGCTGTTTAGTCAGATATATTTCTTCAAAGATTGTTATGAGTTACTAGATTATCAAGCCATTTGCATCTAACTTTTCAAAAACCTGTTCTAATTGTCACTTTATTTTTCTGTTTTTTATGATAGGTCTGCTGGATTCGGAGGTGATGCTAACCGGCCATCAGGTGGTGGACCTGCCACATCTAAACGGCTTCAACAGACCCAGGCTCAGGTGGAGGAAGTTGTCGGAATCATGAAGACTAATGTTGAAAAAGTCTTAGAAAGAGATCAGAAGTTAAGTGAATTGGATAACCGAGCTGATGCCTTACAACAAGGTGCCTCACAATTCGAGCAACAAGCTGGTAAATTAAAGCGGAAACAATGGTGGAGAAACATGAAAATGATGGCAATTTTAGCTGGAATATTTATTATCTTTCTTATTATTCTGATTGTCGCTCTACAATAACTAAATATTCTGTGAATCTCTCTTCTCTTCTTTTTCCTTTTTCCAACCTTAATAGAAGAAAGAGAAAATGTGATAGTATTAATTTACGTGAAAAATTATGAAAATTTCATATTTTTTCAGGAATAATCACAATCAACTAACCTTCCATTTTATTCAACAAATCTTTTCCCAGTTTGACTTTTAATGGAATAGGCTCATGCTTTTCCAATTCTGTTTCGTGCATCTTTTCAATAGCTTGGGTCCAACTTAAGCCAATCCATTCAGCCTCTTCCAACTGTAAAAACAAATTAAAGCAAAACATTATTTATTAAGCCGACAACATTTCATAAATCACGGAGATAGAAGCCATGAAAGAAAATGTTATCTAGAGTTTAGAAGTTGTTTATGATCATTAGGTTTGTAGCACAAAATGCTTTAATTAGGTTATAATATTAATAGATTGGGAAAATATGACTAAATAATACAACAATGATTGGCAGTTTTTTCCGTCGTTTCATTAGAATTATGAAAGGTTTAATCATCTGATACCATCAATAATTAGTCATTCGTAAATAAAATAAATTAGATAAACTTACCGGTATTTTACAATCTTGATATTTATTTTTTACGATTTCATATTTTTCTGGATTATTAGGATGATAGGATTCCTTGGCCAGAGCTATCAACATTTTTCGTCTAAGTTTCAGCGCTAGACGTGATTGAAGATCTTGAATAGGAGTTCTAAGAATATAATTATCAAATCCGTGGGCTTCGTGAATTTTATTCAAGGCATGTTTGGTGCACAAAATGCTTAAATAAGTATCAAGCACCTCACTATATACAGTTGTCCGGAAAACATTGGGCACCCAAACTTTGGCATTTCTGAAAACAACAAAAAGTTAAGAGTTGGTTAGAAATAAATAGGAAAAATATAGACCATAGAACCATTATACATACGAGAAATATAAGCAGTTTAAACTCACCTAACATGTTTATCTCGGTACAATTGTCTTTTCGGTAGATCAAATCCAGTAACAGCATTCTCACCAGCAAATATAGCTTCATTTGAATTACCTAATTCTCTAGTACCAACTGGCAGGTCAGGAACTCGTTCGCTATATGGTAAGACGGTATAAGCGAAAGATGATTAACATACTAGAGATTTAGTTTGATTATTGTATAAATACTTACATTCTTAATGTTTTTGCATCAACTAGCTTATAATCAAGAAGATCTCCAGTAGTAGGGTCATCGTGTGCACGAACAGGAGGCTTTGTTAGTTCTAAACGATATTTAAGATAATGCTCAGGAAGACGGCGAAAATATGGATTCCTCATCCAACCAAAAGGATAAATATTTTTAGATAATTTTATCAAGTTCATTATGTAAGACTACGGTTCAGAATTACCACAAAATTATAAATGATTAAACGGATGATTTGAGATTGATAATGAATAAACGGATTAAAGTAAACATCAACCAGAGTAAGGGAAAGATGTTCACTTTTCATGTGTTTTAAGTTACCATGGAAACAAAGTAAATAAAGTAACTGATCATATTCCATGTTTAATTGTCTAATAGACAAGGTTAAAATTAAATCATCAATTTGAGTGTTTAATGATAATCAATTTTCCATTCAATACATTGAACAATTTAAGAATAAATTGCTTTTAATCTAGATAAAACAAAAATCTAAAAACACGAAACCAACAAGAGAGATTGTATCTGATCCAATCTTAATCGCTTTCAACTGTTAAATTTACCGGTTTTTCAGTTATTGAAGCAATTTAGTGAACTGTGGACTTAAAATTAAAATATTTGGAATAAAATTAAATGTCATTTTGTATTTTGAATTATTGATCAGCCAAAGCAATGGCCAACATTGTTATAAAGCAAGAGAAGCTGCAAATTGAATTCAACTTTTCATTGAAAAGGGAATAATAGAAGACGAAAATATGATTAACTTGATGGTTCAACTGGTTTAACCAGGATATTGTACGCATCATAATTTATGAAAGAAAAATCAAGTCTAAACTGAACTCTATCAACAGATTGAATTGTAATTGACAGCTAACTAAATAATATTTTGGGACTTTATTAATATTCAGAAGAGCATTCAATATTGAAACAGTTCAATGGCTATTGAAGTCAATTGTAATTGTCTTAATATCTAACATTATGTTATCAATTCACACTCATTTCTTCTTTAGTTAACCATCAAAAATTAATTCGCTATCCATTTTAATGTGAATTGAATTTCAAGCTATTGTTAAGCATAAAACTGAATACCAAATGGTTAATGAAATCGTAGTCAGATTCAAATTACAGATTAATTTGAACTTAGATTGATTATTAAAAGTGGAAAGATGATGATTGTGAAGCAGATTTGATGTCGCTTCATTTTGATTAATCGTCGTCGCATGGTTTCTTCACAATTAATTTGAGCCCTTTAAGCATCTGTTTTAAACAGTCTTCACTTTTTTGATTAAATGAAAAGCATCGATTGATCAATATCTTCCAATCAATTGTTTTAATGGATATTTAAAAGCACAAATTTTGTAAAATTAATTACGGCAATAAATTATGATTGAAAAATGTCAACGGTAAGCTCCCTCCATAACCAACATGTTAACCTTTTTTTAGTATAAAAGGCGATGGAATTGTCTAGGAAGATATCACAATCAAATCATTCCAATTGCTAAAAACAATTTAGATTAAACCCTAAAGTAAACCTTCCAATCAAAACCAACCAACATCATCAACATGAAATTCTTGTCTTCAGTAATCGTTCTTTCCTTGGCTCTCATGGCTTCTGGTAAGTAATACAAAGCTTTGTTATCTATTCACTTGAATTAACCCATTATTTTGTCACTCTTTAGCTTCACCCTTCCTTGGTCCCCTCGCTGATACAGTTCTTGGTACTGCTGCCAATGCACTTAACACCGTTACGGGAGCCGCAAGTGGTCTGATTGGGGGTGCTCTCAATGCTGTTGGTGATGTTGCAAAAGGTGCTGCCAATCTTGAGTTTGCCAAAGGAAGAGTTCTTCAAGGAGCTGTCAATGGAGTTGCTGGTCTTGGAAGTAGCGTTCTTGGTACTGGAGCACTTTCTGGACCCAATCCCGTCTCTCCAAATCCTGGTTATGGCCCTGTCTCTGGTCCTAGCTTCGGTCCTGTTTCTGGCCCTGGTTTCGGTCCTGGCTCAACCAATTTCAATAGTAACTCACGAGGATTTGACAATAGTGCTTCAGCCAACACCCATCAATTTGATGCTAGACAAACCTCATTCCAAGGCGGACCAGGAGGCATCTCAGGAACAACTACATCAACCTCTGGTCAAGCAAGCTCAGCTCGCACCAGAAGCATGGGTTATGATGATTCTACTCGGTACCAAGCTGGTTATGGATACTAAAAACATCAACTCCTAATGACTACATACTGAATGAAAAAAATCAATAACAAATTTCGGGCTTGCTCGAATATGAATTGAAACTAAAATGCTTGAATTGAGAAAAATAAACTTACCATGAAAAGTAAAAATCGACTCTAACATTTGCTTATACAAATCGCGTAAAACTTTAAACATAACATAACGCAATAGCGTAAAACATAACCATCAATGAACATGACCTATGGGAATAAGTTGGGTCTAATTGTTGAGACAATTATTTTCCTTTTACACGAAGCTTTTTACTTTTTCCCGGTAATGGATTCCAAGAAAATTAGAAGTGAGTGCAAATATAATTTAATCCGAGTTCCTGCGAAAGCTTAATCTCATTTCTGGATTTTAAAGACATTCAATTCAATGAATTTTTCAACTGCTAAAGATCCGTCTAGCTTTTTACTGTTTTGGTTAAAGTGAATGTTTTTCTAACAATTTTCGATCCATGGTAATACAATGAACCTAAAATAGTGTTGGCCTGAAATTCCTGTGCATAATTACTTGAAACTAAGTCTCAATTCCGAAGAAAATCTTAACCTCGAGGGATTACAAGGAAAAAAGGATTAACCCGAATAGACCCAAACCTTTTCCCAAAAGGTTGCTGGAAATCTTAAAAGGATCAAAAGCTAAGCAGTATTTTAATCATTTAAATACTGTAATGAAATAATGAGTGAGATTAAGCTGGATAATTTTCAATTGCATTTGTTGTTCATTTTAGATTGATAAGTTGCTCGATTCCTTCATTAAGGCAGTTGACTTGAACCTCAATGATTTGACGATCATAAAAGCCTTGCTCGATTGGAGAACCTTATTGAATTATGGCCAAGAGTATGAATTGATCATGATAGTATTTGATAAATTTGTGAATGTCAAATAGAGATAAAAATAGCTAAGCCTGAAATGTTTGTACTCGCGAGAGGAGTTTAACCTCATCTGAGAAGCCTGAAATAGACGACTAGAAGACAAAGCTTTCGTTGCTGGGATTAGATGTGATTATAATGTCACAATTGGCAAAGTAAAAATGTATCTTTGTTTTTTCCTTTGGTTGATCACAATTGCAATAGTTAAGATTAAGAGGCGTATAAGCTTATGTCAAATTTTACAGCTTCATTTGAAAATCTTACACTTGCTGGTTACATTGATCTCTATTGAGTCTATTAAATTGTTGACTTGTGAGGAACCGAAAAAGCACATTTGTGGTTAATTTTTGTAAAACGTTTCTTTCATTTGATCTCCTTTCATCATAACGATACAGATCGGCCTAGTCGATAGTTAGGACGCTTATTATGATAAGTGAAACGGGTGATACAGTAATTAAAGAGAGATATTGAGATGAATAGAAGATTAAGAGAGGAAGAGTTTAGTTGACAAAAAAAGATTGACTAGTGTAGGTAAAGATTGACTGAAAATTTTTTGCAAAATAATTCAGTGGATTAATTATTGACTTTATGATGGATGTAAATGTTTGATGTGAGTATGAGTGAGTGTTGGTTTGACTTTTGTTTTAGGTGTACTTTGGGTTTCCACTCCTGCTGAATTGTTGTTATTTTGATCCACAATTTTACCATTTTCTTGAGACTCTCTTATTCCTCCTTTTTATCTCTGGATATGCAGTCGTTGTAGTTGTTGAACACTGTTGATGTTATGATTGGATATTGGCTGTTTGTAGACGTTAACATAATTTAGGCAGTGTTGACGTGAATTTAACAAACATCAGTAAACAAATTAGACATTCGACTTTGCCTAAATTCAAGGAAACTGATTCTTCCATCTCTATCAGTATCAGCTTCTGTCATCAACCTTTCAACATCTTCAGCAGTAAAAGGCTTATTTGACATGGCAAAAGCCATCTTTATCTCGTATCGGTCAAGGTAACCATTTTTATCAGCATCAATCCAGTCAAAAAGCTTACGAAGGTTAGCATGTTTTTCAGCAATGGTGTCCAAGAAAGCCTTCAATTTATCTTCGGTTATAAATCCATCGCCTAATAAAGAGTAGAAATAAACACAATTTAATAATAAAACGATACTTCACATTGAATGTAAAATAAAAGTAAAGACAATTGAAAATTTGGTTGCAACGAGAAATTATTCTGTCTCACTTTTTGTCACATTTTTTCACCATCAGTTACTAAGGGGTTGTTACTTCAGCGAAAAGTTTATTTCATTTCATGTCATTTCATGTCAAACATCTTTAACTAATGTTATAGTTGATAAATTATGACTCTATTTGACAATTTAAAATCCATTTTCTGCTAAATTAACAACCTGTTTCTCGTTTCATCCTTAACAAATTGTCATTTTTAATTGCCTAACGGTTAATCTATGATGAATCTGTAAGCATTCCTGTTTTATGAATAATTTCAAGCAATAATGAAACATTTACAGTCAATATTCCCAAATTGTAACATTGTTAGGTTCAATAACGAAACAGTTTGGATTTCAAACAGTTCTTCTTCCTAAATGTAAACTAAATTATGATGAAAACCCAATTGATTAGATTGATTTATACAATAATGAATAAGGTTTGCAAGGTAAGTTGATTTCGGGAAATTTGATGTCTCAAAATAAATCAGTTTTGATAGCAAATTAATATAAACAAATAAATTTCAATTCATTTGATCTTTTATAAAGATTATTTTTTTGGAATTAAAATGGTTCAATTTGATTAAAAACCTAAAAGGCTATTTTTTGGTAAAATTAAGTGTAAATAGCGAAAGGGCTAATCCCACGATGTGAACATGTGAATATTTACTGTACTGTTCCCAGTTAATCTGAATGTGTTCAGTTGCATCTTCAGTTTACTGAATTTCTTATTAATTTTCTTATATCTTATTTATTCCTTTGAATAAACACAGGTATCTTCTGAAGGAATGTCGTTGGCTGTCTTTGTTTGTCATTGTGAATAATGTGATGCTTCAAATTCAACTGTGCATGTGGATTCCAAAGAATACTTGTTTATCAAAAGCCTCCAAAACAATAAACTGGTAAAGTTAACACCGTGACTCTAATTGTACTTTTGGAATAATAATGAAAATCTTAATATAATGTTGGTGAGGCTTTTTTTGGTGGTAAGCCAGAACATTGTTGGCTTTTATATATTGGCTCGTGGAAAAAAATCTCATGGCAAGATGTAAAAGCGTTGAACATGGATATTCAAGGAAAGAGCTTGGAAATCAAGAGAAACAAGCCGAAAGAAAAGAGAGGGAAACTTAGGCTCAAAGGAAAATCATGAAGAGACTAATAGAAAGGAACGGACAGAAAATGTAGAAGCTAAAATTGGAAAAACAAAGCTCATTGGGATGCCTGTTAATTAAAATCTTGAAAGCTCAATCTCTTTCTCATTTCTTCTAACCTCTCTCCTGCTTCTCGCCAATCAAACCCGACAACAGCAATAAGAAGTTCGTTGGTAGATTCATTAGGTTTAAAATGAAAGGAGAAGAAAAAAGTTTCGAAAAAGAAGATGAAAATGTTCTGAGAGACGAGGTTGGCAAGGTTCCCGGAGGACCAAATAAAGTTAAGTATGTGCTTTGATTCCTGTGAGTGTAAGTATTATTAGTTCAATCATTCACACCATACATTTTCCTTGTTGGCCAGTCTCACCACTACAGTCTTACAACCACTGAACTTATCAATGTTCAACGTTTCTGAACAATTACAAAGAAACAACTTTCACCATAAATCTATTCACTAATTTTGCTTCAAAATAACCATTCATTATTCAACTAATTGCTAAATTTATATTTACCAAGCTAATTTTTCGATTTTTATTTTGTTTTCAAATTTCCTCAATCAACATATTCTAGCAACTTGAAAGTTTTTTGGCAATAACATGGTGATATGAGACAGATGTTAATAAACAAGCAAAGAGATTAAAGACATGTCAACTTTGAAAGAGGCATCAACTGAATCAAATTTATCTTGAAAATTCTTATTCAAAATGAAGATGCTCTTCAGATATTTTAAACTCAAATAACCCCGAATTTTAAACTGACTGACTTTGGTAGAGTTCGAGGTTAATTGTGCTTAACTAGAATTAGATTTTTCTAGCAAATCAAGTATCATTGGCCATGAATTAAACATTCATGCATCAGATCATATTGAACTTGAAATTCAATTTTTTCATATCAAGTATTAAGACTTGATTTGTTATAAATTACAATCGATCCAATCATTAATGTTGTTAGTTGATGTGGAATTTTATTTTTTCATTTTAATTTACTCTTTTCAAATGTTTCAAACATGCAACTGTTTAATTAAACTTATTTGGTTGATTTTTTACAGGGAAACGTAAACTCTACTTTGTGGGTTGGTAAAGTATAAATTTGGACTTACTTTGAATTTCCTCGATGGTTTGGGTAACGATACCTTCGTCCGGATGAAGTCCAAGTTGTTTTAAGACGTGCTTGAATGTTGGTATATCAAGTTTACCATCTTTATTGGCAAGACTGTTGAAATAATCTTTCAAATCACTTTCTTTAACTTCAAATTTTTCAGCCTGAAAGCAAAGAGTATCAATAATTAGCAAAGGATTTTATAATTGGTGGCAATGGTTAAATGGACAATACATGAAATATATTAAGCAAATTTAAAGGAAGATAAAGGAAAGAATCAATTACCATTGTGTAATTGTTTAATTGGATGGAAGCTGGTTGTCTAGTTTTTTTGATGAATTACAACTGAACGAGTACGAAGTTTTTCACACAATGAAGCTGAAATAAATAGCAATTTTTTGCAAAACGATATACAAAATGGATTCACTAGCAGTTTGCCGAAGAAAGGAGGCGGGTTAGATGGCGAATGTAATGAAAAATGAAATACACTGACACGCAAAATACAGAGCAGATGACAAGGAGGATGAAAGTAAAGATCTTTCCTTGCTTGGAACAACTGAGGACGAAGATTTGGTGGTTGGACAATTTTCGATGATAGAGTAGGCAGGTTGGCTCTCTTACTTACACACTTATACTTACTCACGATTTCATCTTTCTTTTTCTCCCCTCAGATAAATATAAATTCAACGCCAAGAATGAAAAAGATGGAAGAAAAATAAATGAAGATGACGAAAAACGGAAGAGACGGTAAGACAGATTATCTCCGCCTCAGTCTTGGCTTACTTGAACCATAGAATAGTTCAAGTAAATTTGGTTACTTTTAAACTTCACTTGTCTCTTAGTTGAAAATCCTAGCTGTAAATGATCCCGCCTATTCAACAAAACATCTTCATCATCTTCATTTTATTCAAATATTCTGTTCACCATCTTCATCGCTCTTCATCTCTATTTTGACTCTTTTTTTCTCTCCTCATTCAATCTCAATCACTTAGAACATCTTTCTTCATCATCATGCACGTTATAATGGATCAAGAAAACTTGAAGATATCTAATAGTTAAAACATGGTAAAGCTGAAAATTATGAATTTAATTAACAAAGAAATTTTTAATGCAACCAACCATCTCAATCAAATGCTCCAAGTTTTGTTTATCACATTATCTTGTTTATTTTGGTTTGCCTCCTACTGTTATTTACAGTATCTCATTAATCTCTGATCATCTTTTTCCATGTAACATTTGTTTTCTTTCCGGAATATAAGGAATGATTGCAGAGGTATATGGATGATGCTACAAGAAAGATGAGGTGACATGAGATAAGAGGAAAATGTTTTTTGTCTCTCTTTTGTCTCACATTTTCTTCCCAATATTGACTCAGATAAATTGTTTGTTTCATCTTGTCTGATCTATTTGGTTTACTATTTAAAGAATCTACTTTACTTTGCACCATCACTTGATAGTGATCAAGTTTAAAAGTTAATTGCATTGCAAATTGGAATAATCAATTTAAATATAATTTATTTGTTTATTTATTGTAATCACTTTTCTTGTAAATTGTTATTCTCTTGTATTGATTGCAAATGATCAAATGAGTGAAAAAAATAGTTTAGTCTCATACAATCCAATTATTAACTCAAGATAATGTGAATTATATGGTTATTTAAATAATGCGAAGGTTAATTCGTGAAAAGTTGAATTTTGGATACTGTTTTAGCTTTTCTAATTTGTTTTAATAACATTAGAATGCATTTTTTTTCGTTCATCGGTTAACAAAAAGTAATATAGAAACATTAATAACAAACTGATACAAGGTTGAATAAAGTTACTCGAGATTGTCTTCATCAAAAATATCTTCAAACTCATTAAAAAAATCTGTATGAACATATTTATCATTTGATGTTAAATCCATCATAACGGTACCTGATGGGTCATCAAAATCCATAAAATGTCCACCTTCTGGAAACATTTCATCAACAACAACACTGCTGCCATTTGATCCTCCGGGTTTACTCCCAACCATAGATATTGGCCTCATCTTCCCTTGGTTAACTTGATCCCGAAGAATATCTGAATCGGCAGAGATGGAACAAAGAAATTAACAAAGCGAAAGATAATAAATCTCTAGTCAAATTGGAAACAATAATGACTTTTAAAGTAAACAAAGGAGATATTTCAAGTAAAACACTTACCCAGTTTTAAATATTTTGATTGGTAACAAGTAGGTCTACAAATATTCGAGTAAAGTACGGTGGGAAAAAATTTAGTTTTTCACTGGAAATTGGGTTAATCCAATCAAACTGATTGTACTATTTAATTAACAGAAAAAGAAGATTAATTTAAGCTTTAGCCCCGAGAAAAGCAGAGTAAACCAAAGGTGTGATCATGTTGAGTGTCTCCCTCTGTTAACATTACTTTCTTTTCATTGTTCAGTTCAAACTATGCGCCTATCACATCACACCAAATCACCATTCAGTGAACATTTGCTATACCGTCACTTTTTTTCTTGAAAATTTTTGTTTATCAACATTTTTTTGTGTTTTTTTATTAATTGTGAAAGTTTTTAATCAATGTCTTTTTCAAATTTTACAACTAAAATTCCTGAAATTCAGGCAACTGATTCTGGATTTTCATCAGCAGCTCCATCCATTATAGACGATGAATTCCTGGCTTCATTTGACTTTAATTATGAGGGTAAATCATCCCATACCCTACCTCCTTTCCAGTCCACACCTGAGCCAATGTCCCCCGTTCCAATGCTGGATGTTCAAACAAGCTCGGACGTCGCATCTCAAGCTATTCCTACATTGATAGATCTTCTTTCGGATGAGGATCCCTTCATCCAAAACAAAGCCTGTAATATGGTGCTTCAGTTATCTACTGAAAAAGTCAGTAGAGAGACAATAATTAATTCACCTGGCATGATAGTCGCCCTTTTAGAAGCTCTTTCTAAAACAAATGATATTGAAATTATTGAAAATGGCGTTGGAATTCTTTATAATCTTTCAGAACATCGTCAGGGTCGACTAACAATTTATAAACTTGGTGGTATTTTTGAGCTGGTTCGGATGCTTAGCTGTAATAGCGAGTCAGTTGTTCATCTTGCTATTACAGCTCTCCATCTTCTACTTTTACACCAAGAGGGTTCTAAAGAAGCCGTCCGTGATGCTAATGGTCTCCCCCCATTAATTTCTTTGTTACAAAATCAAAATGAACAATTTTTATCGATTGTTACAGACTGTATCCGTCTTTTAGTATATGGAGACTCGGAAAGTAAAATTATAATGCAAAGACTTGGTGGCACCACACAACTACTTCAAATTTTACAAACTGTTTCCTACCCAAATCTTCTCTGGGTAATTTCCAATACCTTAAAAGTTCTGTCAGCTTGTCAGGAGAATAAGCGAACAATTATTGAAAACGGAGGATTGCAGGCTTTGGCCATGCATTTGAACACACAACTAGATTCCCACGTATCTAATTGTTTGTTCACTATTCGCAACCTTTCCGATGCAGCAGTGTTTCAAAATGATCTTCATCTTTTATTATCTAACACAATGGATATTCTTCGTTTTGCTCTTACCGACCAAGTTACTCAAGAAAACATAATCACTTGTGTTGCAGGCATTTTGTCAAACTTAACTTGCAACGTTATTAACAAGCAAATTGTTCGCCAAATGGGTGGAGTCGAATTGCTAATCGGAACTGTCATCAAATTTGGCTCAAAAGAAGAAATCACCGAGCCTGCAATTTGCGCTCTTCGACATTTAACATGTCGATACATTGAAGCTGAGCTTGCATCTAATGCAATTCTGGATTGTGAAGGGCTTGGGCCTATAATAAGTCTTTTAAAGACTAACAGTTGGCCATTGAAAAAAGCCGTCGTGGGCTTACTACGAAACTTGGCTTTACTTGACGCAAATATCGTTCCACTACGTGATCACTACGCCATTGAAAATCTTGCTGAGGTCTTAAATGAAGCAAAAATCGCCTCACGATCTGTTGATTTAGGAGCAGGAGTAGTGCCAATGGACGCACCCCTAATACCAGATCCAAAAATCGAGGCAATCATTGAAGAGGCTGCCGCGACGCTCAAAATAATGGCCAAAGACCCTCTTAGTAAACATAAGATTCAAGAAAAATCTTTTTTCTTTGAGGAATTTATCGTTGACATCTTTAACACATCTATTAATTGATAATGCCTTTAATTTGTTCAAAATTTGTAACCACCTGATTATTGGTTCAATTTAACCAGATAGGGTTTCAGTTAGATTAAAATTATCCATCAACTAAACAATAATGTCGAATACATCTTTATACACAAGAATACACAAAATAAAAATTATCTTTTGAAAGACACATAATCTTTTATATAACAAAAGATGAGAAAAATCAGACTTTGATCCTCAGACGAAATAATTAAGACGATCCAACCATTTATTATAAATAAAAAAATCTGTAATATTGAAGCATCGAAAATATTTACATAATTTTAGCTTTTTCGAGTGACTGAGATGGTAGAATTTATAAAACGGGATTTTGAAATGGAGACGTTACTACTGATTACCTTGATTTTTCTTTTCATGTCGAAATGAAGGATAATCAAAGTTTTATCCAAATTCATTTCAAGATTTGATTCAATATTCTTTCATATCAAGGGAGGACATCTCAGAATGATCAAAGTATGCAAATATATATGATTTCAGGATGTAATGGAAGCCTCTACGAAGATCTCAGATTATTTGATAACCTAAACAGTTGAGCTTCTTTTTTGTCGCTACCATAAGTTCGCAATCAAATGACAATAAAATCCTTCAAGTCTGATGTGATGATAGCATCCAATAGGCACATAGTCAGAGTAAAGTTTGTAAGTTTTGTATTTTCTTCATTATCCAAAAACTCAATCGGTTCCTTGTATTGACTTTAGATCACTCTCTCTATCATAATTAAATATCTCTGGACACTTTGACCAGTTATTTTACATTATCAATAGCCACCGGCATAAACATGAACAGGATCACAGTCATAACAAAATCTACTGATCGGTGAAAGAATGGTGATTTTAGGCCAATGGCCATAATCAAGAGAACTGTTGGTAAATTGAAAAAAAAGAGACCAACCATGTCACAACCATCAACGAAAAATGACTTTCAGATCTCTTACGGTCACAGAATGCGCCATGTTCAACCGAAAATCGAAGTGATATGTTGTACAGAAAATTTTTTTATTTCACAAAACAGTTGCGTTTTCTGGTTGGCTATCAAAATTTACAAGAGTTATAATAAATGATTTTGATGAAAAAATTTGGTCTCACAACTGCATAAAAGGCGATCGAAGTTTCAACTTTGACCTCGATTTTATCAAAAACTGTCGAACAGAGAAATTTTTTAATAGCACTATTGAAATCAGTTTTTATGTGCCTACAAAGCTACAAAGTCCCAACTCTTAACTTGAAAAGAAGCTTTTTTGCATAAACTCCTTCGTAACCGCCATGATTATTGGTCCAATTTAACCAGCGAGGGTTTCAGTTGGGTTAAATAACATTTATCAACTATACAATAATACAGAATACATCTTTATACACAAGAATACACAGAATAAAAATAATCTTTTAAAAGTAATAAGAACAAATTGGTCAACAAATAAAATGCAAGAATATCTAAAGGCATATTCTTGTCTTTGCTTTATGTTAAAATCAACTAGAAACATGTTTTTCTTTTGTTGACTTACAATCGATGAAAATTGGCAGATTTTTTTTCAATTGATTATCGAAAAATTGATGGAATATTAAAAGCTGACTCTGGTAATGATTCGAGTTACTAAGAGCAACAGCGGATCTGAGCAATGAGATATAAAACTATTCGATGATTGTGAATTTCAATTTTAAAATGTAAACAAATGAACGAAGAGGGAAGTGGAAATCAAAAGTCTTGAATTGAATTTTCAAGGCTAGCTAATCAGCCATCAATAAGTTAGATTCACACACAAGCTTGACTTAAGGCTAAGTTTTAAAAGTTTCATTCTCTTCTTTTTGAAGACTTTGAGCCAATTTCTTTATCAACATTGAATATCTCTGGACATTTTGACCAGTCCAGATTTTGTTTACATTGCCAATAGTCCCCGGCATAAATATGAACAGGATTATTAGTGATTGGATCAGTTTGACGTTTAAACCATGTTGGTGAATAAGCTACATCAGCATCTAGATTAGCAGCTTCTTCCTCTCTTTTTCTTCGAACTTTTCTCTGTTTTTCTTCCAAAAGCCCTTTGATTTGATTTGCTTCATCCCATTTACCGTCTTCCATTAATCGTTGATCGGGTCTTAGACGACTATCTGTTGGGGCAACTCCATCCTCGGGTTCATTTAATTGCACAGCAAGTAAAGTCATGTTATACATTTTCTCATGTTCTGGTCTAAAAGTTAATTAAAAAAGGAGACATTAGCTTAGAAGATAAAGACAAAAAAGATCGCTTACGGAGGATAAACTCTTTCCCAGATTTTTTTAAACACTGATGTTTCGTAAACTGATTTTCCTTTAGAGGACCTTCGCTTGTTCATTACACGAGCAACCTCAAGATGATCATCCCAAATACCTTGGAGGATCCATTTAGTTTCTCCTTTAGAGTCAATAATTTTACCAGTTACCTATCAATTAAAAAGATCAATATTATACTGAGAAACTCAATATGATTGTTAAAATACCTTTCGCTGGACATCTCGTGAAAAGTAACTATAAGGTACGAATTTAAGAATGCATCGATCACCAGTTGTATGATTTGTAATTACCATATCGCCATGATTATCGACCCAAAGTTTACCAACAATTATATTATGAATCGTTGTGGTTACTTTATGCCATGTGTAATGGTAACCTTGATCTGGAAACTCTAGATGGCTGATATCAACTGGATTAACTTGTAAATATTTTCCTCTAAATTTGCTTGACAATCCAAATTCACTCCAACATTTCCAACCTTTACCTTCACAATGTAATGCTAACATTGGTGGATGATGACTTACCTAAAAATATAGTAAATAGATAAATAAAAAAAACATAATTATGCATATATACATAAATAAATATGAATGAATGAATGGATGATAAATCAAATCTTACCTGTTCAGCAATACTTTTCCATCCTAAATCAGATGTTCTATCACATTCATATGTCTCTCCTAATAATGGATTAAAAGGTTTATTAAGTCTGACGTTTGTAGTCGAATAGCTAGACACGCAAAATGCTGCAATGTACACTAATTGATTACAGCTATCATCGGTTGTTGCTGCTTTGTGAAGTAGATGAGCATATTCAAAATCTTCAGTTAATCTTTGTAACATTGATAAAGGTTCATTGAAATTAACAGGCATTGGGATTTTTGTCAGCTCTTTTCCGATACATTTCTTCAAAAAAGACCACAAATTGAGACTTTGGTTAGGTCTATCGAGAATTCTTGTGCGTCGTCTTGGATCCAAAGGAAGAGGCGATAAATCTTTTTCATCTAAATTCAATTCTTTACATACATCTTTTGACGAGAATATACCATTTATTGAATTAGCTGAATCATTGTCAGGCAATAAGGCAATTTCACTGATTGACATATCAATGTTTGCTTTTTCGTTATCTTCCGATGGAATATCATTCTCCAATTTATCTTGTTCTTCATCAATTTCCCTTGTAGAGTATTCTAGTGGATCAGCATACTCCTCATCTTCACTCTCTGAATTGTTGCCTCCAAAAGAATCGATCGCATTATTTGAAGAGTTATCGTAATTATTCTCATTGCAGTTAACATCGTTAGGTTTGTTTGCATGGGATTCCAGGCCAGGAGGAAGAATTAATTTCTAGCACAAATAGACATAGACAAAAGTACATATGAGCAAATGTTTCTGAATCAAAACAATAGAGGAAAAAAACCAAAACATTTACATGAACAAGAACAAGAACATGTAAACTTACTTGCTTTGTGTTCATGGTGGTAAATTTAACAGGAAATATTACGAAGAGCGAAAAAATTATTTTAAGTACATAAAAAAAGAATTACAATGAACAAAAATGAAGTAATTAACGTTGATTTGATTAGATTGTAATCACATTGCTATAATGAAAAACTAAACACACCATAGGTTTCAATTTTGAAGTTGCTAGCTAACACTCAATCAACTCAATCAACTAACTTGCAACTAAAGAATCTTGTCGCCATCTATGGGTGAACTAAATTTATATGAATATAATAACATCCAGGATCAAAATAACACTTGTACTACACTTGTAACTCTTATTGCTATAAATACTTCACAATGAAATCCCCTGAACCTCAATTACCTAAACAATTAAAATCATTTAATAAAACTATGTATCAGTCCAGAAATGTTTAAAATACTTTGTGTATAAGCCATCTATAAATCGTATATACGGACAAATATTCAAATGAAAAATCAAAATGACCATCAATAAAGTATTATTAATCGATTAAAATAATCTATTCACTGATTAATTTTTTACTATTCAGCCAATTCAATTGAATTAATGAAGAAACAATGGAAAAAGCTACTTTTTAAAAATCTCCAACCATCCAACAATCCAGCTATAAATATTTTAACATCATCATGTGTTGACTTACAGGTTAAATCATCAGCATTTTATTTTGTGCTCATAATCTCACGATCAATGCAGAATTGCAATTATTAGAAATAATTACGTGTTTCCATTCAACTATTGACTGGTAACTACAATTGACTATTAATCAATCGGTGAACCAGATAATTTACTCTTTGCTATTGATGGATCTTCCAAGCTTCTAGTTTTGCCACAATCAAATCAATTTTCACCATTCCAAGAAAAAGCATTGTGTGTATAAAAAACCTTGATATGTAAGGCTGTACGTTAAAACTGGTAAAATTTAGATCGATTTATGGTGATTTGTAGCTTCCGACATCAAATTTGGGAGAAAATAAAAGCTAAAAAAAGGACGAAGTACCAGCAAATTAAAAGCTTGTAACAGCGAGTAAAGAATTGCAATGGAATTGGTTGAGCTTTTGAAAAGATTCCTTCATCTTGATTCGCACATTGCCATTCTCCTTCATCTTTGGATGTTTTTGCGAGATCACAACGGAATAGTACTCGATCCAATCCCATCTCCATGATGGTTCGCATATACCTGTTGAGGAATTTACGCTTTACTGGCGAAAGGTAACTGTAAATTGGCAATGAAATGAGAACATGAGCGAACGGCTTACTCATATGCAATCGTTTGTCTGGATAATATTGACAGAATTTGGCTCTCATGTGTTTTATTGATTCGATTGATGAGAAAGCAATCACCTCGCCTGCCGGGGATTTGCCCAGTAACTCATGACTGTGGGTCTCTTTAACCAACTTATCTTCATATTCCTTATAAATTGGCAATCCTTTTACTGATGATGAACAAATGGCGTAAAGCGTTGTGAAGCTGCTTATGTTCCAGTTATCCAAGTCTTTCAATGTTTCAACGGTTGGATATTTTTGAGCCACTGTTAGTTGAGTCGAGAAATGGACTGATAAAAGGACTCTGAGGTAACCAATTGAACAAATTGTTGCCAAGAAAATTATTATTCCATATTTGGTAATCTTAATGATAGGCATTGGCTGATGATCATCTTGTTGATTGAATATCAATGAAACTGAGAGTGAAAATGAATGTTTCAATCGTTCTATCAATGGTTTTATCGGTTTGTTAACAATAAAAGAACAGAGTATTACACCAACCATGAGAAGAATAAAAAAATTGATTGAAAATATCGATATTGAGTCAACAGCATCAACAAATTGTGAACTTGCTGGAATCGTATGAACAACAACACAAATGGATGAACCAAAAGGCAAAGACAAGGTGACGTTCGGGAAACTGTCGTTGTAAATGGTTACCACTGGTTCGAGCAGCACATCGATTGATCCATTCATATGAAAATTAGTGTTATAGCTCGTATTGTATTGAGATTTATAATTGAACAGAGTATCAACGATTTGCTTAAAACATGAGGTTGACTTTTTATCATGGATTAAATCATAAGCACCATCTTTCACACCAACAGTGATTCCTGTTTCAATCATTTTAAATGCACTTCAAATTCAAAGTCTCTTAACTTTGGTCAAAGCTGTTGACAAACCATTGAATCACAAAAGAACTATGAAATATCAAGTTTCATCAAATTATCTCAGTGACAATTGAAAACGCAAATGAAAAAATAATTATTCAATATCGTGTTATATTTAATGAAACATGAAACAAAATTACTTTTCCACAAAATTCAATTTGTTTGAAACAGCCTCTGTGAATCCTAATTTTCATTATATTTATATTTTCTAATATTAATTACTATCACTTTTTAATCAGTTTTTATGCCCCAACAAACCTACAAAGCCCCAACTCTTAACTTGAAATTCAAAGTTTCCATGCAAAGTCCTGAGTAACCTGAATTGTGATTAAGCTTTGACAGTTTTCGGACTTGTAGTTCAACCATGGCTTGCAGCTTGAGTTTTCCTTGAAATCTTTTTAGATTAGTTACAATTTTTACGAAAAAATTTGATGTTTTGACTTCATACAATTAACAAGTAAAGTCTTCCATGTTTAATCCCCAATTCAGTGAATTATTCATTACACACAACTCAACCAGGAATGAGACTCAAATCTAGTCTAAATAAACCAATATACCTTAAATAAATTAACCAAAATAATTTTCAATTTCATTTTAACATTTTCCCGAGCTTCTTCTTTAAACTTGTTTCCAGTTACCCTTGACCCATACAAAAAATGTGAATTTAAATGATCAACTTGAAGTGAAAATTGAAAATTCACATTACGAGGTCAGTTATAGCCTAACTTGATATCTTAAAAGCAAAAAATGATCAACACTATTTATTTAAACCTCATTACAGCTGAAAAAGTAATATTACCGCAGTGAAGTGAAGAATCTTAATGAAGTTGAAATTATCATTGAGAAGCATGTATTTATAATTAACATCAAGTGATCAAACATTTTCTATTCTCATCATGAAAACACTGGAAGGTTAACCTTATTGTTTAACCAAGTAAATAACCAGTTAAACGTTTAATTGACCAATTCTTAAATCAATTACCAGTTGAATTGATGTTGTTGTTGCAAATCTTTAAAATGAATTAACTTGACGATATTTAATTTTTCTCGTAGCTTTACAACTTACAATCATGATTCAATGCGATTGTATAAGCTCAGAGATCAGAGTAATTGTAAAGTAATAAATGATTGTAATAAAAAATTTATAACATTGTTTTTGTCTGAATGGCCGTCAAACTGTGAATATATCTCTTGTTACCTTGAGTAGTTAAGGTTTGACTACCTGCAAGAATCAATTCCTGACGTCAATTTTTATTTGTATTGTCATTTTAATCAATAGAGGCCAAGTGAATAAGCCATTGGGTCCATCTAGACGAGTTTGAAATTGACTAGGAAATGGGTTCGCTAAAAGGCAATAAGATCATCAAATATCATCTAATATTAACTAACATTGATATCTTTATATTCATGGGGATTATTAAATTTGAGCGTACACAATAATTGAACTGAACATGATTAATTATCCCATGATATCAACCAATAACTGACGTGAATTTTAAAAAGCGTCGTTTATGGTGAATTGGAAAGAGCAGAAATGTTAATTCATTTGTACGGCAAAGACAATTGAAAATGCACTACCAACAAGGATTAATATTGATTTTTAATTTAGATTTACTTTTGTATGTTCAACTATTGCATGTGAAATGTTTCATTTCAATCTGAGCCAAGGATAAATATAAATCAATTCATTTGTTTCTCATTTCAGGCATCAAGCAAGGATGAAACGTTTTACAACTCGATCAATTTAGGAAACATTCAATTTTAACAATTCAAATCTTTTGACATCAGATCTTTGATCATCTTATACTTTATCATTCAACATCAATAGATCGATGCAATTTTTTTGCGATGCAATAAGAATTTTTTTTCCTGGTAATTGCTTTTCAATAATAATTACATTAACTTTCAACTATCATTAGCGTTGCTGGTAATAATTAGCAGAAAAACTCTCAGATTGTCAATTTAGTCTTCAGCTAACTCAAGATTCACAACGACACCAACAGTGTTAATTTTTCCGAATTATCTTAAAAAATTAATTCATCCATTCGATTATTTTTGAATGGCTGTTGTTTCTCCAGCGCATCTTTGGTACTATCAGCAACTTTAATACGAAGCAAAGTGTGCATCGCAACTCCAATCCTTATATCAAGAGAGACTATTTCCTGCTTAATTGTAGTTAAGGCTTTACGAATACTGATTAAGGGTGTTCCATCAGTCATGGCAGTTCCTCTTTTCTCCATCTCTTCCTTGACTGAATCCAATTCCTCTGAAATCGAAGCCAATTTACGTGATTTCTCGGTAACACCACCACTGACCATTTTATAACTTTCCGTTGCTTGCTTGAGATGAGCCTCCAGTGAATTATATTCAGAAGTTAATGTTTCCAATTGCAATTGAAGGTACTTTTCCCTTGCTCCAATCTGAGCCATTTCTTTGTTAATTTCATCGGACAATTTTTTCAAGGAATTAGAAGTTGTCTCGAAATGTTTTTCCACCTCGTTTCGATGTCGATACATTTCCTCAATATGAGCTCTCCAATCAGCTTTGTGGTCAGATGAACGAAGGATAACCTTCAACTGAGGCAAAACTCTTTCAACTTCAATCTTCCACTCGGCCGAGTCAACGTTGCTAGCCAGTATTGCTTGTGGACGGTTGACCAAGGATTGAGTATACAGTTTATCGGTAACCATTTCATTGTCAAAATCTCCATATTCATCATCTAATAGTGTAAATTGATCATTGAAATTGATTTCAATATCATCTTCATCTTCAATTATTTTATCCTCTTCAATATTATCCAGTTCATAATCTTTATCCGATGTCAACACTTTAACCACAATTGGTGAACGAGCAAATTGATTTTTACTCAATGCATCATCGGTTAGTGTATTGAGTATCCAAATGACTTCTGATCCATAACCTTGTTTAATTTTATTTGGAGCAATTGACACCTTGTCAACAATTAAACGAACAGCATCCAAGATTCCATGGATTGTTACATTTGGATCTTCATAATCTTGTGGATTAAGTTCGCTGGTCATCTTTAGTTGACATTTTTCCTTAATCAACCAAACGGAAAGACATGAAAATACATAAAATTGCTCTCCTGGGTTGGTTTGGATTGTAAAGTAATACCTAAAGTACATGAGATTGATCAAATAATTGGTTAACTTGACAATATCAGACATAATTACCTATGAAGAGGTTGACATTTGTAAACAGGACAAAACTCCTTGTCATATTTAAGAAGGATTAATTTTTCAATCAAATCGTGCATCGATTGAAAGTTTGAAATAAAATGATAACCGGGACTTTTACTGTCATCATGATTAACTAAAGATGGAGATGAAGAGTCGATATGATCAACTTCGACCATAGCAGGACAATTTAATAGAACCAAATAATAACACTAATATTTGAAATATTTACCTTTTTCGAGAAGCAGAAACAGCTAATGTCCATGACAACCAACAATGTATACACAAAACTGGATTAACTGTTTGATCAGAAAATGCAACAAATGATATTATTAAGTTGATCTTTAATGAAAAATGACTCCAACTACGATTAAAAAGAAATAATTGAATACTGTCTAGTTGTAACGCGTGAAATGTGATTCGTTAATACCGTTTCATGAGATCTTTAGTAATCTCAATCAGCTCGAACAACGTATTATATTTGTTCAATTTGTAATAAATTATTGGTTTAAAATTTTATATTAACTCAAATTATCACATCAAGAATAAATGTTAGACATGAAGAACTGTTAACTATTGATTGTGAAATGTTTCATTTCAATCTGAGCCAAGGATAAATATAAATCAATTCATTGGTCTTTCATTTCAGCCATTAAGCAGGATGAAACGTTTTACAACTCGATGAACTTTAGGAAATTTAACAATTCAAATCTTTTGACATCAGATCTTTGATCATCTTATACTTTATCATTCAACATCAATAGATCAATGAAATAAGAATTTGTTTTTCCTGTAATTGCTTTTCAGTAATAATTACATTAACTTCCAACTATCATTAGCGTTGCTGGTAATTAACAGAAAAACTCTCAGATTGTCAATATAGTCGTCAGTCTCCTCAAGATTAACTCAAATTTGTATTGAATCATCCATTATTTTTGTAACTATTAATGTTGATTAGTCTTAATGAAAAGATATTGATGGAAACAGATTTTAACATTGCATTAACGTAATGTTAATAACAGAGTAACACATTACGAAAAAGTATCACTTATGTGGTTGAAGGATTTACTTCAATTGAATACTTCATCTTAATCTATGGCAATGTCAGATAAAATCTTAACTGGTAATTACATTGTGTACTCAATCTTTAATTTAAGATTTATTTCAATAGTGAAAATATATTCAAACACATATGCTACATCAAAGTTGAGCTATTTCATTGTATTAATCAGCCAAAACATGATTCCAGTTAATAAGGCCGTGCATACCAATGATTGTAAGACGCAGCCATTGTATCATAATAATATGGTTCATCAACATGATCAGGGACACCAGGAACGTTACTATTCCAACCAGTTAAATCTCTATTCATAGCACTGTAGTCTCGAGCTGTACAAACTTCATAACGCATTTGACGATGACTTGGATAACCTGTTGGTGATTCCATATCAGGTGAAAAACCATCACTAGCAATTGGTCTTGAGCTTGGCATATCATGTGATGAAACAGCTTGAACACGATTTGACCGATAAAGAGTCATTTCTTGAGGCATTTGATTTGAATCATGGCCATGTTGTCTTTTCATGTTTCCTTCATCAGGATATTGACTCGCTGAAGGCATAGGTTTAGGTATGGTGGAAGAGGCAGTTCGCATGGATGAAGCTTTGACTGGCGGATGAGTTGCGTTCCAATAGGTTTCGAGAAATTCAGCTAAATGTTCACAGGCATCTGACAATTGATTTTCATCCAATATAACATCAAACATTTCAGGTGGACATTGGGCAAGTTTCTCTGCAGCAACCATTTGAACGTTAAGGTTTCGACTTTGTGACTTTCCTCTAGACTTAATTAATCGTTGAAGGACCTTTGGTGATGAAATTTTGATAAACACAGTGATGGGAGCCAAAGAAGTCTTAACTAGTTGAGAAGGATGGTTTATTGTGTCACAGTCAAGCACAACCAATTGCATAGTGCGTGCGAGTTCAAAAATCCTCTCAACTTCCATTTGTACCGCATTTAAACACGATGAACGAGGTCCAGGTCTTTCTATTAAAGCTCTCTTGTTTGGATTGTTGAGAAGCGAGCGTTTAGCTAATGAAATGTCCGCTGTTACACGGGTAATGATTATCCTGCCTTCAAACCGATGCTTAAGAAAATCGAAGACAGCTTTCTGCATCATATCAGTAACCTCATAGCCCTTCAAAGAGGGGCCAACCAAGACTACAGGCTGCATAGAAGGCACAACATCGTAAGGAGATATATTCTCGTTCTGTAAAAAGAGACAAAAGAAGGTTTATTAGATTGAAATTAAGGTACATTTACATTGAAAACATTACCTTTTTGAAGAAGGGTATACGCTTCTCTCTGGCAGGAGGTGTAGATATAGCAGTTTTACCTGACCGTGAGTTGGAAAGGCCTTCGATGTCATCATTGGGATTATCACAAGGTTGCTCTGAAATAGTCATAGAAATAGATAAACTGGTAAAGAAATAGGAGCATTAAGATTAATGTATTTTGTAAGATCAATATTAGAGTTTACCTGGGGTTGGAGTAGCGCCTCTTGAATTGGATTGTGAAGTGGATAAAACATTATTAACTCGACCTGCAAAATTTGAAATTGAGCCTGTTTTACTGGCATACAGTTTAGTCTTGTTTGCTTGAGTTTGCTGGATCCGCAAATTTTCCAATTTCACTGGACTCGGGATAAAAGCGATATCACAACCTTCTCTAACTAGTCTTCCAATCCACCAGTCATTATTATATTTCTAGAAACGAAAGAATCAAAAATAGAAGCGATAAAATTCCAAAGCTTTTGATTATCAAGATATCATTAAAGATCAGCTTTAAATCAGTTTCTTTTGTGCGCTTTTATATTTACCTCTTTGATATGAAGAAAATCTTTTAGACCAAAAGAAACGGCAGACCCATGGACAGGCGAGTCATCATCAATACCACCGTTATATGCAACATTGGTCCTAACTGCAAACGCAACTGGTTTGCTCTAACGAATTGAAATACAATGTAAGAAAATTAAAAATCCAAGAAAATGGACAAAATTTATTTATAGCTTACCCTTGCTTTCTCTAATTGAGCAAAGGCCTGTCGTTCAGTTTCACGTCCGATCGCTTCTCTTTCTTCATCTAATGATAAATCGGACGATAATTGGCTGTAATTTGAGTCACCCGATCCCTGTTGGAATACAATTGAGAAAATATTCAAAATTAAAATTGGTCTGAATAGAGATGTCAAGTAAAGTGTAATAATGATTGTTCTTGCTACTTCGATTTGCATGAATAAACGAACTGCTACTGATTAACATATGTTTCTCAGTTTTAAAATTAAAAAAATACAATAAAATTAATTGAAAAACTGTTTCTGGATGAATTTTCACTCCCATTTGCTTAGATGTAATCATAATAGACCTTTAGGTGGTATAGCGGCTTCTGGTTTCTTTAAATTCAGAAACCTCGCTATCAATGCTGAATCAACCAATCTATCAATCATCAAGCTTGAAAATAAAATTATTTTAGTTTAATTATCACAGTAGAATAGAGGAGAAAATGAAATATTCATAGATTTTCTGTCACACAATTGACTGGTTACTTAACTGACATGGTTTCAGAAAACACAATGTCTTTGGCTATAGAATCAATCTTCCCTCATGATTTTTCTCTAAAATTAAATGATCTAAATGATGAAGTATTATTCAAAAATCATTACAAAAACACCAGAAAAAAATATCTTTTAGCAAGTATCATAGATTTACTTCGGTCAAAATAAGACCAAAAGTGTTATCCTAAAATACATAAAAGGTTCATGGAAGAGATGACAGAATTTTACTTACAAATTTCATATTGGATGGAAATGGAGAGAAGTCTCCTTACAAAAAATGATTGTTCACCACACTAAATTGATTAGTAGGCTCCAAAATTGATTTCCCAAATTGAAAAATTGATAGTCCTTTTAAAACAATCAGTAAAGTAATAATACCAAAATTCACAACAAGGTAAAATATGTTTCATTATAAATGAAAGTCAAACGGTAATTTTTGTGTGTATAGAGATGATTTTTTGCTTTGTTTTTGTCTTCACATAATCTTTAGGTTCACCGTCTGAATAATATTATAAGTCAACTTGAACTCTTCAGATAACAATTAGATGATGGTTGGAAACATTTAATAAACATTTAACTTAACCAAGTCAATAACTTGATATAACAATAACAAATAATATTAACATTAATATTTAACAGCAACAATAACAAAATAATAACAAGTGAATGAAAATAACAAAGTCACAATCAAACTGAGAACAGCAATGAAGGCCTTCGAAGCTCTTTAAGTACGAGTTTGAGTGGTAGAGATGATCCAATACATCCGGTTATTGTTAGTTTCCATTTCTACAGAGTGACAGATAAAAATATCATGAAAAAAGAGGTTCAACTGAAACTCAATTTACTGAACTGTGGTTATAAATGAATAGTGTAAAGGAGTCAACCTCAAGATGCTCTTCGCGCATTCAAATATAAAGTAGAGTAGATCCAGATCTATGGATATTAAAAATTTATTTTTGTTGATTGAATCTTTAAACAATTTTTATTCGACGCTTGTTTTAATTTCAAATAATTAAGCGATATTTAAATCCTATTAACGATCCTTTCTGTGTAATTATTCTGAAATTGGGACTAAACAGAGGGGTTGGGCAAATTTTAGGCTTTGAATATTAAATTTAATAATATTGAGGCTAACAACACTAATTTATCAAAAGTCTGATGATTCTTGGTCTATCTAGATCTTTGGATGATTTCAACTGTAATCTGATATTATCTGTATTGTTGAATTAGACATAAACTATAAATGATTTGATGAATAATTGAAGCAAAATAAATGATTCAAGGCTGAACAAATTAGGTTTGGGTCGAGGTTGAGTTGAATTGAACATCAACAACAATCATTGAAATAAAAAAAGGTTTTGACGATAGAATGATTAAAATGACTTCGCTGTTTATTGTAATATAAATCACATTGAACGTATTGTTTTCTTGTTATCAAATCACAATCAATAAATTAATTTATTTCAAGGAGAAGTATTTTTCTTTTGTAATCATCAAAAAAGATGTAAATTAAAAGAGATCGAAGAAATGAATGAGCTAAAACTGTTTGAATTTGTTTAACCATTTTTTGAATGAAAAAATCGAACCCAAATTTATAAACGGCTATGAGCTTCTCATAAGGAATAAAATGAACAGAAAACATGAAGACTTCAGTAGTTTGTTTGTAATAATCGTATTCAGTTCTCTTTGTTTTCCTTTTCTAAAATGAACTGGTAGTGAACTTGTTTTATATCATTTATGGAGGAAGTTATCAGGATATTAATCAGCTACAGATGAAATTTAGATTTGATTAAAAGTGAAAACAAATTGGGTGGACTAGATGCTTGCTTGCACATAGTAAGAATAATCAAGAAAGCTAAAGCTGATAGTTGACGATTCAATTGTTTGACGAGAAAATGGTTAAGATTTTGCTTGTTTATCTGAGGATCAGACAGAGATTATCCATAATTTTAATGACCAACATGCAAACATCTGTAATGGATCAAGTTTCTCCATGGTGAGTCCAGAAATTCATACTTCTTTTCCTTTGCTTTTTAATTGGCTTCAAATTGATTGATTCATGAAAATTGTTATTTTTCTTGTTGCCTTGTTGGTTGAGCAACTATTAACTGCGTCATGACATTAAAATGCTGCTCCTTGATTAGTTAAAATTGGCGGATAAAATTGAACAGAAGACACCACAATTTTTTCATGGGGAGACCAGCAGAAGAAAAATAACATCAAAACAAAGAAGGAAAATAATTTTGTAGCTCCAAATAAACAATTAAAAGGCTTGCAAATTTTGATGATGGATCACAGCTATTTATATAACAAAAGATGAGAAAAATCAGACTTTGATCCCCAGACAAATAAATTTAGATGATCTAACCATTAATTATAAATAATAAATCTGTAATAATAATAATAATTCCTTGAAGCATCGAAAATATTTACATAATTTTAGCTTTTTCGAGTGACTGAGATGGTAGAATTTATAAAACGGGATTTTGAAATGGAGAGCATCGGAGTTGATCAAGGAGAGAAGAGCTTCAAATCACATCTTCAGTCGAGGTTGAAATACTGCTTGGTTGTCATGAATAAGATATACAACGTAGATACGAAGACGTTACTACTGATTACCTTGATTTTTCTTTTCATGTCGAAATGAAGGATAATCAAAGTTTTATCCAATTCATTTCAAGATTTGATTCAATATTCTTTCATATCAAGGGAGGACATCTCAGAATGATCAAAGTATGCAAATATATATGATTTCAGGATGTAATGGAAGCCTCTACGAAGATCTCAGATTATTTGATAACCTAAACAGTTGAGCTTCTTTTTTGTCGCTACCATAAGTTCGCAATCAAATGACAATAAAATCCTTCAAGTCTGATGTGATGATAGCATCCAATAGGCACATAGTCAGAGTAAAGTTTGTAAGTTTTGTATTTTCTTCATTATCCAAAAACTCAATCGGTTCCTTGTATTGACTTTAGATCACTCTCTCTATCGAAATTAAATATCTCTGGACACTTTGTCCAGTCCAGATTTTGTTTACATTGCCAATAGTCTCCGGCATAAACGTGAACAGGATTATTAGTAATGGGATCAATCTGAAGTTTAAACCATGTTGGTGCATAAGTTACATCAGCATCTGGATTAGCAGCAGCTTCTTCTTCTCTTTTTCTTCGGACTTTTCTTTGTTTTTCTTCCAAAAATCCTTTAATTTGATTTGCTTCATCCCATTTACCGTCTTCCATTAATCGTTGATCGGGTCTTAAACGACTATCTGTTGGAGCAACTCCATCCTCGGGTTCATTTAATTGTACAGCTAATACAGTCAAGTTATACATTTTATCATATTCAGGACTGGAAAAAAATAATATTATTAGAATCTATTGTAAATGATGATTATTTGAAATTACTTACGGAGGATATATTCTTTGCCAAACTAGCTTAGGCGATGATGTTTCCCATATTGGCTTGCCCTTTGAGGATCTTCGTTTATTGTGTACTCTAGCTGCTTCAATTCGATTGTCCCAAGTACCCTGAATAACCCATCTAGGTTCTCCTTTAGCATCAATAATGCTACCAGTGACCTGTATATAAAAACAAATACGTTCAAGAAACGAAAACAAAGGGAATTTTTCTTATGATTCTGACCTTTCTTGGGACATCTCGTGAAAAGTAACTATAAGGTATGAATTTAAGAAGGCATCGATCACCAGTTGTATGATTTGTAATTACCATATCACCATGATTATCGACCCAAAGTTTACCAACAATTATATTATGAATCGTTGTGGTTACTTTGTGCCATGTGTAATGGTAACCTTGATCTGGAAACTCTAGATGGCTGATATCAACTGGATTAACTTGTAAATATTTTCCTCTAAACTTGCTTGACAATCCAAATTCACTCCAACATTTCCAACCTTTACCTTCACAATGTAATGCTAACATTGGTGGATGATGACTTACCTAAAAATATAGTAAATAGATAAAATAAAAAAAAACATAATTATGCATATATACATAAATAAATATGAATGAATGGATGGATGATAAATCAAATCTTACCTGTTCAGCAATACTTTTCCATCCTAAATCAGATGTTCTATCACATTCATATGTCTCTCCTAATAATGGATTAAAAGGTTTATTGAGTCTGACACTTGTAGTCGCATAGCTAGACACGCAAAATGCTGCAATGTACACTAATTGATTACAGCTATCATCAATTGTTGCTGCTTTGTGAAGTAGATGGGCATATTCAAAATCTTCAGTTAGCCTTTGTAACATTGATAAAGGTTCATTGAAATTAACAGGCATTGGAATTTTTGTCAGTTCTTTTCCGATACAGTTTTTCATGAAAGACCACAAATTGAGACTTTGGTTAGGTCTTTCAGGTATCTTAGTACGACGTTTTGGATCAAATGGAGGTGGCTTTAGTTCTTCTACGTCAAAATCAAAATCATTTTTCCCAGACCCGCTAGGCGTTCCTGGGACACTGGTTGATTGGGTTGAATCACTGTCTGCAGGAGCCTTCTCTTCACTGATTGACACATCAATGTTGACTTCTTCTATTCCCTTGGTTGAATTCAAGTTTTTTAATTTATTTTTTCTCACTCTTACTCCAATCGCAGCTGAAGTAGGTGAGTCTTCTGTTTCTTCATCACTCGGTAAATCATCTCCTCCAGAAGAATCATCTTGGTAATTGGAAACCGTTTCGCAATTATTTTCCGTGTAATCCTGACTACTTGCTCTTAAAGCTTTACCTGGCACAGGAACTTCAAAGTCGGTAACAGCATCTTCGAAAAATTCATCTTCGTCCGAAGTATTACCACCAGTGTTATTCTTATTGGCGTACTCTCTTTTAACCCTTTCTTCAAGTTGAGAATACTGTTTAGCCAGTTGAGCACAAACAACTTCCAAACTTGTTCTAGCTTCCCTTTCATGGTTTAAAAGTTTTTCCATTTTTTTGACCACATTTCTGGCAAGCGTTACAAATTCTTCACAATGTTTCAACATTGGAATGGTTGTGACACGGAAAACTGTTGCCTTTTCATTGTAACTTTTACAGAATTTAATGGCTTCGACAGGATTATCAATTGATTCTAAAGCAATGAAAGATTTATGTAAGGCGCTTCCATGTTTCACGATGAGTTCATTAAAGTTGGTTAAATCATTTAATTTGGCATTTAACGGCTCTAGAAACTGTAAAGAACGATCCTGCTTTTTAGAATTGATGATGTGTTTTTGATAATACTCATCCTCTGACTCTTGTAAACGATTTGCTAACATTTTGGAGCATTGTAGAGCTGTCATCCAATTTTGTCTCTGTTGTTCATTTTTAGCTTTTAGATGGAAAACTTGATCACCGTTTTGAACAACAAAACGAATGTTATCTTGCTTGTAAATGATCGCAGAGGCCAGTTTGATTGATCCACGGCAATTTTGAGATACATCTGCTTCAGAGCTGCACAAAGGTGTGATAAGTAACAGAGAAAATAAAATTAATCAAAAATCTAAGCAATGATTCAAAATTATTGCATTAAAAAATTACAACAGGTAATATTTAAATCTTTCTTATGAGGTTGTGTTGAAAAATGGATCAATTTTCACTAGTTAATTTACCTGTAATATGACAGAAGACCTTTCGATAACACAAACCATCTTTTTTGATAGCCTCTCATATAATTGGCCCACTTTTGAAGGGTTCCTTTCATCTCAGTATCAGGAACTTGAGGGCCAGAATAGTTAGCCATTGCCATAGATGTGATTATAAAAATAAATTACCAGGCGAAGATAATTTACTCAGATTCACTCAAACAGATTAAAAAATAAGATTCTAAAAAATTTTACCCAAACAGCTTGTATAGTTGTATTTTTTGTATACAATCTGGGTGTTTAAAGTAACAGAAGCAGAAGTGATGCGCATTAAATGGGCGCTTTATTTGATGTTCAACAAACAATGAATGAATTTAAATTAACTGTTATTTAACTCCTTGATGTCAAAATAATTAAAATAAAACACTAAATTATAAAAAAACGTTACTTCAAACCCATAAAAATCTGATTATGAAGATTCCTTTTAATCAATGTGCTGTGAATCCAATCTGATTGCCTATTAAAAATCAAATTGATTATTTTATTGATTAATCTTTTGAAATTTGTTTCAATAAAATCTATCATTTTTATGAAATTCATTAATCGAAAAATGAAAATAGAAAATATTATTTTGAATTGCTAAAGTTATCTCTAACAACACGATTTATATTTATACATTTTAATGGTAAAGAGTTGTTGCAGGCCTTTGTTTCAATCAATAATCAAATGTAATCATGATAAACAAACCATATGTTACTTGTAATCGTTTTATCAAATGTCAGGCTGCGTAAACAATCGAGTTAACATAAACTAATTGTCAACTCAGGGTTTCATTGAATCAATGCTGCTCACTTATTCATCCTGTTCAAATTGATAAGTAAGCCATTACATGCTTTCATTGGCTGATTCATTCAATGGAAACTGTAACTTCTGGAACATTATTCAGAAAGGTTTTAAGCTATTATTATTGAACAAAGTCTCATAAGACGGAAAACTACTTCAATGTAAAAACAAAATGTGTTCAACTGTTCACAAGAGAAGTTTCAATCGAGGAACAATTCTGGTTTTTTAACTTATCACACACCTATAAATTTGATTAAATCAAATAAAAAATTATGATATTATAGTAAAAAACTGTAAGCACTTTCAATCGGAATTGTTTTTCCTATTTTCAGACTAGATAACTGTATTCAATAATACTATAAATATACAACAAACTATTATAAATTGTATTGAGTTGAACAGAACGATGATTATTCAATTAATAGAAGAAATGGAAATGAAATTTGATAAAAATGAACCCTTCAGGCACTGTTGGCAAATGATTGACGTCAATTACAATCGCAGTTTATAAACTGAACTAGTAATTAAGTGGATTAGTGCAGTGCATCAAACATTTGTAATTACTGTTTTTGCTCATTGGTTCAGCTAAATCACATAAATACAATATTAAACCAACATGCCATCTAAATCTGATGAACTAGATGATTTAGAAAACAATTTGAATCAGACAAATTTTTACCTTTGCTATAGTTGAAAGTGATTATTGATGATACAAAATATTTTGGATCAGGATAAAATGTTTTAATTTATCAATAGGATCGTGTGATAATAAATAAATCAATATACACATAGTTGTTTCCATGCATGATTATTTAACATCCTCTAACTCTTTTTCAATTAAAAGTCGATACTCTTCGAATCCATATTCGAATGAGAGGACTTTCTTATTTTTGACCAACCACAACTCTTTGCAAACCATTTGTATAAGAGTTTCGTAGTGTGAAACTAACATAACTCCTCCGTTGTATTTGTTGATTGCATCTCCGAGAGCTTCAACTGTTTCCACATCCAAATGATTGGTCGGTTCGTCAAGAATTATAAGCTGAGGATTAGCTAAAGCCATAACAGCAAAAGCAACGCGGGATTTTTGTCCTCCCGATAAACTTTCAATGGGTTGTAGTCCAAGATCACCAGAGACTCCAAATTTACCCAAATAACTGCGATATTGTTCAATAGGTTTTCCAGGATATTTGCAAGCAAGCCAAAAATTCAATTGAAGATTGCCCCATGGTTAATTGGTCAATATGATGTTGACTGAAATAACCTAAGAAAACAATTTACAGAATTGATTAGTGATACTAGAAATAATCTTGTTTTTTATTAGATTTAAATGATGAAATCTAAATGATAAAGCTTACCAATTTTCAGATTTCTGTGCGCTTTACGTTCTCCTGATCTTGGAGAAATATCGCCAATCAATAGTTTAAGCAGAGTTGTTTTACCAGAGCCATTGTCACCCACAATACAGATACGAGATTGAAGATTGAGTGAAATCTTATGAAGAACGTCTTCACCATCGCCCCATCCAAAACTGACTTCATCCAATTGAAGGATTGGTGCTCCGGAAAGAGGTTCGCATTCTGGAAATTTGAGGACGAGTTTCTCTTCCTTTTCAAGCGGTTTAAGAACGGGTAATTTTTCCAACATCTTGATTTTACTTTGAACTAAACTTGCTCTTTTAGCATTGTATCGGAACTTGTCAATAAATTCTTGAGTATGTTTGCGGAAATCCATTTGAGATTCGTATTCTCTTTCTTTCTTTTCGTTGCATGGCTTCAGTAAAACCAAGACCGGTTAAAATGGAAGCCGCTCTAGCTGGTGATTTATCAGCTTCAGTGGCATTCAAATCAGCATAAACTTTTTCCAATTTAGCATTGACATCCTCACTGCCATCTTTAATGGCAAGCAAACGTTTTTCTTCTGCCAATAATGAAGCACGAGCTAAATCACATTCTAAAACAGCGTCAAGAGCCGTAGTTTCATTTCCAACAACCTCTTGTTCAACATGTAAGACACTTATGTGTTTTGGAGTGATTAAGGAACCATTTGAAATCATTTTAAGTAATGTAGATTTGCCGATACCATTGCGACCAACTAAACCATATCGTCGTCCATAACTAAGAATTAAATCAGCTTCAGACAAAAGTAGTTTATTGCCGAAAGAAATATCAAAATTTTCAATTCTGATATCCTTACACCGACCAGTTTCATCAATTTTGATATCTCTCCTATTTATCATTTGATTAGCAGATGCTTCTTTATTGTTTGAAGTATTGCAATAGTACAATAGTTCCTTCTGCAGCATCTCTTCTATCATGTTTAGTCTTTATTTTAGCCTCAGCCTTTTCCATTTTTTCTGGTCAACTTGAGAAGGTAACTCTCTTTGAGGACACCAAATGCTTTTATATTCCTCGAGATTACCAGTCATATTGGAAAGCATTTCACCTGAAAAGAGAAATATGAATTTAGTAGCTCATCAGTTGCAGGAAAGCTTCCATTAAGATTAAAAGGTTAGAATATTACCTAAAAGGATTGGAAAGAGCACGATGACCATCAGGGCCAGCACCATTTGATGTCTTTTTAGTCTTTTCTTCTCCTCTGTAAAAGAAGTTTAAAACATTGTTAGTTCACAATAATTATTCAGAATGAATAGATAAATACATGTGTAAAGATTGAAGCAATTGGTCACAGATATCTTTAATACATCATGTATCATCTTCCTTCTTGACACCATTTGTAACATCCATTAAAACCTCTCCAAGGCATTCAAATATATCTTCTCGATCCTGGAACTCATGTTTACCCGCTTTCAGGACATTAAATATATAGCTAGAGACATCTTCGTCAATCAAAGGAAAATTAAGACTAATAATGTATTCAGTTTTTGACATTTTGCACCACCAGAAAGTGTTGACGGCATCTAGATAGCAAGGAGTAAATCAGATGGTTCTTATAGCCAAAACGATAACACAATCACTTCATTTATGATTTAATTACAAGAATATAGATGAATGTAGACTAATTACACGATAATTAATTTAAAAAAATCAAAAATATTTACTTGAAATCAAGGTTTTTAAACGGAAAACAAACCATCAGCTTGAAAACATCTCTCAGGTTACTCTCACAGATGTGAGTTTGAGTTGCAAGGCGCTCAACAATCAATCAATCAATTTTTCAAAGATTAGATAATTTAAACTAACTGGGCACAACACGAGCAGCATATTTAGTAAAAAGTAATTACGATTAGGTTTTTTAGGCTGAATAGGCTTTTTTAACCTTAACCAGAAGGTAGATAAATATCCCTAATCGTCTTTCCCATTTCAAGGAAAGGAGCAACCAGAATGTCATTTCCAATCGCAAACTGGTCATCAATGGTATAAGTTTCAGCTGATTGTGAGTCCAACCACCAAATTGGCCTACAAATGGGCCAACCCTGGTTAAATTTCCGGTCATACAGTTTTTCATAATTGGTAAAAATTGGTGCTCTTTAATGACGATAAACTTCTTAAGAATAGTTATATCACCTCTAGGAAAAATTCAATTCCGAAATCAACTATTTTTGTTGAATAGTTCTCTAACTTATCATGGTTTAAAGAAGTCATCACTTTTCTATCGATGTTCCAAATTGGTTTCTCTAAGAAAATTGATTGAGGAATAACTTGCGAAGGATCCGAAGGATTATTATTTCGAGTTCGAACTAGCCAAGTACGTGAAACATGGGTATGAAGATCGTTAACATTAGGTCCGGTGCAAATAGTATACTCTAAATTAGGACGTGATACTTTGGACTAATTATAAGGATAAGTGTTTGTCCGTGCTTCTAAACAAAGCTGTTGTTCGGGAAAATTATTTGAAGATGAATTGAAACTGAAAAACAATGGCTATTACTTTTTAGCAAAGAGTATTACTCTTTGCTTTTTAGCGAAACCATTAAATGAATCAAAGGTGGCGCCATAAAAAGTTACCAAAAGTCACGTGGTGGATATAAATTCACATTTGTTACACATGTTTTGGTTCGTGCTATCGCCTTTTAAATTAAGTAATCAATCTTGATTTGAATTTTTGATACTTTGTAAGTAGCATTTTCTATGCTAATCCCGGTGCATCATGTTCAATGCTCGTAAATTGCTCGCCTCCTTCCGATTCGGATTACCTGCATCCCGGACTTTTCTAGCTTCACCTTCAAACAAGCTGATCACAAGTAAACATCTAGTAAATCAACATCAATTATCACCATCAAACTGTGTTCGAAATTTGTCAGTAACATCATCAAAATTAGCAACATTATCTTCATCATCAAATTCTCTCTCAAATGCTCGAGATAAAACGTTTCAAAATCTTGAAGCCAGCATTATTACCGATCGTAAAGTTTCTCTTAATAGGTTATTGAAATTCATCGAAGAATTAAAAGCTTCATCATCAATCACCAGCTCTGAAAGTTTGTTGGCAATTAGATGCTGTGGAGCATATCTGTTAGAATGCACAGTCGAAGACCGTAATCGTTTAACTGATGAAATTTGGAATCTTCTTGAATCGAAATCAGCTCCCCTGGATATCAGCCATTATAATGCTCTTCTCAATGTTTATATTGACAATGAATATCCAGCCGATCCTGCTAAGTTCCTTGACTTACTTTCCCAAAGAAATATCAAGCCAAATCGTGTTACTTACCATCGGCTGCTTCACCTTTACTGCCAAAGAGGTGATCTTGAAGGTGCTCAAAAGATTTTGTTAGAAATGAAAGCAGCTAACATGCCTGTACACGAAGGTGTATTCAATTCACTAATCTACGGTAACATTAAAGCGGGTGATATAAAAGCTGGTGAAAGCGTTTTGGATATAATGAAAGAAAATAATATCGAACCTAGTGCTGAGACTTATGTTATTCTAATGAAATCATATGCCTTGTTTATAGATCAACCTGAAGTTGTAGAGAAAATGCGAAATCTTGTCAAGAGTTTGAACAGACAGGAATTCAATTTCACTTTCGACCAATATGTGACCGTTATTGACTCAATTGCTGATGTTGATGATAAATCTCCTCTTATTGATGAGATTATAGCTGTAATGCCAAAGCAATCAGGATTCAACACTGCTCTTTCAAAACTGATCATCAAATCTGCTTACAAACAAAAGATTGAATTTGGATTGAAACTAGTCTCTAAAATGTTAAGAAATTCTACTAATGATACTTACAATAGTGTTGGAGGTTTTTACATCTATCATCTTGTCAAAAGTGGTACAGCTTTCGATGAAGTCATGAAGGCTTGTAGCGCTCTCGAATCAACTGGAACTAATGAATGGACACTGTGGAAAGCAACTGAAGCAGCTCTTTACAATTTACAGGATAAAGATGCAATTTTGAAATATATGAAAAGTTTTCGAGCCAAAACTGGCCTATACAGACCTCATTTCATTTGGCCATTGATCTGTCGAATGAAAAACAATGAAGAAATGCTAAATTTATTAAAAGAAGAAGTTGTTCCATACGCGGAAACTTTTGGAATCCAATCTATGTCGGAAACATTTAGATTCTATGTTTGGCCTCGGATAAAGAATAATCAAGACGAATTCATGGCTAAATGTATTGAAATGGGCTTTGATTCTAGATTGCTGCTTTCCACATTAGCAGATAGTGCCCAAATTGAAGGTCTTGGTATAACTTTTACTGACGTTCTCAACAAGAAACCTCTCCCCAGAAATATCAGTGATAACGATGTTTATCGAGTAATTTCAAACATAGTGAACAATGTTAGCCATGGATTACTTGCCAAAGAAATGTTGAAATTTATAATTGAGGAAACTCGACTTCCAGTCACAAACAGAATGCTTCTACCAGTTTACACACAAATTATTAAAAATTGTGATAAAGACACCGCTCTGAAGGAATGGCTTGATTGTGTAAAGATTTATAATCAAGTTCCATGTAAAGCTATCATGTTTCAAAAATTAATTGAAGCTGAAGACACTGATAATTTACAGAAAGTCACTGATATTTGTATTTCAAGAATAGGAGAAAGAGAAACTTTGATTAACCTCGCTCTAGCATTTTTGCGGTCCAAAAGGGATAAACAAGCCATGAAGATTTTATCCAAACCAATTCTTCAACGTTACGAGATTGGATTACAGCGTATAGTTGGAATTTTGTCAAGACAAAATGAAACAGAACCATTGGAAAGATTCATTTTATTAACTAAGGATATTGCTGGTATTGATAGAGAAAAATTATATTATACTTTATTAGATTCATTCATTCAAAATGACAAACCACAGAAAGCTCTTGAATTATGGACAACAATGCAAGACGAAAATTTAATCCCATCACCTAGAATAATTAGTCGACTTTCCCGTTTCTTGAAGGAAAAAGGAGTGGAAGTACCTTTCAAGTATCAAGATGAAATAAAAGAAGGAGAAGAAATTATCGCAACCGAAGATGCAAAATTTGTTCGTGATCAATTTCATAGTTTCATTCGTAATGGCAACCTCGATAAAGCGCTTGCAATAAAAAATCGATTCAATTCACCCAATTCACCATTAACACTGGGAGATGAATGTACACTTATAGACAGGCTTATCCGTTCCAATCGAACCGATAAAGCATTACAGTTAACTAAATCTGTGATGGCTGGAGGAAGATTTCCAGCTCCTAGAATCTACAAAGCACTGCTTGAAAAAATGGCCCAAGAAGGACTTTTCCGAGAAATTGGTGAAATGATTGAATCCCTGCCAGCTCCATTGAAAGAAACATCATGGTTCTCCGATACAGTTATCTTTGCCTACACTCATTCGAAAAATCCTGATATCGATTCATTGCTCAGAATCTTACCTTCCCTTAAACCATTACCTTTTGCAAGTATTTTGGAACTTCTAAATGCTTTCCCCAAATTTGAAAAACCAATATTTGAGGCTTTAGAGGAGTTATCAGCAGCCAGAGGAATCAATACACCTAAAAACATTATTTGGTTACGATTGATGAAAATGGGTAGATTTGAAGAAGCAAAACAACTTTTCCATTCAATACCCGATTTTAAGGAAACTGTTGTCTTCAAGACTTTACTTTTTGACATTAAGCGTAACAAGAATCTGATGTTAGGCTATAATTTGATCGACCAATTAAACAAGACAGATTTAAATGCAAAAGCTAAAGGAGCCGTATACGATTCAATGATTTACGCCTTATTGGAAAAAAATATGGTGAAAGAAGCCCAGGATTTACTTCTAGAAGGACTGGAAACTAACAAAGACAAAGAAAATCAATTAACTTTATCAGATCTTAACTTTGATATTCTTATTCGACTTCATCATTCAATGAAAAATAATTTAGGAGAAGAACCCAAGTTTGAATTACCGGAAAAAACGACAACCTTCAGGCCGCAATTGAGCAATTCAAATGGATCTTCAATTAAAGAAAAGAGCCAAGCTATGAGTAAAATTTGATTAGCTTTCCAAACATGTAATACATAGTTTTTTCTCTAGTTAATTAACCATGCATCATCATTTATAATTAAATAAAATTTAGTTGATATTGTACGAACCTTTTTTCTCGTAATAACTAAGTTAAAATTATATTAAAGTTGATTCAAAACACGTCAACAGTTTTCATTTTTAATACAATCGAGTTAATAGTTGAAATATAAATCAAGTATAAAATCTTATAAGATATTGAGGCTCAAATTTTTAAGGCCAATGGCCAAAATCAAGAGAACTGTTAATAAATTGAAAAAAGCGTTCGATGTGCACCAACAATTTTTACAAACCCAAAAAATCTCTTGCACTTACTCATTAGTATACATCCGATGTTGACAGTTTATCATCCTTGCTGCTATCGAATGCACAGGATTTTTAGCAATAAGAATAAAATTAATTTCTGATTGATTAAGTGCCCAAACTGTTTTGAATGAATGAGGAAACGACAAAGTGGAAAAAAGGAACTGAAATCACTTCTCGAGAAATCCTTAATGTCTTAGTGCTATTTCAAATCAGTCTTGGAGTCCTTTACGTTGCCATTACATTACTTGGATTTGTTGCTTTGAAAAGAGGTTAGTTAATATCAACATTATCCCAAGTGCAATCATCAAATTATTAACATTGACTCTTTATAGCCAAAGAACAGCCTGATATTTCAATTCCAGATCAACATATACTGGAATTCAATTTGATTGTAGGATGTGTTATGATAATAAATGGCTATGCAACTCAGATATCAATTAGACGAGGCTTGATTGGTCTTCTCCTGATCAGCATGATTATTAATTTACTAATAGTCATCTTCAACAGTTATGAACTGAATCGCAGATTCACTAAGCAATCCAAGAGTAAGATTTCTTCAACAATTGACCATTTCAATTCACTTGATACAGTTTATCTTTCATCTGATATTTCTAGATTTCTCTGAAGAGATCGCTGGACTTATATTGCTAGCCTTCCTCGAGTTTGTTCACTACTTCTCAATTTTGTATTATTCAACCCGACTCTTGGTTACATTACAAATTAAACGGCAAAGAATAGCATCCGAAATAGATTTGTCTAGAAATGAAGATGTTTTCAATGCAGCAAGATCATTTGATTCATTTGGAATCGCTCGATTATCTCTATCACCAAGACGAATGAGAGTTTCAAGACAAGCCAATCGGTAAGTTATTTAAATTGGGTTTTCTCGTAAATTCATTTTTCTTCAATCATTTACCAGATTTGGATTCCCGGTGAAATTGGAGTTGAAAAATTTAAGGGTAAGTTTTACATCTTCAAAAATTGAACCAACTATTGATTTGATTTTCATTTCTCAAATATACAGCCGGTGAGAATAGATTATGATTCGGACTCGTCGGAGGATGTAAGGAGTTTTTGAAGGTAATTATCATTTCTACATTGAATTTATTGTTTTTAACGTGAGAATCAAATATAAGTTTTTTGTTTTTCTTACCAAATGTGATTTCTGTCTTTGAAAGATCAGACTGGTATGAATTAAATAAAATATTATGCTAAATAATTGGGAAAAATAAGAAATGAACAATCTATAACATTTACATTTAAACAGTTGATGAGATGAATATTTATACGTGAACAAGTTTAGCTTCCTTTGCCATGGAATAGAAGATTGAGTTTTTATCAGCCAACAGATTGTTCGGTGAATCGTACTCGACGATCTTTCCTTTATCCATAACTATAATTTTATCATAATCCATGATTGTGTTCAAACGATGAGCAATTGTTACTATAGTACAGTCTGCGAATTCCCGACGGATAGTCTCTTGAATAAGTTCATCTGTTTCAACGTCAACTGCAGCTGTTGCTTCATCAAGAACTAGAACTTGTGTTTTCCTTAGCAATGCTCTGGTCAAACAAACTAATTGACGTTGTCCAACACTCAAGTTTTCACCACCTTCAGCAATTGAATAATCAAGTCCTGACTCTAGAGATGCTACATACTCTTTAAGATTTGCTAGTTCCAAGGCTTTCCATATTTCTGAGTCTGAATATTTGTGAAATGGATCAAAGTTTTTTCTGAAAGTCGCTGAAAATAAGACAGGATCTTGAGGAATGATTGTTAATCTTTGCCTTAAATCGTGCAGACCAAATTTGCAGATATCTTCACCGTCAATAGCTATTGTACCTTGAGCTGGTTCAACAAGTCGGAATAAAGCCAATGTTAATGATGATTTACCGGCACCAGTTCGACCAACTATTCCAACCTTCTCATTGGGTTTAATTTTACAAAATATGTTTTCTAATACCAAATCGAGGCCTTCACGATAACGTGTGCTATAATTTTTAAAGATTATTTCTCCTTTTTCAGGCCAAGTTTTCCGAGGTTGGTTATTATCATCAATCCATATGGCCTGTTGAGAGAAATCAAAATGTATAGCTATGTTAATCTAAATTCATCTATCGAAGGATATATTTGTGCGAATGGTGAAAATTTCATTACCTCAGACTCTATTTTGGTATATTCTAGACATCTTTCGATCGAAACGACACTATTTTCCACATTCGAAACTTGCCTGATTAAAAAATTAAGGATTTGTGTCATTTGTAGAGCATAGCTCAAAGCCAATCCAGTTGAACCAGCAGACGATGATCCTCTAGTTGCAACAGCAGTAAATGCAGCAATCGTTACAATTAAATTACCAAACAATTCAAGCCTAATGGACAGCCATCGATTGGCTCCAATGTTGAGAAAGAATGAAGAATGATTTGTATCGACTTTACGATAACACTCTTGAATGAAATGATCTGTAGCTCCATAAGCTCGAATAGATGTTGATCCAGTAATTGTTTCCGAAAAATGAGAGTAAATTGGAGATCTGGTTATTGATTCAATTCGTCGTAATTGTCTAGATGAAGCTATGTAAAATTTCTGTAAAATTAATAAAATTAATTAGATGCTAACTCAAATCCTTGTTGTAGTGACATATAAACTATTAAAAATAAAATCAATTTATCAACCATAACTGCACAGTAAAAGGTTTTTATTATAATAAAAAGACACATTCAACTTACATCTAATTGTCACATCCATACACAAATATGAGAAAAAATTGGTCAAAATAAATTTCTTTAAGATTTAGACTCCCTTAGCTTATAGGAACATAAAACTTGAGTTCATTTATGCGATCTAAAAGTTTCTCGAGTCTACAGTTTTCGAGAGAATCAAGTCCAAAGTTGAAACTTCGATCGCCGCTTATTTAATTGTGGAACTAGATTTTTTAATGAAACTCATTTCCCTTATGTAACTTTTGATGGCAAACCAGAAAACGAAATGATTTTTAGACATAAAATTTCCCATTTTCTTTAAAACAGATAAGTTCGATTTTAATTTAAACCGATCGCATCCATGGACCGATATAGTTAGAGGACTGAAACTTATTATTAGTGCATAAAAGTTGTTGTTCATATAATGGATCAAATACTTTTTTCAAATTATTGAAAGTTCTCTTGATTCTGGCCATTGACCTAAAAACTTTGAACCTTAATATTTCGAGAATGGTATCACTTTCAGTCATCATTCTTTAACCAAACACTAGATTCTATTGTGAACTATAACAAAGGAAAATATTAAAGAATTCAAGATTCTACAAAATAAGTTATAACAGAGTATTAGTTAGGTTACCAGATTTTATACCAGATTAACAAAGGTAAATGGTTGCTAAGTGTGTTAGATGAATGTTCATTATTAAATTAATTAGCTTTGATTTCTTTGATATTTAATAACGTTTTACTCTAACCCATAATTGAACCTAATGTTTGGTTAAAGAATGATGACTGTAGGTGAAATCATTCACGAAATATTTAGGTTTAAAGTTTTAAGGCCAATCGCCAGAACCAAGAGAACTGTCGAGTATCGGAAAAAAGTATTTGATTAACGATATTTACAACCAATTTTTATGCACCAATAATAAGTTTCAGCCCTCTAACTATATCGGTCCGTAGATGCGATCGGTTTAAATTAAAATCGAACTTATCTGTTTTCCAGAAAACGGGAAATTTTATTTCTTAAAATAAGTTCGTTTTCTGGTTTGCCATCAAAAGTTGCACAAGGAAAATAAGTTTCATGAAAAAATCTAATGTCATTGATCTACAAAAGGCGATCGAAGTTTCAACTTTGGACTTGATTCTCTCGAAAACTGTAGATCCGAGAAACTTTTAGATCGCACTAATGGACTCAGGTCGGATATCCCTACAAACTAACAGAAGCTAAATTTGAAAGAAATCGCTTTTCAACCTCTTTTGCCCATTTGTCTACAAGTATTTGTTATAATTTGTGCATAAATGTGACAATTGTGTTGATTGTGTCTTTTTTGCAACAACCGTGAATTGAAAGATATTTTTACCTGAATAAAAGCGTAAATCACACCAATGATGCCAATCCCGAATATAAGGTAACCAGATTCCATGCAAATACCAACCATCGCCACTAAATTACGAAAGATTAAGTTGAACAGAGACCTAAAATTAGGTACAATTGTTGTGTCAGTTGTATCAATATCTTTGGTGAATCGATTAAGAATCCTTCCCGTTGGTGTTGTGTCGAAAAAACTCATCGGAGCTCGAATAATTTTATGCAACATTTTATTATGAATCCAATTGGCACCATTTAAAAGAGCCATAGCAAAAATTTGAGTATTAATCAAGATCAGTAGTGAGCTTCCAGTACCCAGAGCAGCATAAACTCCGAGTCGATAAAGGCGGAAAGAAGTATTGTTAAGTTTAACAGGATCATCAGCATCATCTGACCACTCAGTTAACCATAAAGTGGAACTAAAAGTCAGACCACTCGCAACAAGATAGAAGAAAATTGTTAGAACGAAAGCCATTACACCAACTGCTTGGAAAAATTCAAGGTAAACACTAAACTTCACTGAACCAGTTTCAGCCTTTTCCGTTGTGACGATATTATGATTCTTTAAGCTCTCTTCCATTTTTTTATCCAAAGATAAATTCAGGACTGAAGCAGACCTGATGGATCTAATCGATAATCTGCTCAATTCCCTACTGAGAGCATTAATTGATGCTCTTCTTGCTTCCAGCTCTGGTTTAACACTGGCTTTCATCTCTTCTATCATGATTGGATTTTCGTCTTTCAAATCAGAATCAGATTCAAACTCAGACAAATATTGTATTATAAAATCAGCAAATTCTCCCTTTTTAGCCATCAGTTCATTGTAAGTTCCACTTTCATGGATTTTACCGTCTTTCATTACAATTATTTGATCAACTTGCGGTAAAAAGGTTATCCTGTGTGTTACTAATAGACGAGTTTTGTGTTTCAACAAACCTTTAGGACCAATTACTTTGTCAAACAGATGAGAAGCGACATGAGCATCGACTGCTGACAATGGATCATCTAAAAGGTAAACATCTGAATTTGAATAAACTGCTCGAGCAATGCTTATCCTTTGCTTTTGGCCTCCACTCAAGTTGATTCCTCGTTCACCGATCTCGGTTGTATCTCCACCAGGAAGTATTTTCATATCAGGAGTAAGAGCACAAGCCTCAATCACATTATTATACTTTTCTTGGCGAAAGGTTTCACCAAACACGATATTTTGACGAACTGTGGCATTTCGTAACCACGCAGTCTGAGGTACATAAGCAATTCTTCCATGTACATTAATAGATCCTTGCTTTTTATGCAAATCGCCAAGAAGTGCAGCTAATAACGATGATTTACCACTTCCAACGGGACCAACAATAGCAATTAGTTTATTTTGAGGTACTTCAATATTGATATTTGTAAGAACTGCTTCTTCGTCTTGTGACCAACTAAATGTTGCATTTTTGACTGAAATTGGGGTTGCCGTATTTGGTTCGTGGGCAACTGCATTTGGATCCAACTCGTCTCCTTGCAGATATTTATCAATCCTTTTCATGGAAATGATACACTACAAGGGTGCAAATGAAATAATATTTGGTTACATTTAGATCTATTAATTTATTGATTTTTCTTACATTAGCACCATAAGTAACGACCATAGGCAGTTGTATTAATGGAACTCGTAAAAGATTAATTAACGAAAGAGATACAAAAGCTTTGTTCGCATCCAGTACATTCGAGGAATCAATTAAAACGAAAGTACCAAAACAAACCAATGAAACCTGAAAATAAAACAAAATGTTATTAAATGTGATTTAGTACAATAATATTGTGATGGTTCAAAAAAGTGACCGTTAAGAGCAACTCGTTTTAAATCTGATATTTTGGTGTATTAAGTTTATGTTTGCATAAATATGTTAATGTTTTCAATCAAAACAACTACAAAAATAATGATCAACTTACACTAAAGGGTGAAAAATTAGCAAGGAAGTTTGTGACTGTTTGCCAAGTTGCTTGCTTTTTAAGATACCCAACCTCATTTTGTCTGATGGACATGATCATGTCTTCAAATGCACCTTCCCATGCATAGAGCTTCAATACTTTCATTCCGTTCAATACTTCTGATACCATTTTAGATCGTTTATCCTTTTCTGCCATTACTTTGATTTGATAATTTTTAATAGCACCACGAATACAAGCATTAAGTGGTACCAAAGCAGTCATGAAAATTAATCCAGCAATAGATGCAACACCTAATTGGAACCAAAGTAAAGTCACAGAAAGACAAATCTGAACTGGAGCTGACCATAAAACGTTTATTATATTCACATAATCGATGATTCTTTGAGTATCAACGGCCATAATGTTAACTATCTCTCCGCTTGTATAATCACGACGACCAAGACCAGACAGTCTCAAGCTCTGTTGGATTGAAATTAATGTTAGAAAGTTTACATTAAACTATTAATAAAAGTACACTACCTTATGATAAATTGCTGATATGAGGGCTGATCTCATCCTCATTGAAGTTGTTTGAATCCAAAATTCATATTGAGAATCAAATAAAGATTGTAAAAGAGCAGCAACAAACATTCCAAGTGCTAAAATAACACCTTTCCATGATGGATCATTTGAACGTATGAAAGTAAGCAGCAAATCTAGTAATTGTGGACTTGCAAAGGCTAATAAGCTTGAGAATAGCTTCAAAATGAAACAAGCTAATAACCAGGGCCAAAAAGATTTCAATAAAGTTCTGAATAAATTACTTCTGGCTTTGTTTAATGGCTTCTTTGCGTTCATTAGCTTTAAACTTTGCTGTGATTCAGTCAATAACTCAGAAAAGTTATCATGAATAAGTTTCGTTCGGCTTTCTTCCGGCAAATCCCACAAATCGGATTGAGTCAACGCTTTCTTGAATCCTAAGTATGCCATCGAATCATACCAATGGAAAAAAAGGTGAGAGACAAATGAAGATGAGACGAAATTGCCCGCTGCCTAAAGATCAAAATTCAAAAGAAAATTTTTGATGATAATTTCAAATTACTTAAAGTTCACAGGTTTCATGTCAAAAATGATAAGTAAAACCTTACTGCATATATTGACTGTTTTCGCGGTGAAGTTCTATTGATCAAAGAATAAAGAAGTTATCTTTTTTTACGGGAAAAAAGTTAATAAAACTTACATTGAATTCCTTCCCACCATTTTCATTGACAGAATCTGCTACACAATACAATAAACAAACTAATATAATTGATGTTAACTGTATTGATTTCAAAACCAAGTCAGTCTGTTCAAAAGTCCATTCACGATAGCCCTAAGATAACACGTAAAATAATAAAATTAGATTCACAATAATTCAATGAAAAAAAGGAGAATGAAGAAGCAGAATAATTACAGGATTCTGGATGGAATCAATTAATGCCCAATAATTGACTGATGATTGAATAGCCATGAAAAACCAATATAAAAACAGCAATCCAGATGTGAAGACGCCTTTTTGTTTGTAAAATAATAGTAACATAGTAGCAATCATCTAAATCACAAGCATATGAATTAATTATAAAACAAATCTCCAAAAAAATTGTAGTTCAATTTAATACTTACGAATGAACATAACCTAATAACCGGTGCAGTATATTCATAAGGATAGATGATTTCATTTTGGCTATATTTCATGAAAACATGGATAACTTCGTACGCTGTCGCTGATAATGTTTAAAAAAGGTGAAATTTTGGTAGTATAGGGAGGGAAATTATAAGTCTTTGCTTCGCTCAGACTAATTAATAACATTCATTAACAAAAACGCTTACCAATTTCATGTAAAGTCTCCATGTCCAAATTAAACTAGACTTAGGGCTTTTAAGGGTTAAATAAACAGCAAAAGGTGCAAATATCCATAAGAAGGCAGAAGAAGCCCAAAGTAAGGCAGTTTCACTAAGACATGGAGTAATGATTGGATTTGATGAGTTCCATGATAGTTCATCCTAATAGTGAAATTTCAAAACAATATGAAAACAAATGTAAAATACAGTCAGAGAAATGTAAACAGTGAAAGTTGACTAACAGGCAATAACTCTGTTTACTCACCCAAAATGAATGTCCACAAAACTCTTCCATGGATTTGATTCGAAGTTGCTTTTCATTAACTTATTTGATTTAATGACTAAAGGATTGTGCTACTGTTAAATGCTCTATTCAACATTGTTTCACCTTCTATTCAATAAATAATTATCGCCAGTAATCCACAATAATCAGATTGATTAAAGTCTTCCAATTTTTCTATCACAGAATTAGTTGATTCTTCACTTCACTTTGCCATTGTCTTTCAACGAAAATCTCGTGAATAAAGTTAACAATTGGTAACATGAGCACGAATCTTTCTACTAATATTAGTACGAATTATCAAAATAGGTGCAAACGAAACAAATATACTTAACATTTCATTTTTTATCCATTCAAAGTAAGCTGCCGACTATTTTTATACGACAAATCACCGATACTAAACTAATCTAAATCTGTTCTGCATGTTTTGCATGCAGAGCTCAGACGCTTTATACCTTTCAAACGAGCAATTAATTTTTAACTAAATATGGCTAAATGTCACACATGTGTAACACCAGCAATATATGTTAAATCATTCGAGATATGTTGAGCTTCAATTGCTCAAGTCATGATAAGTTTTCAATTCAAGTAAATCAGTTTTATTTATTTTCAATTTTTGGTTATTTCAATTTGCAACCCACAACTCTTACACAGAATATATGGTGACATCAATTCAATGATATCCTGAGCTATTATTCAATTGAAGATCATTTTGGATAAATTTAGCATTTTAACGCTAATTCAATCATCAGTAGCTGTTAACAGTTTTGTAAGTACTAAATGAAGATAAAAATTTCAATGACAATCTAGTGCTTCTAATACATTCATTGATACCTCTTAAAGGATTAATTTAATTTCTATTGTTTTCATTAAATGTAACAATCTAAGCTAATCATCGTAAACAAATATTAATTTGATAATTTTGTGTCTATTCCACTACTTTTTATTACAATGCTTACTGTATTGTTATTAGCCGGTTATCATGACTAATCATAAAAAAATCAGATTCACTTCTTAGAAGAAATCGTCAGATTCGTTCCTAGAAGCATCGTCAGATTTTTTTCTTAGAAGGAAACTTCAGATTCGTTTCCTAGAAGGATCGAACTCAGTTCAATATCTATTTTTCATGAAATGTTTAGTTTTTGGATATCGGTTGCGGATAATCATTTAATGACAACTTTTAGATGATCGATATACAGTACAAGTAAGTGTATTTACAAGTAAGATATTTTTTGTTAACTTAACAAACATTTACATATTAATATAATTCAAATATTTCTGTTCATTGAATAATTAAATAAAAGATTTGCCATCCACTTCGCTCTGTTAAGACTTTCCGTTTTCCTCATGCTAAATAAATTTGACCAAAAGAGATTGATAAGTCCCATGCTCCAAGATGTCTTCATTGAGTAGCATTCAACGGTCAGCTGGGGTTGACCAAAGTCAATATATCCAAGTTTGAATTTTCCTTTCATCAAATGGAGATCAGAATATCCAGTCTTTTCATATATTTCTGATGTAAATCATGCTCTTAACCAACCCTTGAAATTTTCAGTCTAATCAAAATCCAAAAAGAGTAAATTAAAGCAACATGTGGAAACTGTGCATACCGTAACTCAACATGTTCTGGTATTTAACTTATTTCTTATCGGACACAAAATTATTGAAAACACTGGTGATCGAATCAGGAAAATACAATTTAATTCATAAATTGAATAAACGGTATATTATTTTCAAACCTCCAGCTACAGGTAAAGTTTGTATTTAGTCTGTCTTAGGTTTTGGCAGCACTAACTAAATTGTTTTTTCATATGTAAACAACCATTGATAAAATTATATGAGTAGCTAAGTCTATAAGCTAATTAAAATGTTAGTTTATTCGTTGAATAATATTTATTGATTGTTTTATTGTTTAATTTTCACCGCCAAATCTCTACTTGAAGATATAAGTCACTATTGCTCACCAGAGGCATGAGGTCTTCATTGAATTGTAAACAAACATTATCCACCATATGATATGTAACATTTCTTTTGGTGCTTCTCTTAATTATCAATGTTATTTTTTAATTGGTAAACATAAGATCTGTGATTACTAGATATGGAAGAAGTAGATTCTATAATCATTCATCAACTTAAACAAATACATAGGTAAGTTGTTCTGATCAATATCTATTCCAGTTAATCCACTGACTAATTTTTTCTTTGTCATATTTTGCCTTGTCAGTGATTTCAATGAAGAATACACCTCTCTCCGGCAACTTGATTACAACACCATTATGAAGTGTTTGATTGAATGCATTTCTCTGGTGGATAAAAATCTTGTCAGTGGTCTCAATGTTGCTCCACAGTCTAATATGGCTTCCAAATACAAACTATGTACCTCATTAGCTGAAATTTGCGTTGAACTTGGTTTCAAAGGAGATCTTGGTTATCAAACATTCCTTTATTGCAATGACAGTGATTTACGGAGATTGTTTCTTTTTTTACTGGAAAAAATACCTAAAGATGATTCTCAAGACATGACAACTATTAACATTACCGGTGATACTATTTATGAAAAGATTTGTAAAAAACCTATTAGCACAGTCTGGCTGCCTCCCGTGATTCCCTCAAAAAGTCAAGCTTCAACCAAGCTCGTATGGAAAACTCAGCCTATCAATGGTATTCTAAACGCATCTAGTATTTCTGGTAATAGAATTGCTCCTGATAAAAGAAATTATTATGATAACTATGCAAAGATTCCCTTACACGATGTTGCCTCGCTGTTAGAATGGAATTCAGCATCTTTAGATACAACATATACTCGTTTAACCAGTTCCAAGAAAAGGATGATAGAGAATGTTGAATTTGTTGGACAAAAAATTGTGACAACTAATAATTTAACAAGAGAGACATCGGACGACAATTTTGTCGTGTCATCTGAGGTTCAAGCTAATGATGAAGGGGATGATGATGAAGCAAAAGAATTGGAATTGAAAGAGATAATGGAAAAGGAAATCTCCTCATTAGAAGAAGCAATTGAAGAGACTAAACAGAGATTATCTGAATGCGAGCAAATTTTCCATCAACAAAATCAATCAATGAAAGAAGCCAAGGAATCACTCAAAATTGAAACAGACAAATTAATTAGCATGAAAACAAGTGATAGAACAATGACTAATTTAGCCAATGATGTTGAACACGTTAAGGCGGAACTTAGCTCATTTCAAGATCAATGGAAAACCATTAGCGGTAAATTGGTGGACAAAATCAATGCAATTAAAGAAGATAAATTACTAGCCAGTCAAAATAGAAATTTTATGGTCCAAGAAATTCATAAAATGAAAAAAGAAAGTCGAGTTAAGCTGAAAGAATTGAATGAAAAGGATGGATTGATAAAGCAATTGCGAGACAAGAGCAAGAAACCTCTTCCTCCCAATCGTGCATCATATACTCAAAGAATCATGGAGCTTGTCAATAATGTGAAAAAGCAAAATGAAGAAACCAAAAAAATTCTTCTTGAAACTAGACAATTGCAGAAAGATATCAATATAGTCACTGGAAAAGTTCAAAGGGCGTACACAATCACTGATGAAACAGTTTTCAGAGTAAGATATTTCATTTCATTCTCAAATAATAATTTATTTCAGTTTATTTTGTTCATTCTTATAAAATTCATGGTTAACTCAACAATTTTTATCAACTTTTTTTGCATCATTTATTCCTCTATTTGAGCTTATTTTATGAAACGTAATTCCTTGTTTCATTTCACAATCTGGTGTCATGCAAAAATCTTGCTGATATTGCTTATTAGTTTAGTTTAATATTGACATACATTATGCTCCAGAATATCTTTTCTTCATTTACAATAACTCTTACTTCAATGTAGGGCGACATTGTAAGTCTCTTTATTTGCTCATTTATCTTTCCTTTTTATCTTCCTCTCTATATGTTTCTTCACGAAAGGATGCTAAAAATTCAGATTGGAACCGTAAATGTTATAAACTTCTTGCTACTATGCACAAGAATTATGATGCTCTTTTGGATTGTGTTAATGCAATCGGAACAATTCGTAGAGAGACTTTGCAATTAGAGGAAACGGTGAGTACATTATTACAATCTTTATTATCGTTTACAATTTCAGATTCGTGATGCCATTTGATGCTCCAATTTAGCCTTTGAATCTAAGAATCATAAATCTTTGGTATAAAAATGAGTTTGGTCACAAGTTAACTAATTTCTTGGTCTTTTTCTTGTCTCCTGAATAGATTGAAAATGAGAAACATAATGAATCAATAGTCAACTTGGATCGCATTCAGCAAGATCTAAAGCAATTGCAAACAGAGAATCATCTAATAATGAACCAGAATGGAACCAATGGTCAGCTTAATTAACTTCCTGATTGGACTTTAGCTAATTAAATTATCTCCAAGTTACATGAAAACCAAAAATCCTAAGGAAGCCAATTGAATTATCATTATTCTCATGGGGAATGTCAATTTATCCTGTCCTGTTTTTTACCTATTTTTAGGAAAATTGGCTTATTTTCACATTTTTAATCAGGAATATTTTTTGACAGCAAGATGAAGATCGCCATTTTGTAGCGATTGATAATTGTGATGATTATTTAAATGCCATGCTGCTGACATTTGCTTCTTCCATTTGGTCCTGGAATAGTTGAAACAAATTGTATTGAAAAGATGGGAAAATCAATGAAAGATCAAAGTAATCAAGTTAAAAGAAAGTCAGTTGGATCAATTTAAAAACAATATTTGACTATAAAAAAGATGTGAAACAAAAGTTAAAGATGAATCAGAAAAATGATGAATATTGTCAATTTATTTTTCAATTTTCCTATCAACAACATTAATCAAATTGATGGGCAACAGAAAATTATAAATATGAAAAAGAAACATGTAATTAACACTTTTTTTACCTTCTATTTTGAAACCAAGTTTTGATTTGTACTTCAGTTAAATTAAGAGAAATGGCGAGTTCCATTCTTTTACTAACATTCAAATATTTATCAATCTGTTTTTTTATGTTTGTATTGAAAGAGAGAAAGATAAAATGTCATGTTAAATTAAATTCAAGTTTCATTTATCTATCAACTTACTTGAAATTCATTCTCAAGTTTCTCCAATTGTTTAGCTGAATAAGCCTGCCTTGGACGTCGCTCCGTGCTTGGTTTACGGTGTTTCTTAACCGGATTGAAACTGTGGTGAAAATGATGGTGGTGTTGAAATGAGGGTGACGATGTTGATGATGTTTCATCACCATTTCCAATAATAAAGTCACATCCAATTATACCAGGTTCAAGGAGACCTGAAATTGATTGTTGGTCGTGATGCTGTTGGTGGGAGGTATATTGATGTTGCTGTTGTTGATGATGATGATAAGATGAATAGGTTTCAAGGATATTTCGATACGCTTGATATGTTTCCCAAGATGCTTGATTAACATGATACCATGAGTTGGAGTCACCATGGTTTTTAACTGGACTCTGAGGTTTATCTTGAGGATCACCAATGATACGATCAATGGAAAACTAAAGAGGAATCAACCAAGAAGCAATAAGCATGATTACATGAAGGCAAAACATGGAAACATTAAAAACCCAAAAAGTGATGAAAGGTGAAAAATGAAAATGCAAAGCAAAGAAAAAGCAACACAAATGCAAACAAAAAATATCAAGTCAACAATAGGGAAAATGAAGCAACATGATGATGTCTATTATCGTTATGATGATGATGATGAAGCTGGAGATGAAAGTTTTCACTTTAACTTGCTTTTGGGTCTCATTCAATTACCTTAAGTGAGTTATTGATGGTCAAAGAGGAGTTCATTTGAGCAATTTTGTTTACTCTTTATCCTTGTGCTTTTGTAGCTTATTCAATTTGTTTAACTTTACGTTTTTCGTCAGTTTACTTTTCACTGTTGGTCTTTCGGTTGTTATTTTCAATAGCAACTTTCAATTGATACACAAGAGAATGGTCAGGTTGTTGATTAACTCAGTACAATTCAACTTAACATTGATCTTGTATCGCATGGTAAAGAAACTAGGTATCGGTGTTGATCATGTCGATGTACACTAACGTCAAGTAATGTCCAAATACATCTCAAAAAGATGCAAAAGTGGCCTTTTCTTTTTTTTCATCACCAATACTTCTTCTCACTCAGACTCTCACTCTTTCAGCCTCTATGCCATTATCAAATCACTAAATTGACCAATGATTAACTAACAGCTACTTTTCATGAGACCATCGAGAATGAAGGTGTTAAAGCCAGGGCAAGAAAGAAGATAAAGTTATGGTTGTGATGATAATGCGAAAAAAAGGCAGAGAAAACGAATGATTGTTGAGAAAAATTTTGATAGTTAAAGAAATGGGATGAAGATAAAGAGAGAAAGTAACAATTAAATAGGAACATTGTCTTGGAAATGATTCTCCTTCTCTCATCACCATCATCATCCGCCTTCTCTTTCTCCTCGTCCTTCCTTAACCATCCAAGTAACATCTTAATCAACAATAAATCGGGTAAAATCGTGTGAAAATCAACAGCTTCCCTTGATCAATTTTCCTCTTCTTTAATGTCTACACTTGGTGAAAAACCCATTGATTAAACCAGCAATAATCACCTAGAAATGAAACAAAAAAAAGAGGTTAACCAACAAATTGCAACTTAAACACCTTTATCGTGACCATTAACAAGCAATCGATGAATTGTCAATGATTATTAGGCTAATAGAAACATCTAAAAACACTGAGAATGTTGAAAATGATAAATAATTGATCAAGAAAAACATGAAAACAAAGTGTAAAGGGGAGGTTAAATAATTTCGTGTTGATTAAGTTTTAATGTTCCCCTTACATTATCATCAACAGTGACAGGTTCAATCAGACAAAGTTAACCAACAAACAAACAATCAAATTAATATAAGTGCCAATTTAGATGATAAAAACATTGTGATCATCAGTCACCTAAATCATTACCAAATCAATTTGGATACTCGCTAAATACACCACAAGACTGGGAACATGTATCTTTGTTTTTCATCTTATTTTGTGAATCTTCCCATATGTCAACCCATTTATTTAACAACTTGATCATCTTTGCCTTTCAACCCTCGTTTTTATCATCTTTCCTTTTCCCTGCATCATCCATCCTCCTCCTGATTTACTCACTACTCGTAATTTGTTTGCCTTTTAATTCATTACATTTCAATTATCAACTGTTTTCCAGAGTAAAATTGTATAAACTTGATCTCAAATGAAAACCTTTTATTTGTTATTTCCAGACAATTGACTTATGTTACTGTTGTGCTAGAAGAGGTAAATAAATTGCCTTTTTTGTTTTTTCCACTCCTGAGTTTTCTTTCACCTTCACTGTTTCATCCGATAATTTATTCAACTTCACATATTTAACTGGATCGATAGTGGATAATTTAGTGATACATTTACATGAAGACACATTTAATTAACTGATCATTATCACTCTTAGAGTTGATTTGGCAAATAATGGGAAAACAATAGTAACCTTTCATGTTTGCATTTGATAATGAAATGTTTGTTCCTTTCACAGATCTACTTTATTGATTATTTACATCATTCCGATGATTTATAGTTTTATTTAAAAGTTCAAGTTGACATTAAGTGACTAACTAACATGGCAAAATGTTAATTTTGTCCTAAATCAGTTTGAAAACAAACAGTAAAAGCCAATGCGAAATAAAAGAGGCAAAAGTGATGAACTTAATTTCCTTAATTTCACTGTTTCTCAGGACTCAAGCAATCACTAACTTACTAGGTAAATGGTTACCTTGCAAAATTCAAATGTCAAACCACCATTGCTGGTTGTGAAACCAATTTCAGTCAATTAGTGATTACAATCAACAGTCAACAAGGAAGCCAAGTCTCAAATGTGTGATTAACTATTGATTTTGGTTAACATTTGCAAAAGCCTGTGTTGATCAAAGTCATTGAAACTGATTGTATATTTTTGGGTTTTCATAGTCTTAATTATTCAAATCCAATTTAGACAGATTAAACTTGTCTGATCATTAGGTTCAATATATGACTTCAAACTTGAGTTTAAGCTTAATCATATTTGTATTATCCTGGATTTGCTTAGAGATTTTGATTTACAATTGTTCAGGGAATTCAAATATCAACCAGAAATGAAAGGAAAAAACAAATTAATGATCAAATTAATGAAAAATATATGATAATAACAAATGAATCTTTTTTCCTGGCATTAACATAAACTCAACTCATTTCTATTATATCAATACATTAGATGAAAGCTAAATTTTTTGCTTCATTCTTTTCTCATAATTATCCATTTCAGGGAAAGTGATGATTGAATATAAAATTCATATTTATATTCAGTCATTTAATGAATTCCTTGAGGGAAACTTAACTGTAAGGATGAGGCTTGGCTTGTATTCATAAAAATAATGCACCAAACATTTGTAATATTATATGAAAAGATATTTGCTTAAAAGTGTAATCTAAATGCATAATAATGTTCCCTGTCTAAATTGTAATCAACTAACCTAAATGGATTACAGTTCAATGTATTACAGATTAAATCTGAAATACCAACTGATTCAGGCAATCAAACCAAGTAAAATTGAAGCACCTCTGGCATTGATGTAAACAAGTTAAAATAATCTTCGTTTCTAACAAAAGTAATTAAAAACATTAAGCCTTTCGTGTCATCAATTAAACAATACAAATTTAGGTTATCAATAGCATGTAGGTACTTTGAATTAGTCATGCAAACAGATAACCTTTTGAGCTGCTTCAACATTCAAAATTTGAACAATGAAAAGTCAATCCAATCATCGCAAGTTCACTCTTCGATGATTGTATTTTGCTTTCACTTTCATTTAGGCTTAAAATGGTCTGTAATTTTGATCAATGCTTTCATCTCTGCTTTAGCTTTCGCTATCAATGTCATTGCTTTCATGATTTCATATCAACAAACTCGTGGTTAACTTTGTTAATTCATTACTTCCAGAATCATTAATAACTCCTTCGATAACAAAGGTGATGTGTTTCAATCATTAACTCCACGAGGCAACTACAATCAGACTCAATAAGTTAATAACCTCAGATGAAAACAACTTCACAGGCATCTTGGTTTCCCTCTTGATCATCTGTTTCATGAGCTTTCTTCTTGGCTTTTATTGTTCAGAGTTGAAGAAGAAGAAGAACAGTAAAAATCAATAATTGACCTTAAAATTCCAAGAAATTTTGAATCCTTTTCTAGGGCCACTTAACTTTTATTGCCCACAATATTGATTTATTGATTCTTGTTAATTTTTCCATTTTTCGTGTCATCCTGAAGTACACAAAAGATACAAAATAAACAGGATTGAGTTGACATTTTGATAAAAAAAGCAAATAATGATGAAAATATCAATTGTGTAAGCAAAATAGAAATGATAACAAACTTGAGACAAGATGAATCGGGTGGAAATGTCTGATTTGAATCAATGAATTGCAAATTTGTTTCCAAAAAATATAAAAATATGATAAATGCAATGAAAAAAGTGTGTAAACAGGTTGACAAGTATTGTGAATTGTCAACTATTACTTTGAAATTTGACAAGCTGTTAAAAAAAGCAACAAAAGTTGCAATTTTTTCTCGAGCCAGACTTGATTACGTGATTACTTGTGAAATATCATTAATCTGAAATGATTAAATTGTTGATGGCAGATAGTTTTCGTCGCATTTAGCGTTACATGGTTAACAGAGTCTTTACATTCACCAAATTGATGTCCCTTTTCCGTTCAATGTCATGTTTGGTAATACATGGAAAGATTTTCGATTTATCATCAGCTAAATTATCAATCTAATGCATACAGATGGGAAAATATAATGAGCCCAGGATTAACTCTAAATCTGATTGTCTGCTGAAAGTTAGCAGAGCTGGGAAATCAATGAATATGAAGCAAAAACTTGCGATCAAATTCAATGACCCGAGTCAAGTGGAGTGAGAAGAAGCAGACGAAGAAGGGAAGATAAATGAAGATATTAGAGAAAGTGTCGGAAGATCGGGAAAGTGTAAGCTCATCAAGTAAAAATGATTTGTTTATTGGTAAAAGGATTGCTGATAGAGGTAAGGTGTAGGTGAGATTTGTGATATAAAAATGAATAACCCTGAAGGAAAAGGTGATAAAAAGGAGTAAAAAAAGGAAAAGTAAAAAGCAAAAGAAAAGGAATGAAAAAAGGGAAAAATATGGATCTTAAAGCACAGGATGTTGAAATGAATGAAGTGTGATGGATGTTGCAAGGTGTTGTTGAGAAATAGAAGTTCAGATCAGGGGAGAAACGATAATGTTACCAGAAGATATCAGTGAATACCAGAATGTTTAGCTTTTGTTGCATCACAACACAGATAATCAAATATTACACAAATATTAAATTGTGAGTTGAATGATTTCACTTCACCCAATGTTTTGTAGTCGAATGGCACATCATGGCAAAATGGTGAAAACATGATAATGGAGGAAAGAAATGGCAAGGAAAATGAAAAAAGGATATAAAAGGTAATAAACTTGATATAAATATACTTGGCCTTTTCGTGGAAAAAAGGTTTTCTTTATGTCTTACCTTTGTTTTTGTTTTAAAGGTTTCTTGTGTTCAATTTGATTGAAGAGAGGTCATATTGGGTACATTAATTATAATCACTTCTCGTTACATGACTTACCTAATCAATCCCTGAAATAAATGATTCTTACCTTGTTGATTGGGTTCGCTCCACCCATAATTAAGTCACACTAGGATGTCTAATTAGGAAATAATAAAGAGATAAATGTTGATTACACAAGTTCAAGTGTACAGGTTGAAAGTAATAAAAGGTGAGATCATTTTTCGCTTGAGATTTATCATAAACCTTATAATCGATCAAAAATTAAAAATATAAAGTATGCATTCGATGCATTTTGGTTAATGAAAACTAATTACGAGTCATCAACCTGTTAACCGATCTTGTAAGCCTGTGCACATCATTGGACAATAATTAAGGCTGATAAGAGAGGGAAAATCAAATTCCCTTTTGAACCTTTCATAGAGAACCAGAGATTACACAATTAGTCCTTGAATCTCTATAAAATCAATAAAATCTTCAGAACCAACATGATGATCATCATCGTCTTCCTTTATTCCTTCACTCAAGTCCTCAAGACATTCAGTGTGATTAGTCACAATAACCAGAATCAAGGTTAAACCCAATTGTAAACGATTGAGTAAGAGGCAAGACTAGAGGCAAAATGTTGGTGAAAAAAGGCAGAACCATGGTTTTAAGGTGAAAATTTCATTTTTTTCGGATAAGCAAAATCTCAGTTCTAGATTATTAGTTCGATGAATTTTCTCAAACTATTAATAGCAAGACATATTTTTGGAGCTTTCAGCTGAAATTAGTCACAATTTCTCAGATCTTATAGATCAATCATAGTTATGAACTGTTTTTCAACCGAGTAATCCCTGATTTTGTTTAATAAATTTCTGCTTTCAATGCCTATGTTGATCTCAAAAGTTTCTGGTTTGATTATCCATGTGTACACATCTATTGAGGATTTTTCGTCTTGCTCATCATCATTTGCCTTCATGATGAATTGCTATGAGTCACTGAATTTTCCAAGCCTAAAAATTCACACAGATTTTGGTTGAAGTCAACTTAATTAGATGGTCATAATTGGCATTGATCCAATTCTGGTTAACTTTCTATTTGTACAAAAAAACCTAGTTTTTTCATTTAACCATTAATCTTGACGCTTTTCAAATGAAGACAATTAACAATTCTAGAAAGAAGAAGATAAATGTTGATTAAATTTGCTGATGGAGAATAATTGTATGAGCTAATAATAACATATAGTTAATTAAAATAAACAGAATATAATGCAAAAAATTAAAATTGGAAACAATGAAAATCATTCAGAATAAGGAGGGAAATTTGATACAATAGCTGCTTAAATTGCATATTAGTTGATGTAAAATGATTACAATTTAAGTTAGGATCGATCTTCTGTAATGAAATATAAAATATAAAATGTTCATCTTAAAATTAATCAACGACGTTGCATGTTGGGTTACAACATGTCAACCAGCATTATTAATCAATTTGATATTTGAATTGTATTAAAGTGCATAGTCTTGACAAATTGTTATTAACATTCAAAAAACGATAATGACTTTTATTAGGAAATAAAGACAAGAACTGTTCAGCGTAACAAATAATCAATGATGATAATGATTTTGCCAAAATGATTATTCAGTAAATCTTATGATTGCAACAGTTCATCATAATAACCCCATGTTAACAATTATCAATGTGATTACAATTGATGTAACTTTCAGAACAATGCATACAAAGCTTACCATTGAGACAGTTAAAGAAAACTTGACCTTTTCTCTGATTGCAACAGGTAATGTCATTGATTAAACCTATGTTGCTCAACAAAAAACTTAAATATCAACAATTAACACTTCATTTTATTGATAGCTTTTCAAGCTTTGAATTTAATCTCTAATTGTTTGGTAATGCATCATTAACATTGGTTATTTTAATTGTTTATTTAAGATTTTCATTTCAAATTGCACTTCAATAGCACTTAAAAATGTATTTGTGAGTCTTCTACATATTAATTAACAGTTAATAAAACAAATTCAATAAACAATAGAAATTATTATTCTGTTCTTATCACCAACAGTTAGTTAATTAATATTTGCTTGTATTTGTCTTCATCAACTCTCCTTGACGATTAACGTAAACTTGCAATTGTTTATCAAGATTTTGCCTAATTAAATGCAATGTAAAATTCCATTTTATTGTTAGATTTATTAACATTGCGAACATCTGATTGAATGATTGTTGATGATTTAGCAATGTGTTGATGTAATCAATGGGTGAGCAATTCAGATGCTCTTGCAAATCTCATGAGTTATGATTATTAACCATTAATTTTACAGTTACTATTTAAAATACGCACAATATAGGTTAAAATGTGATAAAATAATCATTTGTACTCAAACTTGAGATCGTCTAACTAACTTTATTATAATAAGGATATTAATTAGTTGCATTGATATAGAAGTTAAATCAAGATTATAGGAATCAATTGGTTATTAATTGGTTTGATTACAAGAAACGAGGAAAAAATCTATTAAAGACAGTAAAATTAGATCGTAAATTGAAACAAATTATTCATGGCTAAATTGGAAGCAACTAATATACTCAAAATGAAACTTTGATTTGAATGTAAAAGGAAAAGTCAAATGCACTTGGAATATATTGAAAGAATCTTTTTAATTAAGATCCGCTTTTGGTTCAATAAGTGGAACTTTTCATTGCAAATCGCGTTTCTAGTAATGTAATCAATCATTAACCATTTACTTTTCGTAAACTTACATTAGTTTTTTGATCGAAAGATTGTAAATTGATGATTGAAAGTAAATTCATAAATAAATAAAATATTAATAAGTTGAGTTATTTTTGCGTTTTTTGGATTCATTTGTTTGCTCTTAATTTTTACTTTATACTTTAATGCTTTACTTTTAGTCCTCTTCATTGATTGTTGACTTGAATGAAAAGTCTCCTTATTATATTTCTATATATTCAATTGTGTATCTAATTGTGTAAAATTTATGGTTGAATTTGATTAGCCATTTGTCGTTGCACCTTTTTGTACCCAAGGTTGGATGGATGAGGCAAGGTGGGTTACCTTCAGTAACTGCTTTGGCTTGATACACTGATTTGTTCTTGATCTTATCCGATTTAAATCATTTTCATTTGTTAATCTTTAATTGCTGAGGTCATTTATATCAACTGTTAATTTTATGTGCAATCAAAGTAGTTTATTCAAAGTCAAAATGAAAATCAAAACACATTTTTTGAGTAAATTTCCACTTGAGAGGACAATTTTCCAATGGTTTTTATTACCATGAAATCTCTTATATATTTACATTTTAATTGTATTCATTACATGATATTTCAAATAATTTACCTCAATGTTAACCTAGACCTGAATGTGATAAACCAATGATAAAACGTTTTTGTCTTTTCACATTTTCATCTATCAATTGTTTTTATTTAATTGATGTTTGTTTCAATTCAATTTGTATTTCATGCTTCCGGAAGCCTGTTGACTCTCACAGATCCAAACAAAATCACAATCACTAACAACACCTAAATCATGAAACTGGTTTATGGTTTGTTGAACAAAAATTCACTTGAATATCCGTTTACATGTGACAACTTCAATCTGTTGTTAACAATGTAATATGAACTGTAAACCTGAATTGAAATCTCAAATATGGACGATATTAATCAAGCCAAGATTGTTGATTGATCAAATAGCACTTCACCAATGATTGGGAACACAATAGACTACATGTTTTGACCATCAAATCTTGTTATTGACTCTATTATTTCAGTAATTTAATACACATGAACTTGATTGCGGCTATTAAATGTCAGTGTTAACAGTCCTAAAACACACTGAATTAAAACAACAATAGGATCAACAACTGTCACATTGTTTGTTTGACATTTTAAACTCGGGTTAATCAGTGTTGTAAGACAATTTAAGCCCAATGTTCAACACCAGAATATCTAGACTTACTGTAAATTATCATGTGAATAGCAGCTTCAAGATGTTAATAGCATGTTAAATACAAGGGAAAACAAAGAAAACATTAAACCTTAATGCTTTTATATCAACAGCATAATAGTCATGTATATTTTAGGGGAACCTTTTTGGGTTAAACTTGTCTACTTTTGCCAGTTCCAACAGAATCATTATCATCTTAACCAGATTTGTCATGATTTATGATCAAGGTTACACTTTTAAAGTCTTCAAACCTAAGGAAGCTCTGATGACTCTGGAGCTCTGTGTAAGTCAGTAAGACGAGTCACTGAACTCAAACATTCATGTAACTGCACCTCTCTTTTCCCTCCTTTTTTTATCATCTTTTTCTCATTCTTTACTCGTGAACTTTTCTGTGAATGCCAGGGTCCATTCAGGACGATCACATTTACCCTTTGCTGTTTCAATCTCATGAGAATTGATCACCATTTATTACCGGCTAATAGAAATATTTATTTATTATCTAATTCATACATGTCTGGATTCTCATGAGCATTTGCTTTTCTTCATGAAACAGGGTAAAATTCACTTTATATCATTGTACATTCGAATCAATGGAAGTTACATAAGAGGAAAAATGGAATAAAATGACGAGACAAATAATCTGACTCTTTTTTTACGATTCTGACTAGTTATGGTTTCGTTTCATTACTTTTTGTCATTTCGTAACTCATGAAACTGCTTCTGATTCTGTTGCTTTTCCTGATTATGATTATGATAGTGATGATATCGATGACGATGATGAAGATAAAGAGCTTGCAATCCAATTCAATCCAATAACTTTTGTCATCAATTTTTCCTTTATATTCCTTAAATCTTTTCTTATCTTCACCAAAACAGTTAAAGATATAATAATAAGCTAAATAATACAATAACAAGCCTTCATACACTTCATGTACTTTATCTTCATAAATACACCAAAAGCATCCAAATAAATTGATGTTGATTCTTATTCACCTGAACATTATTACCATTAAATTTAACAGGATTAAACCGTTGAAAGGGTAAAAAAGAAAGTAAATCAGCTTATTTCACCATCCATGATTAATCTTGACATGTTTCCGAAGCATGACCATTGAACAAAATTGCTCAAAATTACGGATGAAACTTAATGAACACATGCAACTCCACTTGAAGGGAGGAAATGAGGATTTGGTTGTAGCATTTATTCAAATTAAACTGTGGATTATCTGGTTATTGGCAAATCAAAGGACACCAATTTATTGTCACTATAAAAAGAAACAAAAAAACTGTGAAATAACAATTAGATTATGAACAACGAAAATACAAACCCTGATTGAATGGGAAAACAGATGTAAAACAAAAGAAGGAAATGGAGGTTTAAACGGAAAAGGCAAATCTGGTTTAACGAGCACAAAACGGAATGATGAGTTAGATCAGTGAAGTAAATTGACTGGAATTGTATAGATGAGTGTTTATGGTTCCTAAAAGGATAAATTATTTTAAAATAAGAGTAAAAATTGTTCATTAGGAAAACTTTAACTGTTTGTCAGTTAAATAAAATTGGGCTAAGCGAGTTACTAACAGTTTTTAACTCCAAAAGCTACACACGCTGTAGGCGTACACCAAAAAAGTAGGAGATACCAGCAGGTGGGGATGAAATTGGGTTACTTGCCTTTTGTCAAGGCTTTTTCCTTTTGACGTCCCCTTTTCTGTTCCCTTTTTTTCCCTCTCGCAAGACAACCGCCTTCTCCAACCAGAGCAATCTCTTTCTTCACTCACTCAACAAAGGTAACTCACTCTCTTTATTTCGCTCTTCACATTTATTCCCTTTTCATTTGAAACTCAAGTTTTCAGTCGGAAAAGTCACTTTAATAGGAGATAATCAACTTTGAAATTGTTTATATTTTTATGTTTTCATCAGTTTTCCTTGCAAAGTTTCCATTTCTTTTATTTGCATGAATTGCTTCTCTGCTCTCGTTTATTTATAAATATATAACACATTTTACCAGATAAAATTTCACCATCAACACAGATATGCTTACATATGTTCGAGATAAAGGAAAGTTAACTGAAAATGAAGCTCGTCCGCTTTTCTATCAAATCTGTGCCATTGTTGCCGATTTTCATTCAAAAGGAATCGTACTCAGGGATGTAAAACTACGCAAATTTGTCTTCAAAGATCCTGAAAGGTAAGTTAACTGGTTAGATTGTTTCACTTGATTTGTTTTGGTTCAGAGTATCCCTTCAATTTATCCATTGTTTTTATTCAAGGAGATTTGACAGAAAATTAAAATTGTCATTAGATTGCTTGTATTGAGAGTAACCAAAAATTTAAGAGATACTTGTATATTCAGTATACAAGTTTATTCAAGCAAACCATTACGAATTTTGACTTATTTTTCACTTCCTAATTGATTGAAACGGATTTCTCAAGTTTCAAAGAATCATCAGTGTATCAAGTTTAAAACTTTCCTTCACACTTGTAGCTTGTTTATGTTACGTCATTAGAACAAGTTTCTCGACGTTGATATTTTTTTAATTTTGACTCATTTTAATAACTGTATTTATTTTTTATTTATCTTTTTATGTAGAACTCAATTGACTTTGGGATCTTGGGGTGAAGCTATTGTACTTGCAAATCCACGGAATGATCTAATTGATGACAAAAATGCCTGTCCCCTCTATGCCAGTCCTGAAATATTGCATAAATCAACTACTCACTATTCAGGACGCCGTGTTGATTGTTGGTGTCTTGGTGTCATTTTGTATACAATGTTAACTGGCCATTATCCTTTCCATGATCCTGATATCAATGTTTTATTCACTAAAATACGAAAAGGACAATTGGAAATACCAGATTCAATTTCTCCAACCGCTGAATTTTTGATACGAAATTTACTTAATAGGCAACCTAAAGAGCGACTGACTGCTCGCGCCGCTATGCAAGACAGATGGTTCACCGAGAAAGATGTTTACTTAGAGCCTTATGACCTTCTTCCTGAAAGCCGACTTCTTGAAACAGATTCTTCTTCAGCAGCAAGGTCACATAATACACACACAACATCATCATCATCACATCGTACAGCAGTCAACTCGTCAGCTTCGAATTCACGCTCTCATCCACCTTATTCGTTACAACAAAGATATTTACCACGAAACCGAGCTAACAGTCGCAAAGTTTATACTACCTCGATCTCAAACGACCAAATTGTTCCACAAATGAACACATTCCAGCGTGAAAGTGATGCAATCTTCCATTGGACACTTACTTCTGGCCTCTTGTCCTAACGTTGATACAACCATAGAAAACTTAATCACTGAATACTGATTCAACTTATTCAGTATCAATGGTGACCCGTAAAAAATACAACTGATCATTAATCAACTTAATAAGCTTGATTTTATACATATGCTTGATTCTCAAAACAAACTTTTCTTCAGTTTAAAATCTACTCACTAGTGTGTGCTGCTGAAGACTTATTTCTGGACTTTGAAGTAATGTTCAACAACTGATTTCTTTTCGTTGCAGCATAAAAGATAAAATCATGACAATAATGTTTTCCCAGACAAAAACAACAATATAATGATTATAATTACAATGAATCTCTAAATTGATAAATGTGAATAAGTTCAACTTATTAGCAAGTTTAAACGATTCAGTTGAAAACTGAGCCATTTAGCAACAAATAATTTTTTCAAATCCGATCTTAAAGTCCATTTATCTTTTCTGGCACATGTTGAACTATAAATGAAATTAATCTGCAAGTGAATTGAAATTTATCAATAAAATTTATGAATTGAAAACGAAACGAGTCACAATTTGTTCCAACAATTACATTCCCATGTATGTGTCACTATGTGCCGTTGTACATCTAAACATTTTCATTATCATATCTTGTGGTTGTATTGCTGATGAAAAACAAAGTAATTTTCCCCACTAATTATTTTATCATTATATTACCAACTTAATTATTTGATGATAAACATATGCAAATTTTACATCGGCTTGGTCGTTAGGATAACAATTTTGCTGCAACTCATGATTAGAGAATGGTAAATCAAAACTTGGGTTATAGGAATTACATAGATAATGAAGAGATCTTGGCTTTATTTTCATCTCCATCAATCGAGTGAATCTAAAAGTTTGACCACGGAGTTAGAGGCAATGATTAGACCATAATATTGCCATTTTAAATTCAGCTATAAATGATAATTATGATTAGCTTTTACTGCTATGCACCTATCGAAATCATGAATAAAATTGTTATTCTCAAAATGTCCCATTGTCCTAATTATACAGACCTTGTACTTACCAGACAGATTTGCAAGAGATGTCTAATTATAAGGAAAATCACAAGTCAATAAAGTTTTTGGCGATAAGTCAACATAAGTTATCAAAGTTTGGCTAATTTGATCATTATGACAAAACTTTGATTAAAAAATTATAAAAAGCTATTTTCCGGTGAAATTCTGCGTAAATAGCAAGACTATTCCCACACAGTGACTGTTTGAAAATAATGGGGACTCACTAAAAGACCAAGATCGACCAGAAATGGCCAGAAATGGCCAAAAACCAAAGAAACTACTAAATGGCCAAAATATCAATTTTCAAATGTCTTATTGCAAAAAATTATAAAATAACTGTTTTACTTTATACACTCAGCCATATTTAAGTTTCAAGCAAAAATAGCACAATGAACTAAGCTATGAATTTTCTCGGTTAATATTGATTTTTATAGTGAGAAATTGAATCAGCATAATTAATATCATCAGATGTGCATAAATTAGCGGATTAAAACTTTAAATATGGCTGAGTGTATAAAGTAAAACGGTTATTTTATAATTTTTTGTAATAAGACATTTGAAAATTGATATTTTGGCCATTTAGTAGTTTCTTTGGTTCTGGGCCATTTTTGGCCATTTCTGGTCGATTTTGGTCGATTTTGGTCTTTTAGTGAGTCCCAAAATAATGACTGTACATAATTGTAACATACACTGTATTACAAATGTTTAGCTTATTTCACTATCCAAGCACTTAAGAACCAGAATAATTGAGTCATTTTTTCAGTGTTATTGGCTTTGGACCTAAAAATTTGACATTAGAACCTCAAGGAATATAAATTTGATGTCGAAAAATTGTTAACAATTTAATTTGTTGAAATATTTTATGTGCAGATGAAGCTTTCAAAAGCTTAACAAGTTTCCGATTATCTAGATGACTGAAGGATGATTTTGATTTTGAGCTACATCAACAAACTCACAATCTCAGCGGAAATTAAACTTTAGCAGTAAAAAAACTTTGAACTCAACTAGTAAATAGAAATTTTAATAACTTCTCTCTGACATTTCACCATTTTTCACCAATATTAACCGTTTCAACCTATTAAAGAATCATATGAATTTTCATTGTTTTTTGATTTTACGAGCTTTACCGTGACAGATACTTCAGGGTAGCAAAAAAGTAACTGAGGAATCGAGACACATTCAAATTTCGATTACAATGAGCATTGAAAAATTGTCTTAAACTAATTGAAAAGACCACAAATGAAAGATAACTATCAAATCCACTTGCTTTGTTATGCTGGGCAATTTAGTTAATGTTTAATCTATTCGACCTTAATTGATATCTTACACATATAATAACAATTGAATAGCCCTTTGTATTATATTGAGTGCGATAAACTAACTACTGCACATGATGTTTTGGTTACCGTTGTATCTCAAGACTCAGGTATCAAAACGAGTGGCAATATCCTTATCGACCATCTTTATAGTGCAATACAAAAAGCAAATTATAATTAATGTTTTTATCAATGCGATCTCAATAAAGCTGAAAGAGCAAGGATGAAGTTTATTAATTTATTTTATTGGGATAACTAATTTTTTTTAAATGCCAGCTCAATTGAAATCTATTGAACCCATGTATCACTGGACTAGGCCTGATTTATTGTCCAGATAAACTGATAGTTGGAGTGACGTTGAAGCTAATTTCATTTTCAATCAAAAATGCAGCAAAACTATAAACTTATCATTATTTTGGATAAAATTATTATTAGAACTGTAAAAGTTCTGTTTATAGATTAAGATTAGCTTAATGACGCATAAATTGTCTCTGAATAATATGTTCTTGAACTAATTTTGCAGCTAAAATGTACAATAGTAATTAAACTTGTTAAAAAATGATTATATCTAGTAGGACATCCGATACATATTTACTCATTGGTTCAGTAAAGTGAAGTGAAGATTCAAATAGTACTTAAGGAGGAAAACCAGAAAACTTGTTGATTAGTTGATAATTATTAAATGGGTGAAGATAAAATAAGGATTTGATCATTTCTTTTCTTCTTCTGAACAACTCTTTAATTAATTAGGATTATATTTTTAATGGCATTGAATGATTTTTGTGGACATCCATTTTGGGTAGGTAAACAACAGTTGACTTCTTACTCATCGACTGTCTTTGTTTACATTCAACTCTTCTATTGTTGTGTTTTTCATTCTGTGTTTACATCATTTTTTGTTGTTTTATTTTTCATTTTAGGATGAACAACTATCATGGAATTCATCAAATCCAATCATTACGCCATGTCTTAGTGAAACTGCCTTACTTTGGGCCTCTTCTGGCTTCTTATGGATATTTACACCTTTGGCTGTTTATTTAACCGTTAAAAGCCCTAAGCCTAGTTTAATTTGGACATGGAGACTTTATATGAAATTGGTAAGTGTTTTTGTTTATAAATGTTATTAATTATTATAGTTTAATAAATTTGAATTATTTTTTGTCAACAGTTTCTTTGTTTGGTGCTTTGTGTAGCGACAGCGTATGAAGTTATCCATGTTTTCATGAAATATAGCCAAAATGAAATCATCTATCCTTATGAATATACTGCACCGGTTATTAGGTTATGTTCATTCGTAAGTAAATTGAACTACAATTTTTTGGAGATTTGTATTAAAATGAATTCCTATTTGTGTCATTTAGGCTATCGCTACTATATTACTATTACTTTATAAACAAAAAGGTGTCTTGACCTCTGGATTGCTGTTTATATATTGGTTTTTCATGGCTATTCAATCATCACTCAAGTATTGGGCATTAATTGATTCCATCCAAAATCCTGTAAGTATTCTGCTTCTTGATTCTCCTTTTTTCATTGAATTATTGTGAATCTAATTTTATTATTTTACGTGTTACCTTAGGGCTATCGTGAATGGACTTTTGAACAGACTGACTTGGTTTTGAAATCAATACAGTTAACATCAATTATATTAATTTGTTTATTGTATTGTGTAGCAGATTCTGTCAATCAAAATGATAAGAGGAAAGCTAATGTAAGTTTTTTAGCCTTTTAATATACAAAAACATTAACTTCTTTATTATTTGATGAACAGAACTTCACCTCGAAAACAGTCAATATATGCAGCAAGATTTTGCTAATCACTATTATTTTTGACATGAAACTTGTGAACTTTAGGTAATTTGACATTATCATCAAAAATTTTCTTTTAATTTTTCTTTTGAATTTTGATCTTTAGGCATCAGGCAATTTCGTCTCATCTTCATTCATTTCACAACTCTTTTTCCATTGGTATGATTCAATGGCGTACTTAGGATTTAAGAAAGCATTGATTCAAGCCGATTTGTGGGATCTACCGGAAGAAAGTCGAACAAAACTTATTCATGATAACTTTTCTGAGTTATTGACTGAATCGCAGCAACGTTTAAAGCTAATGAATGCAAAGAAACCAGTGAGCAAAGCCAGAAGTAATTTATTCAGAACTCTATTGAAATCTTTTTGGCCATGGTTATTAGCTTGCTTCATATTGAAGCTGTTTTCAAGCTTATTAGCCTTCGCAAGTCCACAATTATTAGATTTGTTGCTTACTTTCATACGTTCAAATGATCCATCATGGAAAGGTGTTATTTTAGCACTTGGAATGTTTGTTGCTGCTCTTTTACAATCTTTATTTGATTCACAACATGAATTTTGGATCCAAACAACTTCAATGAGGATGAGATCAGCCCTCATATCAGCAATTTATCATAAGGTAATATACTTTTTAGTTAAATACAATCTTACTATCATTAAGCTGAATTTTATTTCAATCCAACAGAGCTTAAGACTGTCTGGTCTTGGACGTCGTGATTATACAAGCGGAGAGATAGTTAACATTATGGCCGTTGATACTCAAAGAATCATTGATTATGTGAATACAATAAACGTTTTATGGTCTGCTCCAGTTCAAATTTGTCTTTCTGTGACTTTACTCTGGTTCCAATTAGGTGTTGCATCTATTGCTGGATTAATTTTCATGACTGCCTTGATTCCACTTAATGCTTGTATTAGAGCTGCTATTAAAAATTATCAAATCAAAGTAATGGCAGAAAAGGATAAACGATCTAAAATGATGTCAGAAGTATTGAACGGAATGAAAGTATTGAAGTTATATGCATGGGAAGGTGCATTTGAAGACATGATAATGTCCATCAGACAAAATGAGATTCAGTATCTTAAAAGACAAGCAATTTGGACTGCAATCACACACTTCATTGCTAATTTTGCACCCTTCTGTGTAAGTATAACTATTTTTTTAGACTTTCATAATGCTAACACTAAACTGAAATACAAGAGGACAATTAAATAAAAATATGTTAGAACAGTCGAATGGTTTCACTTTGCAATTATCCTTTCAATCAAAAACTTGAATAGATTTAGCAGGGTAAATCTCTCATCCGTATGATTTATTGCATTTAAATAGTGAATTTTGTAATTTTATTTTCAGGTTTCATTGGTTTGTTTCGCAACTTTCGTCTTGATTGATTCATCAAATGTACTGGATGCAAACAAAGCTTTTGTTTCCCTATCACTGATCAATATTTTAAGAAGTCCATTGATTCAATTGCCTATGGTTGTTACATATGGTGCTAACGTAAGAAAAATATATAAATTAATATAACTCAATATAATTAAAGATTATTGTCTAACCCATTTTTCTTTACATTTCTAAAGTGTATCATTTCCATGAAAAGGATTGATAAATATCTGCAAGGAGATGAGTTGGACCCAAATGCAGTTGCCCACGAACCCAATACGGCAACTCCGATTCAAGTGAAAAATGCAACGTTCAGTTGGTCACAAGACGAGGAAGAAGTCCTTACAGATATCAATATTGAAGTACCTCAAAATAAACTAATTGCTATTGTTGGTACCGTTGGAAGTGGCAAATCGTCGTTATTAGCTGCACTTCTTGGTGATTTGCATAAAAAACAAGGATCCATTAATGTACATGGACGAATCGCTTATGTACCTCAAACTGCGTGGTTACAGAATGCTACAGTTCGTGAAAATATTGTGTTTGGTGAAACCTTTCGCCAAGAAAAGTATAACAATGTGATTGAGGCTTGTGCTCTTACTCCTGATATGAAAATACTTCCTGGTGGAGATAAAACTGAGATCGGTGAACGAGGAATCAACTTGAGTGGAGGCCAAAAACAAAGGATAAGCATTGCTCGAGCAGTTTATTCAAATTCTGATGTGTACCTTTTGGATGATCCATTGTCAGCTGTCGATGCTCATGTCGCTTCTCATCTGTTTGACAAAGTAATTGGTCCTAAGGGTTTGTTGAAACACAAAACTCGTCTATTAGTAACACACAGGATAACCTTTTTACCACAAGTTGATCAGATAATTGTAATGAAAGACGGTAAAATCCAAGAAAGTGGGACTTACAATGAACTGATGGCTAAAAAAGGAGAATTTGCTGATTTTATCATTCAATATTTATCTGAATCTGAAACTGATGAAGATTTGCAAGATGAAAATCCAATCATGATAGAAGCGATGAAAGCTAGTGTTAAACCAGAGCTGGAAGCGAGAAGATCTAATCGTGCTGACTCAATAAATGCTCTCAGTAGGCAAGAAAGCAGAATGTCCATCAGATCCGTCAGATCAGTTTCATCTCGAGGTTTATCTTTGGATAAAAAAAGGGGAGAAGACTTAAAGAATTACAATATCGTTGCAACTGAAAAGGCTGAAACTGGTTCGGTGAAGTACAGTGTTTACTTTGAATTTTTCCAAGCAGTTGGTGTCATGGCTTTCATTGTGACGATTCTCTTTTATGTCATCGCAAATGGATTAAATTTTGGATCTACTTTATGGTTAACTGAATGGTCAGAAGATGCTGAAGATCCTACTAAACTTAATGATACTTCACTCCGTCTTTATCGCCTCAGTGTTTACGCTGTTTTAGGTATAGGAAGCTCAATTATGATCTTTATCAATGCTACAATTATCGCCATGGCTTTTTTGAATGGCGCAACTTGGATTCATAACCAGATGTTGAACAAAATGATTCGAGCACCAATGAGTTTCTTTGATACAACTCCAATGGGAAGAATCCTCAATCGATTCACGAAGGACATTGATAACGCTGATACAACAATTTCTCTCAATTTTAGAGCTCTCTTTGTTTTAACTTTTCGTGGTTTGGTTGCGGTCCTTGGTATATGCACGGAGACTCCCTACCTTATCTTTGGAATTATTATTATTGGTGTATTTTACATTTTAATTCAGGTGAGTAACTGCTTTTTAAGAAACTGATGAAATGAAAATTGAAAAATGATAAGTAATTTGTCACGTCTTGTACTTTTAACACAATGTTTAGCGAAACATGTCCATGTATATTAATTTTTGATTTCTCCCTGATTTTCAGAAATTTTACATAGCTTCATCTAGACAATTACGACGAATTGAATCAATCACCAGATCTCCAATTTACTCCCATTTTTCGGAAACAATTACTGGATCAACATCTATTCGAGCTTATGGAGCTACAGATCATTTTATTCAAGAGTGTTATCGTAAAGTCGATATAAATCATTCTTCGTTCTTTCTCAACATTGGAGCAAATCGATGGCTGTCCATTAGGCTTGAATTGTTTGGTAATTTAATTGTAACCGTTGCTGCATTTACTGCTGTCGCAACTAGAGGATCATCAACTGCTGGTGCAACTGGATTAGCTTTGAGCTATGCTCTTCAAATAACTCAAGTGCTCAGTATGTTGATCAGATCAGTTTCAAATGTGGAAAATAATATTGTTTCGATCGAGAGATGTCTAGAATATACCAAAATAGAGTCTGAGGTAATGATTTTCCTAAAATTTTCACCATCCTTACATCCTAAAAAAGATGAATTTAGATTAATACAGCTATACATTTTAATTCCCCGATTAACAGGCTATGTGGATTGACTATAATAACCAACCTCGGAATACTTGGCCTGAAAAAGGAGAGATAGTTTTTAAAAATTATAGCACACGTTATCGTGAAGGTCTCGATTTGGTATTAAAAAACATATTTTGTACAATTAAACCTAATGAGAAGGTTGGAATAGTTGGTCGAACTGGTGCCGGTAAATCATCATTAACATTGGCTTTATTCCGACTTGTTGAACCAGCTCAAGGTACAATAGCTATTGACGGTGAAGATATCTGCAAATTTGGTCTTCACGATTTAAGACAAAGATTAACAATCATTCCTCAAGATCCTGTCTTATTTTCAGCGACTTTCAGAAAAAACTTTGATCCATTTCACAAATATTCAGACTCAGAAATATGGAAAGCCTTGGAACTAGCAAATCTTAAGGAATATGTAGCATCTTTAGAGTCAGGACTTGATTATTCAATTGCTGAAGGTGGGGAAAACTTGAGTGTTGGACAACGTCAATTAGTTTGTTTGACCAGAGCATTGCTAAGAAAAACACAAGTTCTAGTTCTTGATGAAGCAACAGCTGCAGTTGACGTTGAAACAGATGAACTTATTCAAGAGACTATCCGTCGGGAATTCGCAGACTGTACTATAGTAACAATTGCTCATCGTTTGAACACAATCATGGATTATGATAAAATTATAGTTATGGATAAAGGAAAGATCGTCGAGTACGATTCACCGATCAATCTGTTGGCTAATAAAAACTCAATCTTCTATTCTATGGCAAAGGAAGCTAAACTTGTTTAGCCATAAATATCCATTTCATATTTTTACTGTTCAAAAGTTAAATGTTTAGATTTAATGATTGTTTTTTTCATTTTTGTTCAACATACTGTTACATTTTAAATTGCTTATACAGTATTCGCCATAAGCAAAAGTATCCTTAAATTATTGTAATAAATATTGATTGTAGCATGATTCAAATCTTTTCACGCATTTATTATTTGTCCTATTTGCTCTTTCTCATTAATTGTGAAAAAAGCTTATTAATTTTTCACCTGATTTTCTGTGGATGGACGCAAAGGAAAAATGATTTCAGATATCAATAATAAATAATAAACAATGATAACATAGTGATCAGCTTAATGAATAAATAGAATTTAATCAAAATCAAAATTGCATAACTGCTAGTTACTAATACAGATAAATTATGAACAAAAAAGATCTGATTCCCTCGCATTAATCTCATAACTGATTGAGATGCAATTTCAATTACCTAAACGTAATTTATAAGTTCCCATTTTTGTTTTCGGCATGAAAGTGATTTTACTTTAATATTGAATCTCTCGAACTTTGATGACTGAATACATCTTTTCATGAGGTAAAGATCCTCTTCGAGGACAGAAGATATGATTGACTGAATAGTTGAGAAGGTTAGTGATATGCGACATGTAAATATCACTATATCGGAAAAGTCGTCTTGAAAAATACGATGGATTATGATGGGTCCGGAAGATACTGCCAAATTGAGGATTGAACAAGCTCTTTGATTTCAGGCGAAGAATCTCTCGATCACGAAACAGGTATTGTAAAAGATCTTCAGCATGAAGAGGCGATTTTAAAATACAAGAGTCACGTTGACGTTCATCAATCAATTGTTGTATCCCTTGCAATTCACTAATTGCCTCTGCAAACTCTTCAGAGTTGAGAATATTTATCTCGTTCTTTGAAAGATGAAAGAAAAGACCAAATTACTAACTTATTTACTTATGTACATACAATTTAATAATATGATGACTGTAAAATTATTGAATTTACCTCAAGCTCGCCGATCACAGCACCAGTCCTCCATCCATGAAATAGAGTTAAATCAGCAAGATCGGCATAAATTTGATCCCCGAAATAAAGTATATTATTACCATGCCATCCAGTCAATTCTAATAATTTTTTCACAGTTCCCTCCATGTAAACTTTTCCTTTCTCGAAACGAGTAACTTCTTCCCAAGTATGTGAATCTGTGTCAGGTTGATAACTTCTAAATGGTCTGATAAGGGAAATAAAAACATATGTAAGAATAAAACCACAAAACATTTTTACAAGTAAATCATAATACCTATGAGATTGATTGAAGAATTTAGGTTTTCGAGCTCGCACGATTATGATATCAAACAGATCTGCCCAGTTATGGCCAATCATGTACCTCATTCCACAATCTCTGTAAAAAATCATTCAAAATCCATAGTCGTTTTATAAATCAGTTTTGTGAGCGCACGTAAACAAAGATAAGTATTTCTTTATCACAACTTACACAAAGTCAAAAGGACTATTAGTAATTAAAAACATTTTCTTTTTGGCAACTCGAAGACGATGAAGAAATTCAGTAAGCTCTGGTCTTTTTTCCAAATAATCACCAATTCTATCACGATCAAGCATCTGATGCATCACAGGGTGAATGCTTTGAACAGCAGCCTGAAAAATTGGTATCATCAAAAGTATTAAAGTGACTATTTGTTGCAATTTTGCACGAAAGAGTAAAGTAAGCTTTAATTTTCATTTACTAGACAAATGAAAATCATTAATGAGTAGACTTACTTGAACATCATAAAAAAGTATCTCTGGACAATAAGGAATATTGCTACGAATAAAGTATTCAGTAACATTGGCAAGTAAGCATATTTCTGGCACAGAGAAAAGGTCATTTAATTGTTTCATTTTTGGATGATCATCTTCAGGTTTTATCAAGGATTGAGATATATAACAGCCACCGTAAATTTTCGTCACTTCTTCATCTGACAAAGGACTGAAACCTCTATAAACACAACCTAATTGGATCTGATGAAATGAATCGATCTTCGTCAAAAGTCCCTGTAAATAGAAGCAGTGAAAATAAGTACATTAGCAAGACAGATTCACATAAACTCAATGCAATACTATATTAGTCATAAAAGAAAATATTATTTACATGCTCGATGTCATAATGAAGGCCTCTGATAGCAAAATCAGGAATATAATTAAACGATTTGATTCCTTTTGGGTACTGAATGATGCAAAATAATGTAATAAAAACAAGAAAATTTGCGTTAATCCAAGTTTTATCCGATATTCACGATTAATATAATTATCACAAGACTTAACATCCCGAAACTCACTTTGTACTTGTTAATAAGCACATCACGGCCAAGATTGTAGATCAAATAATGTAATGATTCCTTGTAAACAGCTAAAGTATAATCATAATCGAAACCATAAACTTTAATCTCGGACAGATCCAATTCGTTATTTGCAAAAACGCCATTGGGGTCAATATGGCTCTCTCTGATTTTATCTGAAAAAATATAAAAATATTAGATAATGATAAGAGCTGAGATAAATAGCTGAGACTTACTTTTGAAATGGTGCTTATAGCTGATGTATCTATTTGTTAGATCCGGAGAAACTGCTATACTGGATAGTTGGGTTATTTCCTCATCAAATTTTAAATCATTCATCGGGATATTGATTGTCGAGACTGATCGTTGACTATGGTAAGCTGGAGAAGTTGAGAAAGATGAAGACGTCGAGGATGTCATGGATGGAGATTGTGAGTACGAAGAAAAAGACAATGATGATGAAGATGCAGATGATGGTGAGATCCTCCGATGAGACAAGAGATTTCCCAAATGAATGGTAAACCGAAGTTTACCCAGATATTTAATTGAAGACATTTTTGTATTCAATGGTGAGCCAAATCAGCTATAATTGGTGTCAATTGAAAGCATCAACAAAAATTAAATATAATATGATTAGCATGATGGTTATTAAAAGTTGAATAAAAATAAACAGTCAAAATAAACTTTGAAAAACCAACCTTTCAAGGCTTCATAGCATATGATTCAAATTGAATACAAGAAAGTCTCCTTCCTTTTGTTGATATTTTGTTGTTTTGATTTCTTTCCATACAATTAAATCTAATTGTCAATCTTTGAGAAGTATGTTAAACAATAGTACGCATAAAGAGTAACAATTTAGCTTTTAAATAAAAAGAAAACACTATTTATCCCAATTAAGGGTCAATTAAGATCCTAAAAATAAACACAGCAGCACAAAAAAAATAAAGAGACTTGTCTGTGATACTGATACATAGACAAACAGAACAGAGTGGAAGTTGCACAAACAATGAGGGTTGCTATGCTGCTCTTTCCACCGCTAAATGACCCTCGATGAGAAGATCATGATAACCATGATTTTCACACTGATTTCTAAATTAAATTATTCAAGTGGATAATTCAATCTCATTGACTGGTCACAAGGTCAATACAAATAGGTACTTAATACATAAGTAAATTTAATTGAGTTATCGTAAAACTTGGCTTTTTCACTCTTTGCTATTAACTTTTGGCTCTTCTTGCAGATGTATCCTTCCAATATATAATCACTTAGTTAAAGATTAAACAAATTTTCAGTTCAATTTTGAAAACAATCGTGATTTTGATGAAATTTCAGTTAAATTATTGCGTCTTTGAAATTTAAATGAAAATAATTTGTAGCCATTCCAATATCATTAATATTTACCTCTCTAGATGGCGCTGACAGATATTTTCAATTTGAAAATTTCAAATATTTTGAGCGCAACCTACCGCAAACGTTTTAATTCCCGTAAAATTGCTTAATTTTAAATAAAATGAATCTTTTTTGTCACCATTTTTAATGAGCTTTATTGTGTCTCTTATTTACAAGTTTTTCAGATCATTCGTCGGAATCAAGAGAGGTATAAATAAATTAGATAAATTTAAAAAAGTGTTTTCGTTAATGTTCATCTATCCTTTTTTGTCAATAAAAAATTAGTTGAAGCTGCTTAATCTATTACAAACGCTGAAAAGGAAGCTTTATCCAACAATCAAAGCGATTTGCCGTACAGCAACAGCAAATTGCAAGCCCAAGAGTAAGTACATCTTTCGGTCATTAAATTGGCATCGGCAAAATTAGTTTGATGAAAAATTTTCTGTCCATAACTGTATTTTAGGGAGATCTCGCGGAAGTCGACTGGTTCGGGATGGTTGATAAAGATAGTGCTAGTTTTTTTCTTCGGTCATCTCTCTTATTATAATATCTGGTTAGTTTGGTGTTGTCAGTTTATTCGTATGCGCGTTTATTCAAAATGACTGATGAAAAAGTCTGCCAAAGGTAGAAGAATGAAAAACTCAATAATCTTGAATCTGCCGAAACATCTTAATAATTCACCAGATCTAGTCCAAGCGCATTGTTTTTAATTGCTCGTATTAATTTATCTACTCGTGATATTGAGTCAATTACTTATTCAGTGCTTTTCGACCAAGTTTTCAGATTAATGAGCGCCGGTAAGAACTCAAATTTCCTGCAAAAATGGATAACCTTAAGTGGCGAAATCGAACTCGAAAGACAAAGTTTCGGCCTTTACATCTTTGGATTGTAAAGATCACTCAATTTCATCAAGAGTAATAAAGATGAGTTCAACAAAATTTGCCAGAATAAATTGTTCAGTTCGGTTGTGACATTGTTTATAAAAGTTCAAATCATGTATTTGATACAAGTATAAAAAATAGATCTAGTAAATAAGTAGCAACCAAACAAATGACTTTTGTACTGATTTTTGTAATTTACTGATCAAGTTTGTAGTTACTTTTATTACAAACTTTATTGAAGTGTGGAAGTATTTGTTTTAATTCAGCATCAACAGGGCCACCAAATTTCACATGGAACGCCAAAGATTCAATTAATTCACAAACTTTATTTTGTTCAACAGATTTTCTCATTTCACGAGCAACTTGTTCAACTTTATCTCGGATCGACCTATTTTCCAATAAGTCTTCGATTGTTTCCAAAAGTTCACCTTCCTTGTAATTGAATGGATCCAAACGACGGCCTAAACCCTTCTCATCAATTCGCTGAGCATTATCAAGCTGATCATAAAAAAGAGGTAAAACAATCATCGGTTTACCAGCTGAGAGACTCTCTATAATTGTATTACTCCCACCATTTGTTATTACAAGATCAACTTTAGGCAAAATAGCAAGTTGATTAACAAAATTATCTCCCCACATATTATCAGTTAACTCTAACTGATCTCCTCGTGCTCCTTTGGATACAATAAACCGATGAGGACAAGATGATAAGGTGGTAACCAAGCGTCTCATCAATTTCAAGTTAACCGATCCTAAAGATCCCATCGAGAGATATATTAATTTACCAGGCATTTGGTTTAAACAATCTGGTAACTGGAACTCGCTCTGACTCTGTCTTATACACATGTCCATTCTAACCCAATTTGATGGCGGATGGCCCAGATCAGAGTCATAATCAAGACAAGATGGATAAACATAGATACCAAAATATTTGGCAAAAGATCGAAGTTTACTTGATTCAGGGGGAGATAGACATTTCCTCCACCACCATGGTCGTAAGTAGAGTTGCAGACCAATCATGGATAGCTTTTCAGCTTTACGATACTTTGACCATACATCCTTAGGCCCTTTCACTGAGTAACCCGATGCAATTGGAGGTCCTCTTTCACCATACAAAGGTAATGGATTTGTGGAAAGCAATGGTATACATGGAATTGTGCTTTTAATAAATAATGGCAGTGCAAAGGTAAAATCACCTATTACTAAATCTGGTTTCATTTTGTCAATTATAATCTCCAACACTTTTTCCATTCTTTTCATTTCACTAAAATATTCTAGATTGTTAACGAGATCATTCAGAGACCAGTCAGTTAATCTGTTGAGCGAACTCTTTTCCATCTGCTTGGCGTAATTGTCGATATACTTGAGAATAACCTGGTTCGCTTGGAAATTGCCCATAGTTGGATCATAATTTTCAATGGGGATAAACTTTAATCCAGAAGCTTCAACCATCGAACGATATCCGGATCGATTAGCATAATAGACATGATGACCACGACTCACCAGTTTCTCTCCAAGACCAAGGATCGCATTGAAATGACCGTACCTAAAGAAGTTAAAAATAAATTGTTAAAGATTTGTTATGAGAAGTCGCAATTGATAAAGTAACTTTAACGAACAACATGTTTACTTGTTCCATGTGCATAATTATCCAGGAATTAACAACCTTTCGAGGGAAAAGGTTGTTAACTTTACAGCTTAGATAACCAATTTTATTAATCATTTCCTAGGAAACAAATCAAAAATTTTTGAAACATTCACTTACGCATCCAAAGAAGACATGAGGATTCTTAATGGCTTACGATTGTGGTTATGAATAGTTAAATAAGTCCCATTGACACACCAAGCAAGTTTATTTGATGATAGTTTGGTCATTTTGTCGGTTGTACTGTTATGATGATCAAAAGACATTGTGCAAAAATGAATAACTGAAACCAGTTATACGATTTGATATATTCACTTGGATTAATCGATTAATTAGAGTCTTAAAAATGCAAAAAATGAGCAAAAACAACGATTAAACAAAATCAACTGTAAATTGTAGCATTGAATATAATCCTGGTTAGTTGTACACTTGAAAAAATAAGATTCACTGTCTACTAGCGACTGTTGGCGACATTAACCAATCTATTTAATGTCAACAATGTTGTCAACAAACAAGCGTCCCGGATCTCACGATTGAAAATTATCTTGAAATCACATGAATAATGAAAAAACTTAAGGTAGTTTCAGGAGAATGAGTTGAAGGTGGATAACGAGATTGCATTCTGAGGTAGAAAATCTGAGTTACATTTGTCTTTCTATCTTTTCTCTCTCTCTTTTCTCTCTCTCTTTTCTCTCTGTCTCCTCCTTTCCTACTCACAAAATTGTCAGTACAATCATTATGTTTACGTTACTTGTTTTGATAGCAAGTGACTTTTAGGTGCAAAATTAGTTTAACGAGTTTTGTTCATGATGTAAATGTAAACATGGATTAATAATTATACTTGACTGAGATTGGGCCAAGAATAGCTCAGCTTGGTGAAATTAAACTGAAGCTTGAAAATGAATCTCCTTAAGAACCTTAATGAAACCAATCAGCTGGAATTTAATTTTAACAATAAATTTTCCAGTCTAAACTCATCTGTAGGCCTTGAGCTAAAATATCGCACCATTGTCAATCGAGAATCATTAAGCGTGATATTTGCTTTGGTCATATGCTTTTATTTTCAACTGAAAGCTATCAGTGCATGAGCATAATCAATACTGGTTAATATCAGATTTAATTCTAGGGAAAAGTAATCACAATAAAGAGGGAAATGTTTATGATTACTGAGAAAAAAGAAGGATGAATCAAGGATTTTGTTAATATTCTGGTGATTAAACCTTTAACTGATAGATTATTCCCTGAAATATTGTAATAAATTACTTTAAAAAGTCTATCGTTTATGGTTTGATTAATAACAGAAGCAATTGATTGTTGAATCACTCGTTGAATATCATTAAAATTATCAGATATCACCAAATCATTAGAAATCCAGATAATTATGATAACTAGATTAACTGAGCTCTTCGCAAAGAGTATAACAAGAGGTAGCATGCAATGTTAATTATCTTTTCGAGATAAGGATAGGGAAAAGGTCTCGGACGCGATGGCGCCACTAACAACCCTTTTAATTTTTCTTTAATTTTTTTCAACTTTTTCTCATCAAAAAATTTGTTTACATTTATTTTTTTGTCATTTTTTCGTCTCTTTCATCATCTCTTTCTCACTGCTAGCTCCCTCTTTTCCGTCACCTTTTAACTTCTTATCTCTCTTATCTATAGCTCTCATTGACGTGCTCTCTCTTGCTATTACTCTTTGGCTCTTCGGTAATAACATTCAATAACAATCCTCAAAGATTGAACAACCCTTAATCAAATGATCATTTAGGCAAACCAGTTTATTAGGGTAAGATAATTATAACTCATTGTAACAAATAGGTTTTACAGTATAATTTTATTCATATGTATTCACATGTAATATGTATAACGATTGAAGAGAGCTGACTAGTTGTATCATCAAATGATACAAGTTACTGAAGTCTTGAATTTTCAATTCATATTGTGGACAACTTGATTAAATTATTGTTTGCAGAGTCAATATTTATCCAAATTAAATCTTGGCAATTTGTCCCGATCGCTGTTTCTCCAGTTCAATTTGAGACTCTCTAAGCACATCTAAAACCACAGTGTGGACTGTCTTGTACAAGTCTTCAGCGTAAATAAAGTCCAGGTGATCCCACTTTGGATTAGGAATTTCATAGTCTTTAAATAAAGGAACTAATAGAGGAAAGGAATCAATTAGTTAACTTTAAACTTGATTATTTCAGAATCAGACAGAAATAAATTACCTTTTAATTCCTTCACCAATTTTTGGAGATCTTTTGGATCACCGAGTCTATCAGCTTTTCCATACAGAATTGCAACCTGAGTTGAGTTAATCTGTGATATTTTATATTTTGGTGGGTAAGGTCCATTGTAACGAATCTTATTTTCAATGGTACCAAAGTCAAATTTGGCAAATGATCGAGAGTTGACATTTTGTCCAAAATGTACTAAATTCCAAACAGATGTACCTGTGAGTTTCTGCTGTGATTTGAACACATTTACTCGACTTTGATTCATCATTGAAGGTGTATAGCCTTCCAAGGGATAAACCAGATTATCACATGATTTGGGTTGCCAACGACCGCAAACAAATTGACTTGTTGTCTTTATAATAGTACTTGAATCACCCAATTCACCTCCAGCTTTACGAAGGGTCCACAAAGCTCCAGGTATCGCAGCAGCAAAGCGCAAAGCTAGTAATATATTGCCAACATATGTAACTGGAGCCAGAGCAATGAATGGCTTTACTTTCAGTGAATAAGCCGGCTTTTCAGATAAAAGTCCAAACATGATTAAAGTTCCTTGAGAATGTCCAATCCAACCAAGACTTTCTAAATATAGACCAAAATATAAGGTTAAAATCAAAAGTAACCGCTTTAGGTTTTTACTCACCAAACTTCGTCACGTTGAGTACATAATCAATCAAATTAGGTGTGTCGTACGCAATCATCTCGTCAAATGAAAAATTCCAGAATTCTTTATCTGTCCAAATAAAACAAATTAACATTAATCACAATAGTAAATAAAAAGACTTATAAACATTTGTAAAAACAACAGAAAGAGACAAGAGATTGAAACATCTTTCAATCTTATAACAAGACAAAGAAATGAGTAAACGGTCAAATCACCTTTGTCTGGGTTAAGAGTTGTGTGATTTCTTGAATAATGGTTGCCTCTTGAGTTAGCCAGCCAAACATCATAGCACCGATTAGCTAGTAAGAAACCTAAATTATTAGTGTGAGTATCATTGTAATCATTAGATGCCAATAGTTGATCGGCTGGATCACATGGAGAGGCGAAACCATCCGGTGAGTTGATTAAAAAGGTTGATCCTGAGCTTAAAAAACCGTGTTGTATAACAACTGGACGAAGTTTTTCTCGTTCATTTTCACTAACAAAAGGATTAATTATTCTGTACACACCAAGAATGTACGAATCTTGAGTTGTTACATAGTGGACTTCATAATCGAAACCTCGAGATGTGATCAAATCAGCTATATCGCGTTTCTCATCTGGATCACCAGTGACTTCCTCACTGCCCACTGGTGTAAAACTGTATACAGTAAGGATGAGAATTTGAATGGAAAATAAATAACAGAAATAAAAGTTTAAAAGATTCATAATTGAGAAAATTTTCACTCAGTAAAAATTTATTGTTGTTCAAACAAAATACAGTAACTCAAATCTAGTTGTATTCATGAATTAATAAATTGCAATAATGTAATTTATAACCAAAGAGGCAATTTCCATCTTTTTTTATTCATTTCAGCCCTGGTAAGGTGAAATCGAGTGCCATCGATTAACTTAATCTAATATTTGATCTAACATTGTTTGATGATAACTCAAATTCAATTCAATTTAAACTCAAATCAAACCAGCTTCGTCCAATTTTTACAAATGAACCAAGATTACAAAAAAAACTAATGAACTCGGTTAGAAATGAGAATTAGGTGAAGTCTCTCTGCAAAACAAAGCTGAAAATGGACCCAAACTGCCGGACGAATAGTAAAATAAGCTATTTCCACCTTTTCCCATAATCTGGTTTCATGGCTTTAACCAGGTTCACCCTTTGAAAAATATCTCATTGATAATCCTCAATATTTCAAGCCAATAGTTTCATAATAATAGGAGTAACTATTATCAAGAAACTAGGCTTTTTCAATCGTTTTCATTAACTACTGGTTTTTTAAAGATGAATCTTATCAGCATATAATCAGTAATCAAAAATTAAACACATTTTCAGTTCAATTTTGGAACAGTGATGATTTTGATGCTAAATTATTTTGTTTTTCAAATCGCAATATAAATCATTTGTAAACATTTCAATATAACTAATATTTATGCCTCTAGATGCCTCTGGTATACTGGTATTTGTACACTAAACTTTACATTGTAAAGTGTAAACACAGAAACTCGTGGAGCCCAAACTGTCCTGATTTGCTCCTCATATCGACTGGATTCCGATTTTTAGAGATGGATCATTTTATATGCCAGAAGTGATTGATTTTTCCAATCGATTCTTTTAAATAAATCAATAAAATTAGCTCAATTATTGCTCAACTATTAGATTGTCCCAGAGAGTCCCATTGAAAGGTTGTGTTAAAAGATCGCTATCTAACATTTTTATTTAAGATCCTTTTCAAGTAAAATATCCGACAGCGATAGTCTAAGTATGGAAAACTAAAATTGTAGTATTTACTAATTTTACAAATCACTGACAAGTGTCATCTTTTCGTATCTTTTCATCACTCAACTCTATACTCTATCTTAATTGCTTTGTAACAATTAACTTAAATGAGCCAAATTCACGCAAATAAGTAATTACACAGTCTAATTGATTCAAAGGTTCCTGTTTGGTTTGCTGGGTTAAACAATTTACTGGTCTTCAACACCATTTACCAGATTTATCTTTCAAGCAAGACATGATCAACCAAATAGCTAAAAAATTACCGGTTTAAATTAAGTTAAAATTAACAGCGGAGGGATAATTACAACAATTGCACTAGTTAAGACTTATGACCTTAATTATTTTCATCTAACAATATTTAGAAATGAATTTCTCTCAATAATCCTGATCAAAGAGTATCATTGATTAACTAGACGACTAGCTTATGGGTCAAGTTAAATTTGATAAATCTGTGAATAGATTGAATTTATTTGGCCTACATCTCGACTGAAGACCAAGACAATATAACAAGAAGCCATCTCTTTACTCATAAATTGTAAACAACTTAAAAAACGTTCGATTCCTTAAAAGAAGCGCATCTTTACACGCAGACGTATTATTTTTCACCTTAGTCCTGGTTCCTGTTCACAACTCATTCCTGTAAGTACCATGAGATAAAAGTTTGATCATAAGTTATCCAGTTCATCTTAAGATAGTTATCATTTTAATCGATTGTTTTGTCACCCACTTTCATCCAATTTTCAGTCCGGTTTCACTTAACTCTAAATTTCTTCTTCCACCAAAGATACTGACCCAACAACCCATTGGATTAACAATTTTGGTTAAACCATAGATTGACTTCAAAGGTATAACTGGTTGTGATTAGTCAAGACCAAAACAATTCAGACCATCAAGTCATACAAAGTAATATTAACCTTTGGATTGAGTTATCGGTGTTCATTTCTTTTCGTGTCCTTTGAACAATTTAACCAAAATGATTAACTTACAGTCATTTCAATCATCAACCAAATTATTTCTTCATTTACTCATTATAACGACAATTTCACTGATTGCAATTGCAATGGCAAATCCAAGTTCCCAATTTTTTCTCAATGGTCGCTACGGAAGACGATCACTTCCACCCGATTCATCCGAGTCTCAATTTTCAGGTAAATACAATCAATACTTTAACCTTTGTAGCAAGATAAAGTAAGCTGAAAAATAAGCTGAAATAAGTTCAATTCAATTTCAAGTATTAACAGGCAAGTTTTCAATCTAATTGTGAAAAATATTTACTTTCCTTGCTTCCAATACTTTTCAACACCTTCAATGTAATTGTAATTTGTGAGTTTCATCTTCTTAAAATAATATTAACTTGATTAGTCTGGTAACCTTTCAGGTTTAATAACATTGTTATTTCTTCTCAAGTTAATCTTACAATTCAATTTACTTTCAATCAACAATTTGTTGAACATCTTCAAGATTAACATCCAAATAATAAATTTGGTCAAGTAGTTTTGTTTAAGCTTTTTTGCTAGTAGCCTTTATGTTTTACATCTAATTTTTGACCAGCTCAAAGGCTCCTCGGGTTGAGTGGTGAAAGTCATTGAAAAAGACATGATTAGTTTATTGATTACTTATTGATTATGATGGAGACAGAATATCCTAAAATGTTGATTAAAAACAATTTAATAGTCAGATGTTGAATGAAACAAAACGACGCATTAATCAATGTTTTGTTTTCATGAAACACATTAATATTAGGTTTTTAGCTTTCAGAATTGATAAACTAATTTTACTGTTAATTGTTTCTTACAAAGGTTAATAAGGTTTAAATCATTTGAATGTTTCAATGTTTGGTATAATATTTGATAGGACTTTTGAGCTAAATTATTGTCCATTTTTAATGATTTAAAATGAGTGATTAATCGGTTGATTGGTTTAATTAGATAAAGACAATCTGGAAGCGTTCAAATTGAAAGATGATCCAAACCCAATTTGCTTTTATAAAGGCTTGATTGGATTATTCAAGTGTATTGCTGAAAGGTGAGTTTATTTCAATTTAATCAACATTACTAACCATTTAACCAGTTGATGAGACTATTAAGTTGAAATTAATGTCAAACTGAACCAAGTTAACCAACAAATTAACCTTTAAGGAGACTTTCGGTCAACCTTTACTTCACCTGTTCAAAGCCAAACATATAATATGATACATTAACCCAAGATGAACCAATTTAGTTAGTCTTCATCAACTGGCTATGGTTACCAATCAGTATGAATATAAACTAACTAAACATTAATCTTAATTATTTTTTCTTGCTTTCCTTATGAATAAATACAAAGAAACAACCCAAAATGATGCTGATTTTTGGCTGTTTGCTGATGGTAATGATGGCAATGATGGTAATTGGATGACATTTATCAAACCTGGACTTTTATTTATATTTAATTTCCATGTTTTAATTCAATCTACCAAACCATTGATGTTGATATCAATGATACAATTAATGAAAGAACCAGAAAAATGCAAGGAAACCCAAAACCCTTTATGTCTTACAACTCATTTCAGTTGATTTACAAACGATTGCAACTCATCATGTTTAACCCTTCAATTTATATCTCAACCAACCAACTAATTGTATCATCGTTATCATTTTATTTTCAACAATTTAAACCATTTTAAACAATTGAATAACAACAATAAAAAATCTAAAAAAATTGAACCAAACTAAACCCATTTTGTAAACATTATTCAAAACTAACAAACCTCAAAAAAGTCAAAATTTCAATGGCGATCTATTGAGCAAAATATAATCAGTTTTTAATACATATTTATGAACTTGACAAACTGTCATCAAATAACAAGACAAGAATAACTTATTAACATAATAATGACTAAATTTTACAACTACACTTGAATTGAGCATCTAATCAGTTTTAATTATTATCACAATGTTTATAAACACTTAGCAACACTTGATAACTGTGAAATTATTTGAATAGTAAATTGTTCCTAGATTTGATTGTTACTTTAAAACAGCGACGAGCTCAATCCAAGTAATAGTCTACATTTTTACATATTATTGTTTTAGTTACATTAGTTAATGATTTTTATGATGATTAAAGTCTGGAGCAAATATTTTTTCATCACTCTGTACATACAAATGCATGTATATTTATCTATATAAATATGAATGAATTTTTATGTGTGCAATGAAAAGAGAAAGTTGAAAGTAACGATAAAATAATAAGACTCATAAGAGGTTTGAAATGTAATTTACATTTGAAAAGGCAAAAATGTAGCCTAAAAATGATAAATAAATAGGGAATTCAAAGCGGAAACTTCACTCCCAGTTAAAGTAAATGTTATTTAAGATGATGAAGTTGATGATGGTGATGGTGATGGTGATGATGATCCTATTAACATTCATGAAACTAATACTGTCTATTTTAACTTAATTTAAAGGCTTCTTGTTATCATTAACAATATGAGAGGAAAAAATGGTTACATTTTTTTATAACCTTCAGTTTGTAGTACATCTTTGAATCGGTTATTCATTTGTATTCAACTCCCAGTTCATCGTTTAAACCAACCTCCTTTTTTCAGGTATTGTGGCTTCTCAACAAAAGCTTTCCATTTTGTAACCTTTTTAGCTTTTCTTTATCACGTTAGATTCCCAAGAATAGTTAACCTTTTGTTAATTCAATTCAACATCTATTGAGCGCTTTCCTTTTCCAGTTCAACACGATATAACAAAAATGATAACTCATTTTAAACACCAGGAAACTGATATCTTTTTGTCAGCTTTGTTGATACTCTGATTCAGTTCTTGATTCTTTGTCTTTAAAAAATTTCATCAATTTGATTCACTGTTAACTTTTCCACTTTCCGTTCACTTATTACAGATGAGAAATGAAATTAATATTGAACAAATTGGATTGAGCCTTTGAACCGGTGAACTTTTACTTTGATTCAGTGATCCAAAGCACCATTAAATCCATAGATTCATCTTGCTTTTTGGTCCGCTCGTCTCAGCTAATTTGACGCATAGTACTAATAAGCATAAGCATCATGCTGCAATTACCTAAAACAAACTGTAAATAACAAGTCAATTAGATTAATTGCTTTCAATAAATTATAATCATACTTACTTCAACGTATTGATTCATTGTTGCCTTGAAAACATCTCCAATGTAAAATCCAATAAACGAATCGCCAATTGTTTCTAAAACTCCTGAAACCTAATAATAAAGAGAAAGAGAGAAATAGTTAATTTAATTTACACTTCAATTGATCTTTTTGATTTAAAAGATTGAACAGCAATTAGGAAATTAGATGAAATTAGTTGGGAATCGAGTAAAATACGAAAAGAGATTGGAAATGTGATTTTTGAAAATTATTGTTATCCTAAAGCTTACCATTCGTTTAGTCGTTACACCAGGTTTAGCTTCTTCAATGATCATATGATACTTTCCGTAGGATTCAGCTGCCTGTAAAGAGAAGCAAAAATTAATTAATTAATCATTTAATCTAATTGAATAATACTTTGGAAGCTAATCTGGTTTTAATTAATTGGTTAAAGTGCAATAAAATGGTTACAAATGTAATCCAGTAAAGTGTTGTTATTGCTGTAGCAGTTTAGGTTGCTTTGATAATGTTTTTAATGTAATAACATATCTCTATGATTTAGATTACCTTTTTGTTTTTACAATTGTTAATAACAATGACAATAAAATAATCAAAGACAATATAAGTAACAATTTGTCTTACAATTTGTTAGTTGTTTTCAATGTTACCCTAAATACTAGAATCAATGTAATATCAAGTAAATTCACAATCAACAATATAAATTACTTTACGAGTCTTGAAGGATTAGACTAAAGTATAACCTGTTAAGTTATTCCCATGAGTTCAATGTTGATCTGGAAAAGAAGAAAAAGGTTTACCTTTTAACAGCTTTTCTTGAATATACTTTTCAGAAAAGGTAATCTAACCCATTCACATTTAATCATTAATGTATCACAATTGAGGAACAGAGTAATCAAAATGGGCATAATTATTGTTGACAAATTAAAGTGGTTTACTTTAATGTTCAATAATGCCATTTGTTTCAAGTAATTCATATTCACTGTATGAATATTTTTTACTTCAAAAATCCTGGAAATTTTTCTTTAATTTTTAATGATCAATCACGCTTCATTTTAATCAAATACAGTCATGTACTTGAACATGACTGAATCGTTGAGCTTTCTATAGTTTGTCGAAAAGAAATTTTCAGACAAATTTGAAGCTCATTCTGAAATGAGTTCAATAGTAAACAGAGTTTATAACAACTATTAAACCCTGTGAGTTGATTCATATTGAAATTTGTAGATTACCTTGGCTGAGACTTTTGAAAGAATCAAAATAATTGTCATAGATATAAACATTGTTTCAACTCCGAGTCCAGCTACTATTATGTTGTAGAGTATTTGATCAGTTGGCATAACTGAGACGGAATAGAACATGAAATCTGCTCCAAAACACGCATAGAAATAACCAAGTGAAATGAAATGTTTGATTTGAGACCTGAATTTGTAGATACAACTAACTGCATAATTTTGATCCACAACCAAGGATCTGAGGGCTTGATTGGGTAAACACTGATCGAAATGTGGTGACTTTCCATTGGACGAGCGTTTAGTTAATATTCGAGCAATGGATAGATCAACAGCATCCAGTTGTAGAGAACAATAAACGGTAAGAAGGTAAATATGAGCAACTAGCCAAACAGTTGATGAAACATCTATGTAAGCTTGCCATATAGTTAGCGAGGCCCAAAAGAGTTGACAAAAGAGTAATCGACGAGATAAATATGAGTATGGATTTGATAGAAATGAATAAAAAATTAAGGCTGCAATAAAAAAAGCTGTGAATAAACTCGTTACTGTATAAAAAATCCTAGTGAGGTAAACCTTATTTCTCAATTGATTGGCGCCCGAGGATGTGATTTTTAACAAAGACGCATTGAACCCGTGACATTTGATAAAAGCAAAAGTAGATAACCATTCACGCTGATGATTAATGTCTTGCCAGAAAAGCATGGAACGCATTAAAACAACGAGCCAACCAACCACGGCAAGAGTATTGTTCATGTAAAAACGAATGGTAGTGTTGATGTAAAAATCTCCAAGGTAGGTAGTCACAAAGGCATTTGAGGTGAAACAGAGAAGGGTTAATCGTCCAATAGCAAGGAAATTACCAATTTCAATGAGGACACTCTTCAGCAAATAGTCAGTTGATAATTTGGTCTTTTCATTTGAATATCCTCGGTAAGAGATATAGAGACGCTTACTGGATTCTTCCAAGAAGTATAAATGTTCAATTCCTTTGAAAGGGTCCAAATTTTGTCCAAAAAATTGATTAATATGGGAAACAAACCGTTTAAAGCGAGCAATTGCTCTAAATTTCATAGTTAAAGTCGTTGAACTTGAATAAATTTTAAAACAAAACATTAGTAAGTAAAAAAATCACATTTTAAACACTCTTTTAAGTTTCAACCGATGACTTGTAACAAAAGACTGTCGTCTGTTAAGAGTTTAAGTTTATCGTCTCTCATAGCAACATAATAATTAAAATTACCAGACTCTTGGTTACATTTTCATATTCTGGTTAATTTTTTTGGTTTAATTGTTTTTACAGCAATCAACCACTAATTAGTAATTATCTTACCTCATTATTCAACCTTCTCAATTGTATTTCATATTGATTGAAAATTCTCAACTCATTCTGATTCTCATAATCCATTAAATTAATTTAGGAAATTTCAAATATCTTTTGAGAAACCTTTCCATCTGAATAAATAGTTGATCAATAATTTCTTCTGTAACAATTATCCTTTAAAGTTAATTATTAATCAATACAAACAGTTGATTTATCTTATTTTATTGTTTCAAGTTCATTCAAGTTTCTTACATTATTTACTCAGAGTGGAAATGGGAGAAAATTTAAGATTTTCATTTCTGTTGTCAACACAGTTAACAACAATTGAACAACAGTATTTTCAAGATTCATTCATCAATTCACTGGGGCTGTTATTGAATAGATATTTACTTAAGTAGTATTTACATCAATAATATTAATGTCATGAAGCATTGGACTGAATTCATAAGCTTTATCGTACAAAAATTGAATTCTGTTCTGATCAAAATAGTGTGATGGTACATTGTAACTACATTGTATTACCATCACAAGATTCATTTCAATTGAAATTGTTTAAATTGGGAAATTTTATCTATTTGCGTTGATGATGATTCAAAATTGTACTTGATAGAATCAGCTTCTAACCTTTTCATAATGATATTGTCAGTTTAATTTACAATTAGCTAACGTCAATACAATTTAGTGATCTTTTTCTTTAACTGAAATGGATTCGGTTTACGTCATGATTATATTCAGTTAGTAAGATCACTTGAATTATCCATCCAGGGTGATCTTTTATTTTTCATTTACCTAGTTAAACTGTCAATCAATACCATCAAAATGGTATTATATTAGAAAATTTGAAAACTGAAAGAGTTTCGTTTTCAGTTCACAAGAGATTCATTTCATAAGAAATACTAAACATCTTTAGGTTAAAGAGTGTCAATTAAAAGAATAATTTGAAAATTTCTTTTCATTTCGATTTATTACTTACCTCATTAAACAGAGCTGCTTATCAATCAATCCTGGACTTGAAAATACGTAAATTACAAAAAAATCTGGACCAATGGTTCCATGATTATCAACCTCTTACATCGCACAATTTGTATATTTTTGTTGTGAATTATGGCTTGAAAAATAAACTGTTATTTATAAAATAGATAATCTTTAGAGTCATAGAGTTGAACCTAAGTGGATAAGTTGTGAAAAGCCTTGTTATCACACACAAAGTAAATAAGTTCAATCACATTTTAAACTTGACCAGATTAATCACAGTTTAGTCTAACAATTTGTTATCTTTTTATATCAGTTTGCTAAGCTAAAATTAAGAGCCAATGGAAAACAAGTGTTGAAAAGAAAAAAGAATTTAGTAAAACAAAATGGTCTCTATGTGAAAATTGATACTTTTTGTTTCTCTATTATTCCATTTCTTTTTGGCTCTAATTTTCAATTATTTTAAATAATTAATTAATTAACTTTAATTGTGAACTGACAATGTTGGGGACTGAATTTCTGCTTTACAAGCAACGAGCAGAGCAACCAATGGATAAAGCTTATGTAAGTAAACTGTTGTTTTTATCATTTTTTAACCTTTTCTTTCGTAACCTCTCTAACACGACTTTATTTCATTGTATGTCTTTAAGGCCTTACGCTGTGGACGGGCTATTTGTTGGTTATGCCATTCTGAATGGGCTTCTGTTGGATGTAATCACTGTTTTCGATACTTTCACCATAAATGTGCGGCATCGGATTACAGAGTGGGTCGTCAACTTACCTTTTATAAAGACAGTGCAGGAGTTACTTTATTTACAACTCAATGTAATGAGTGTGTAATTGCTGCTGTAACTCATGAACGCTGGGACAAAGGTTTGGATTTCAAGAAGATGCCACAAAAAAATGTACATCGACTGATTGAGTCTATTTGGCAAAGGATTGTTTGGGTAAATGTGTTTTCTAAGTTTACTGTCTTGCTGCTTGAGTGGTCCTGTCAGTGTCAATGTAAAATTATTAACCAAAAGAGCTATCCATCTTAGCTTATACCAGTCCAATTGATACACCCAGTCATTATTTTTTACATTAAGTTTATTATTTTGTGTAACACTTTCCCCTAAGATTATCACCTGTTTAACATGTCCTTCCTTTTATGTGTTTCAGACATATTTTGATGTATTATTAATGTTTCATTATGAAATGTTTTTCTTTATAGACTATCACTCCAACTATTAGTGCAACTGTAGCTGAATTACCCCAAACTTGGGTAAATTGTCCAGTTAATTTTGATATCATTGATTGCAAAGTTAAAAATGGATTGTATCAATATCCATATCAATTGCTTAATGATCTATCTTTGATCAACCACAGCTTAAGGATCGCTCACCGGGATTACAACTTCTCTCAGTATTTGATCAACTTTATGGCCAATATTTACAGTTTGTTCAACCGCTGTGAGGCTTGTCCATATTGTTTGGAAAGTTCATTTTCTGATAGACCAAACTGGATCACTGAAACTTGTCCATGGGGCCATCCTTTAATTTTTGTCAATCTCAGAGGTGAGTACACAGAACAAGACGAAGGTTCATAGACATTATCAACCAAATTCACCATCCAAGTTTCTCAAGACTTTTACAGAAGATACATCAACTAATTTGCTTTTGATGCATTTTCAATTTTGCCATTGAAAAACCCAACAATTAATCGTTTTCCATTTTCCTGCGGATTCGATAACCTGTAAACTAACCAATAACTAATGTTTGGTTATTTAGACCATAACTACGATTGAATTATCCTTTGCGCTAATGAATGTCAGTTCATTACACCCTTTAATTGCCTTTTATTCATAATACAAATCTTGTTTAATCACTTAACTGTTATTTTGACATTGGACTCTAGTCAACCTTATCAAAGTGAGGTCATTAGTGTAAATTAGATTCAGTCATTAATCATAGCAATGAGAAGGTGCCAACAATTTGTCTAAATTGTTCTATGTTCATGTATGTTAAGTATAGATTGAAAATTTAACCCTAATTACAAGTCTGGATAAAAATATTACCTTACGGCGATTGATAACTGAAAAGTAATAGTTGAGAAAGTATAATTATCCAATGTTAACTCCAATATCTAAGTTGGTAGATTGATAAATATCCATTATGTATGATTAAAAAACAAATATTAATAATATTGAATATTGAAGGAAAAACTGAAAGACTGGAAATGATTCTCCAGTTTAAAAGCTGTTGAGAGGTAACAGCAAAAAAATGTTTATGATCATTTGAAAGATGTAAATCACTCAAAGATGGTGTCATTTTGTTGACACTTGCTATCCATATTTATGGTTATCATAAAATTTTGATGTGATCATTAATAACCCTTACCCGTCAATCTTGTTTTATCAACAGATCAATCATGGCCTGGTAAACTGCTTCGTTACCATCATCAATCCAAACTTGTTGATGTTCTCATATTTGGATCTCATGAATGGTAATGTAATTTCAATTTAATCTTTCCTATCCTTTTTATCCTACATGTGTATACACTTAATGAGAGAAATAAAATAACCACAAAACGTTTATTTGGTGGCCATTAAAATTATTTAACTTATTTTCTTTTTCTTCAATTCTAGGTATCAAGTTCACGCTTCTGATTGTCACCATTTTGTTACCACTGATTATGCTATTCCATACGTATCGCCATCCTCAAAGAAGGCTATTTTAGAGTCTCTTAGATACCTAAGAAACATTGTTTACTGTTTTCCAACCAAAATTACACTCAATTGTGGAACATTGTACCCTGACATTGCAGATTTCCTCGTAATCTCCCGAGAACAGCCCAACGGATCCAAAAATTCAACTAATCACGACAAGTGGATCTCAGAAAGGGTTGCAAGTACCGTTCATTTCATCAATACAATGCTCACCCATGTTGAACAAGCTCAATATACTCAAGACAAGTATTCAAAGGCTGCTATGGACGCTAAATATTTACTGACAATTGTTGATGAAGATTCTGATTCAAACGATCGTGGAGATAATGAAATAATCGTTGAAAATTAATCCAAAGATTAATATAACTCTTAATTTCTTAATTTTTTAATCCTTTCATCATCCCTGACCCTATTTTCATGAGCCTACACGAGCCTAGACATCAGGTGATCATTGATTCAAGAAAAGGAAAAAGAAAAGAATTGAAGATCTTCCATGTTGAGTGATTTTAAGTTAACAACCTGTTAACTTTCAATGATTAAACTAATCAATATTCTCGTCTCATTTCACTTTTTTCTTACCTTTTTCTTGCATTTCGGATGGCGTTCTTCCCGTATTTTGAAAAGCTCAAAGATTAACTTCATCAACTGGTAGATTGAGATTTGACATATTTTAAATGTTGTAATAACAAACTCATCAATTGGCATCGTTAACTTTCAATATTGATGTCTCTCAATATCATCATCATCTTATACTTGTTCAATCTCACTCATCTTAGTCTCTGTCCTCCTGGTCTACGTACCTGTATTTAATATCAGCTTGATTCCTCCTTTCCCTTACCTTCATCTTATCTCCTCTTCTACCATGCTATTATCAACTTTATTTTTCTTCTTTGTTTTTCTTACTTTTTTTCCACGTTTTTGCTCTTTTCTTTCTGTCTTCATTTTTTTCCTTCCTACTTTCTGATTTTTCATTTTCTCCCCTTCTCTCTCTCTTTCAGTTTCTCATCTTCATCTCTTTTCTGGACTCAAGCCTGCCCCTTCTACCTGATTTTGGGCGTAACTGATTGATGAGCCCGAAACACTGAAACAAAGTGAAACAGCCTAAACGACGATTAGAAGATGAAGAAGACACTGAGAAAGAGAGAGAAAGGAAAGGACATAACCAAAAAAGACGAAATTAAAAGGAGAAAGAAAGGAAATATTCAAGTTCCTGTTCTTTTTGAATTAATTCATAAGGATATGAATGATCTCTCCTTTTTTGTTTATCTTCATCTTTCTCTCCCTTTTTCACCTTTTATCAATCCGTGACTCTTTTTCTTAGTCTTCATCTTCTTCTTTACTTCAATTGATACCATTTAGTTTATGGAATCAATTAGACATCCCAATTACTCAGATCGTTTCAATATTACGATTTAAAAATAACAGCCAATCGAATCAGCTTATGTGCTTTCTACCCTTAAAACACCTAACACTATTTTGATACTCTTTTTACACTTACATAGTTTTACTAACATTTTAATTTTCACTCATATTTATACTTTAAAATATCCATTATTTTATATCATCTCATAACATCGACACTAATTTTTGATAAGTTTTTAAAATGAATACCAGGACTGGCGATGAATTAACTTGCCTTGTTTGCTCTGATAGAGCAATGGGAAATAATTTTGGTGCAATCAGCTGCGAATCTTGTAAAGCTTTTTTTCGCAGAAACGCTCATGATATCGAGGTAAGTAAAGGTAAATTATTGCCAATATTTACCACAGTAAATGTGCGCAAACGTTTATTTCAATCAAACTAACCTTTAAATTTACCTACTCAATAAACCGTTCAACTAACTCATTAAATTTGCGATCTTTAATAAGCTAATGATAGCAATGCTCAAGGAAATACCCTAGCAAAAAGTTCCATCAATGGTTTTATTATCTGGTCTGTAAATGATGTTATCAAGGAGACTTATCTTGAACATCTCAATAGACACTTTTTTCAACTAACCTCAGGCCATTTCTAATGTATAATTATCTTTAACTCAATTTTTTTTAGCCTCTGACTAATGATTTTTAATTTTGCCCATTTAATTTTAGCCATTTGTTTTGCTTTTTACTATTTACTTTTACCTCTTTTAATTGATTTATATTTTTGCTCCTTTTATTTTACAGAAACTTCGCTGTGAGTTCAATGGTAAATGTTCAATAACCATATTGACCCGTCGCCATTGTCGCCGTTGTCGTCTAGAAAAATGTTTTCAAGTTGGAATGAGAAAAGATTGGATTTTAACAGAGGAACAGTTACAGATAAGAAGAGCTCGTATTCAATCACGTAAATCACGGGAAATCGCAACAAGAGCCAACATCAATTCACCTTCATCTTCGTCCTCATCGTCATCTTCCTCGTCAACCATTTCAGCTGTTCCTCATCTTAATTCATCATTACCCTACAACTCATATTCATCAACTCCGTTCTCCTCCTTGAATCAGTCAATTGGTTTCCATGGTCCATCTACATCCCACTCATCTAACCTTAATTACGATATCTATAGCAATTTAAACGATGATGAAGAAGATGAAAGTGACAATGACTATGAAGATTTGTGTGATAAAATGGGTAAAAAAATATTTACCAGTTCATCTAATATGCTTACCAGCCTATTGGACAATAAACACTATGATAGCCAACATGATCACCATCAATCTCAAAGTTATCCAGATCTTTATCCTGATTACGGTCAACTTACATCGCCAATTTCATCGATGGTCCTCAATGCTCCTAGTTTTTTGTCACCAACTTGTTCAACAAATGATTATTTACTTGCTTCTTCGCCCGTCTCACCTTTGCCTTTAAATTCATCATCTCACCCTTTTTCATCCAACTCTTCATCATCGCTTGATTATGTTCAACATCCAACCAATATCTTTACCAAACTTGAACCCAGTGGTTCGATTGAAGTTGAAACTGTCCGAAGCAAAGTTTACGACCTTATTATGGGATCAGATATAAAGCTACCCATTAACCTGTCCAATGAATATATTACCTCAAATTTAGCTCTAAATCAATTAATCAACAAACGAATGGACGAGCTTATTAATGCCTATTCAACCCCTTTTCATCCAGTACCAAATGAATTGTACGATGCTTCTAACCAGGAATCATGGATTTGTTTACTTGATTATTCGGCCAAGCTGTTGATCGCTTCCATTAAAAACGTAACCTCATTTAACCGGTTACCTTTACAAGTCCGAAATGACCTTTTCAAAGAGTCATTTTCAAGTATCATCGTAATTCGTTCAGTTTTCTTGTTTGACCGAGATAAAATTGAATGGCGAGTAAGTTAATCCAATTAATCTTCGATTCTCTTACCCAAAGATTAATCTTAAAGTGATTAACAAATTTATGAATCCAATAAGAGTCGAGTCGATATGCTTTTATTGAAAGTAAATTTAAATTGTTTAAAATCAATATTTAGATATTAAACAAGGCCAATATCAACAACCTTTGAAGTTTTATGAATCTATCAGTTTCTTTGAAGATTTACATGATTTGATACTAATTGTTTTTTCATCTTTTTTTACAGTTTGACAGTTCATCAAAAAGCATAAAATTCAATCTACTTCGTCTGTTTGGTGCTCAAGCCACGTCTTCATATTTATCATTAGTCAAAGATTTCGATGATTTATGTGGAAGAAACTTGAAAGTTGGTCTAATCCTTGAATTAATTTCGCTATTCAATTCATCTAATGTTGACATGCAGCATCAAGAATATATCAGGTATGAGTTCAACTATTTTCATCAACTTCAATCTAATGATAGTAATCAAAGTTGTCTACAAATTAACTTGTAATGTTGCAAAACTTGCCTAGGCCTTTTTAAAACATTGCATAATCCATTAAAGATTACCTTTGACATGTTAACATGCCAATCATATCAAAATATTGATTCGAAATTGAACTCAATAACTTGATAACTGAGAACGCAATTATTTCGAAATGCAACTTCTTCTGACTTTGAAAAGATGTTTGATTAAATAAGTAAATAATTGCATTTAGATGCTACAATATATTCACAATTTAACTTTTGTAAAACAATTTCATTATCCAAAACAAATGCCTTTATGAAAAATCACTTTACTAAATGTGATCATATTTATCACTTGATTAGTTAGATAATATTCAACCCATTTTTATTGAGTTATTTCATTTCTTATTGCTGATCCTTCCTGTAAATGCAGAAATGTAAGCATATAGAAAGTTCCAATTTTATGAACAACCGCAATGAAAATTGTCTTCATCAAATTGAATGCTTTTAAGAGAATGGAAAGAATGAAAGTTTTTATAATTAATTCTGATGAATATGATGCTATTTTTCACCATTATATTACATTTGATACGGAAATTAAAAAAAATTGTAGCAATTAATATGAATCAATCGGATTCTGTAAAGCGATTAATGATAATTTTTGCTCCAATTCAACCTCAACTGTTATTCTGTGCTTATATTAACATTTCAATCAACTTTAAGCATCAAACTAACGATTTAACACCAATTAAGCTGCACTATCAAACTGCTCAGTTAATCTGTATTTCACCTGAATTTTATTTACTTTACTATATCATGCAACATTCAGTTATCCTATATCAAACTATAAAAGTTACTCTTTTTAAGTTTCATATTCAAATGATTTCCAGTTTTGTAAATTATTGAATCCCAATAGTTGAATCAACGTTAATTTCAAGCTGGCAATTAATTTGCTTTATCCATTGATTTTTTCTGGGAATTTCGTTGTTCGTTGGAAAAGTTAACCAATTCAATATCAGATTTTTGTTTCTCTCAAATGTAAATATGAATTTTTGTTTCAGAATTTGTTGAAATGGAAAGACAATTTAATTCAGAGCACTTATTTGAATAAAATGCAGCATAACTTTAGCTTCAATAATTATTAATATTTCTTGTAAAAATTTTTCGTCACAAAATTTTCGTCTTTAAAAATAACTTTCACGATTTGTAGTATTTTTGGTTCCATCACTAGGGAGTTTAACTCTTTTACCCCTGAATCATTAGCAAATTAAATCAACTTTTCGCAAGCAAAATCTAAATTGTTACAATTACATTTGCTTGTCCATTCATAGTGACAAAATTTGTGCTATTATCTGTAATGTAATTCAACATGAAATTCAATTTAGTAACTTGTATTCATAATTCAATTTTAAAAGTTGAATAATATTTTTATTCTGATGTTCGCTATATTTAAATTATTTCAAAATCTCAATTTATTTAAATAATGTTTTTGTGTTAAGTGCAAAATTTGTCAAATTTTGAATTTAAAACACAACCTTTTCTCCTTTTAATCAGATTAACGGTTTAATTTACTGTTATTATTCAAATGTCGATGGCCAGAGAAATGAGCTATTATTGACTTCGAAGTTTACAAGTATTTTGAATTTCGCTGTCCACGTGTTCAAATGTGTTTTGCTAATCTGAATTCATGCCGTTTTCCTGATATTTGTTGACATTTAATTAAGATTGTATTCATATAAAAATCATGATGATAAAAGTTATTTGCAATCAAGTAAATTACTGTTAATCATATTTTGCTTAGTTTTTGTTTTACTCTATCAAACATCAACTAAAACAACTGAAAATGTTGACAGTTAAGCTTAGCTGGTCAAGTTGTGCATCATCAATCAGAAATGATGATAAAGATCCAGATCTAGAAACTCAGAAAGGTTCACATTCATAATAATAATCAAGAAAGGTTTTGTCTGAATCTAAATATAATTTACTTAAATTTGCAGTTATTTTCAACAATTGCAAAGATAATTTTCTGTCCAAGAAAAGGCTTAATAATTATTGATCAATTTTCGTTTCCATATCAACCAAACTCAATTTAAAACTGAAAAAATCAAAATGCTTCTCGTAATTACTTGAAAATACACAATTTTTTATCAGTTTATTGTTGAAACTATGAAAACTGTTATAAGGAAAAGTGAATGGATAAAATATCCCTTTAGCAATTGTTTTTCCCATTATTTGCATCTAAAAAATTAACTAAAAAGCCAGAATCTACAGATTATCATAAAAACAAAGGTGACGTTAACTATGTTAGAATCTCAAGAGTCTTGCAAAAAATTTATTCAAATCAAGCTTATTTTGAGCTTTTATCTTGAAGCAAAGCGTAAATCACAAAAATAATCAAAAAGTAAAAGGTTTCATTTAAATTGTTCAAAGGAGTTTGATTGCAAGTGAAACAATTTTCACATGAAATAAGCCAACCTCCAAAAACGAGGACAATACAACTTACTCTGTTAGACCATTAAAAGTGAAATATAATTTAGTTAAAAATATACACTCAAAACTTTGCACACAAAGTGGTCCAAGTTTTATCGCGATTTCACCGGAAACTATCGACCATAAACCAAACACACCTCACAAGCTCATATCTTAGCTGAACTTGACACTTGATTCATGTTGAACAAATTCATGGTGATTACTCTTAGCTGTATGAACGATACTATTTAATCAATGAGAAAGTAAATCTTACAACAAATCTTTAAATTATCAATAAAAAATACTAACCAATTCAATTAAACCTCTCCTAGTTAACCTACTAATTACACTTATAAAACTATCCATTTATAATCTTGTTTCCTTAGATTGTAACTTGATAACTTGATTTGATTTTCCTAAAAAGTGTCACTGTACTCAACGCGTGCTAATAGAAATAGTTATTTAATTAAAGTAACTTGTAATTTAGCCGTTGGAATTGAAGTGAAATAGTTAAGTGAAAAGACATTAACCAGAATGCTGATGATGATGATCACCAAAAGATGAAAATAGCCGTCAGAGATTTAGATAAGAAAAGGTAAGGGGAAAATATGTTTAAAAAAGCAAGCAAACAAAAGGACGATCCCTTTTAAGTACACGAGCACTCAATCTGAAGTCCATTCATTGTATTAGCCATACAACTAAGAAATGGTCAAATTTTGATCATTTCAAATGATTAATTAAAACGCTAAAATTAATCTCAGTGTCCGATTTTATTACATTTTAAACTTTAATCTATTTTCATAAAAATATTGTTTCAAATATTTAAATTGTTTTTCAATATCATTTTTAGACCTTTCAGCAATTAAATTTAAGATTCTCAATGTTTAAAAATCAAGGATTGGACAAAAATCACCAAACTATGTAATAATTTTGAAGGATCAACTAATCGTTTGAAATCAAACACTAAAATTTAGTCATTACGAAGTTTGATAACCAATAATTATTGTAATGGTAAAACAAAAATCACAATGAATCTGTAAATTTTATAAGACCAGGGAATAAGATAATTACAGTTTATCATAACGGAAATGGTAAAACATGTAATTATCTGGGGAAAAATTCAAGTTGACCAGAAAAAAGTTGACCTCATGCTAGAAACCAATGCTGCAAACTCTGCATGCAGAGCATAATGGTGAGAAAGGTGATCTTGTCAGGTTTTCACCTGTTGAAGGCAATGAAATTTGTCCATTTTCCAGATTTCATGATTGAAAGTGTTGATGTTCAATGTTGACTCTCTAATGTCTGACAATTATCAATTCTTGTTCATTTTTAATTGCAACTATGGACAATGAAAATTTGGGTTTATCCTGAATGGTAAAACAGTTGAAAGTGAAATAATTTTATCAACAAATGGTTTCTCATTGTCTTTGCTTCTTGATAACAAACAATAATCCTTTTTGTGAGATTAAGTTGATTAAAATAACGTATTTTCCCGGACTCTGAATTCAGACAGTCACTTGAAACATACAAGATCAATGTCCTTAAGGTTTTCCTCCAATTTTAATGAATTTCATTTTGCATAATTTAAAAGATTATTTAATGTTAATTTCATTTTTTCATTCTTTCCTCTTCTTTATTTCATTTGCAGCAAAGAAAAGTATATTTATACTTATTTATTGCGACGTTACCTTGAATCGACTGGTCTTTCAATGGCTCAAGCTCGATCTGATTCCTATGATCTTCTAATGAAATTGGAGCAATACAAAATGTGCAATAAACCTTTGGAACACCTTCGCCAAATTTGTGCTTATCAATCACAGAAAGCCGGTCAATTATTATCAGAAATTCTGGATCTGTCTTGAGAAACGCTGATAAATCTTTCATCAAAATTAAAGCAACAAACGTACAAAACATTAGATGATGAAAAATTGCAGCCTTTACCTTTTCTCACAAATCAAATTGTAAACTTGAAAGTATAGATAAATTATGAAGCATTTTTTAAGTAATTATAAAAGACTGAAATATCCAACAACTGAGATTGGAGTGGATTAACCTGGTTGATGGATTCCCATTCACCTGATCAATTGGATACAACCATGAAAAACCATCAACCATGAAAAGCACATTGAAAATGAAAGTCCAAAATGAAAGCCATATTTTATGTTTATCCAAGATGTATTTTCAATCAACTCAACAATTTAAATAAATTTATGATAACATTACTCAAAATAGTAGTAAAAAGCAACAACTCTATACATATGCATAAATAGATGTAAAGGTTTCAACAACAAGGTGGAAGTTGGTCACAATAAAAGTCAATACCGTTTAATGTATTCATTGATCATCTTATTCATCATTTTAATCAAACCTTTCTATTCTCATGTTTTCTAGTTATAATATTTACATTAAAGTGATGTTGATTCCTCAATTGAACTGGACAAAGTAAACAACATAACAAGGACTCAATTGCTGTGATGACCATGATGATGATGATTCTGCTGAATAATGATTGTACTGGATTATTGGTGGTGATCGACCAGGATGAAAATGATGTGCATAAAGTTAAAAAGATCATCAAGTTATTTTAATTCCCCAAGAGAGACAAATAAATGGTTCATGGTTATCTGTAATGAACATCTTCAAAGCTTCCCTACATTATATTTGCCTTTTTTTCATCTTCGCCATCTTCTTCTTTTCTTTCTTTTCCTTTTCCTATTCCCTTTCAACGTCAAAATATCATTCTCATTACACATAACTACGGACGATGATCTCTCTGTACAATCATTATTCAACCATTCGAGTCAACTGATGAACCTCAGGAAATTGAAATGAAAGATGATTGCTTGATAAGTGAAATTTCATTGCTCTTTAATCATCACCATCTGCGTTCACTTCAACAATTCGAACTAAAAAGTGAAAAACAAATTGATTCGATTAAGAATTATTTGTATCTTCTTATACTATTTAACCATGATAAATGATATTCACTAATTCATTTGTTGTCTTGGTTTCAATGTTGCTTACAATGAATTGATTAATGGCTAAAAGCTGGTTATTATTCACAACTCACTTTGAATAGCAAGTTAATGATGTAAAATATAGTCAATGGCTCTGTGAATTAAAAAAGATGCTGACTAATTGTCCACCAATCCACGAAATCATTTATATTTTATCGACATTGCAATCGATTATCGAAGTCCCTGACTATTTGTTTATTTCGGTATAAATATGGTTACATTTGATGAGCTTGTCTATTTATAAATCTGTAAATCGTCAGGGAATTGTAGTAATCAGTGTCGATCATGAAGCAATGGTTAAACATCGGATTTGTATCATATTTTGACCAGTCTTTGATAAGCTAACATACATTCATGTTATTTAAATATTACTTGTCATAAGGCGAAATCAGATTGACACATTTAAGGTTGATGAATTGCTGCACTGTCCATTTTAATTAAGAAGCACAACATTATTTTTAAATTACCGTTTCCGTATAATGTCATGGTGCTTCAAAATGGACTCGCTTAAATAAGATCCTCAGTGTTTCATTGTTTATGGTTACTTTGGTGAAAGAATTGAAAAACATTAACCAATCTCTAAGAGTGAATCACACAATTTCAAATATTCATTAAACTCTTAACCGATTAATCTTGAACTTTACAAATTTCCTGAGCTAACGCACACTCTGTTAACTAAAAGCGCCCTTAGTGACCAATGAATTGCTAAGAGCACCGTGTCAATATGCACGCGGATACGGTGAGTTGGGGAGGAGACTGGAAGGAGTTTTACAGTTATTAGCAAGTCTGCATATTGGTGGCAAATGTGGCACAAGCAGAGTAAAAGTACCTCGATTTATCATTAATCACTGAGTGCTAACTTTAATGATGACAATTAAAGTCAAAACAAGGTTTAATGTGATGAAAAACAAGGATTATAAACTATTTACTCTTGAGGCTTGGATTAATGAAAAATCATGCCATAACCGGATGATTATAAAAATGGTCAAGAAGATTCTCACTGTGGAATCGATTGAGATTGAAACTTTAATCATGATTAGGCTGATTATAATACGTTAAATAATACAGATGAGTTAAAAAAAGGATAGATAAAGAAAATAAAATGAAATGAAAAATTGATGCAGACGTAAGGCTGGAGGCAAATTATTTGTATTAATTGACGCTAAAGATGCTGTCAACCTTGGACGCTACTACGTCAATTGATTGGGAAGAGCATTTTTAACAGTTGTTTGACGTAAGTTGTCAAATTGCGTAGTTACCGATGAAGATGAACGGGTGAAGAAGATCAAAAAGGTAAGAAAGAGTTGAAAGAGAGAGTGAGAGAGACCGAAAGGAGATGCGATTTATTTTCAACACATTTTCAATATTATTTAGCAAAAGCAAATTGAAAGTTAATTGACCTTGTTGAGAGATGAATTAATATTTTAAATCAAGTTAAATCATCACAGACTTGATTGTAATAACATCCCTGATTTCTAGCACTGTCTTTTGAACGACAAATTAATAATTTATCCAATTTTTTCTTCTCTCTGGTTGAATTTGGGTTAAATTTAACCACAATCTTTGAATCTTATCTGCTGTCATCTTGCATGTAACAAGATAATTGATTTGTACCACAAAATCAACTTGGATTTTATTAACTGGAGATGAATTTATCATCTACTTTGAAGTTTACTTTTTAATTAACATTTATGTATCATTAAAAGTGAATTAAAGTAGCATTTTTTGTCATTGACTAATTGAGTTTGATTCTGTTGACGCATTTCAAGCGAAAATGTTTCACTTTTCATAAGTTGATTCGGATAAAATAATAAATTGGTTTACTTTTTGGTTGTGAGCAGCATTAATGAAATCGCAATCAATTTCTTTAATCTGTATTTATTTAACAAAAACAATACAACGATTGCATTACGATTTGCAATGAGACACGAATATTTGGCATTGAAGTAAACTCTAAACTTTACTGGAATGAACAACAGGGGATCGATTATATGATTCAACTTTTATGGAACAGTTTGGTTTGATTGGTTGATTATTCAGAATCAGAAAAATTAAAAATTGAATATTTGTGACCATAATTTGCTTGATTGTCGAAAGAATAGAAAACATTTTACATTATGAACATTTGAAGTGATATGATAAGGAAAAAAATAATAAGCAAGTAATGCTCCAAGATCAATAATTAAAGCGGTATTTCTATTAAATTAGGGTTCAATTTGCTGATGCCGCATCTTGTTCTTGGTTCGGTACTGAACTTTCTTCAACATCTGAATCAGATGCACCAGCAAGTGATTCTTTTATTGTTAAATGGAGCTGAAGAAATTTATCTTTTAACTTTTTATATTTGAGATCGAGAGTTAATTTTTGTAATTCAAGCTTTTCTTCCCATGATTTGTTGTTTTCGCTTATCATTTGGTCATGTTTTGATTTTAAATCTTTAAGCTGCTCGGCTACTGAATTTTTCCAAGTGGAGTTTATCTCTTCCTCCTGTTTGGTCAAAGCATATCGATGTTCTTCGACTAGATTGTCCATTTTCTTGTTTAATTGGTCTCGTTCCTTGCTCAATTTGTCAATCTTTTCTTGTAATTCGGGCAACTGGTTGGCTTTCTTGAGTAGTTCATCACGTTCCTCCTTCAATTTGTCAACTATTTGTTGTAATTCGACTAAACTATTAGTCTTTTTGACCAACTCTTCACTTTCTTCCTTTAGTTTATCAGCTGTTTCCGTTAATTCTTTTTGTAATTTTTCACAATTTTCTTCAAGTGATTTAGCTTTTAGTGCTTCTATTTGGGCTCTTGTAACTGCCTCACGATATTCTTCATGCATTTTTAATTGTAACAATTCTTTTTCAGCCAATGCTAAACGTTCTTTAACCTTTTGAGATTCTGAAATGTAGTCGAAATTCATCAAGGAGTCGTATTTCATCTTTTTGAACAAAGGACCACTTAAATTATCGTCATAATCGTCACGAAGGGATTTAGCATTTACCCTGAATGTTGAATGATCGGATGTATCCATAGCAGAATGATACAGATATGATCCAGATAGATCAGTCATTACGGTGGATTCAAATACGGTTTCCTTACTTTGATCATCTAAAGTCAATGTAAAATGACTTTCTGGAATCGGTGTAACTTTGGTTTTCAATGGTTCATCATTACTACTAGTTTCGTCTTCGATAACAAAATCTGCAGTAACAGGTGAAAATATAAATTTTTGGTCAGTTTCCGGGGCTATTTTTTCTTCCACTTCATTAGAAATAGAGGTTATTTTGGTTCCTTCTGATTCGTCGTCGTATACAATTTCAAACTGTGTGCATTGGTCACTTTTCAAAGTATCATGATCTTCCGGTAACACCTGTGTAGAACTAACTTCAGGTTCTTCGATAGAACATTCTATAGGTACTTCTTTTTCACGTTCTGTTGGCACTTTCGGCTCCGTCATAGAAGGACTGTCATTGAGAATGTTGTCAGTTGTTCCATTCAATAAAGTTGGTTCATGATTTGGTACGTTATTAGCTGCAATGTCAGGTGCAATGTTAGGCGCTTTATTAGGCACAATGTTAGGTACTTTATTGGGCGCATTATCAGGTGCAATGTTAGTCGCTTTATTGTGTGCAATGTCAGGTGCAATGTTAGGCGCATTATTAGGCGCATTGCTTTTGATATTATCAGATTCCGTAATTGGGTTTTGATTTGGCTCTGCATTACGAACTTCTGTATCCTTTGCATTTATCTTAGCACTATTATTGTTAATATCACTAATATTGTCGTTCTTGTTATTTTCTACACCTTTAACGGAGTCATCTTTTTTGCTGGTAGCACCTTCAGTATTGACGGTATCATTAGGTAAACTTTGCTTATTAATCGCACTTCTGTCCTCTTTGCTTCCTGATTCCACAGAGGCACCGTGTTCTTCTTGTTCATCATCAGTTAATAGTATAACATCTTCATCCGATGATGATCCCTTCGAAATGTAGTCTTTATCGCTGTCTTTGATTCTTCTCCTCAATCCAGGTAAGCTAAATTTACGGCCAAATTTTTTCCTCAAGGTATTCACATATTTTCTAGCTTGATCATAAGCCTCAATAAGTTCTTCTTTTTTCTGGGGTATGTCTAAATCCGAGCGACAAGGTATCCAGCATTGGCTCTCACTTATTCGGGTCCTGAAACGGTTCAAGAAATCGCTAACATAAATGGTAAGAAATGAATAGGATAAATAAAATAATAAATTATCATACCGTTCACCGGTCCCAAACAAGATCACATCGAGGCGTCCTGACGAACGATTATATCTGATCAACTTAGCAGGCCAAAGCGAGTCTAAATAAAAAAATAGGGTAATTAGTCTAAAGGTTTGTTTGATTATCATCTAGAAATAGAATTACCGTCTATTTTGGCAAGAATCAAAAGATGACCCCACGGACAAGTCATCGTTAACCATTTGTCACCAAAATTAGAGAAATTTAAAATACAATGAGGACAGTCCTCTAAATATCGAATTCTAGCCTCAGCCGTCTTTTTGAATTCAATCATTTCGTTTTTGTAAATATATAATTCTTTTGACAAAGCTCTCATCTCTCTGTTACGGTTTTCACATTTAACGATAACAGCACAATTATGATTGATGAGAGTTATATCATTAAGAAACTCTCTCGGGCTGTTATAAAGATTATCTGAGGTCTTGTCTTTGATTTTATGAAAATCCATGGTAAACGGACAGCCAGATATTGAAAGCTTGCTTGCAGGCCAAAGTAATGGAGCAGGAGCAGACTAGAAAAGAATGATAGAAACGTAAATCAATGCTTATCTGAAATCACTGAGTGCCAACACATTAGGCTTAAATGAGCATCACGACTTACCTGTTTTAAAAGATCTAAAATATAAGACAGCAAAGTGTTGAGAGTTTTCTTTGATATTTTCTGGAATTCTAGACCTTTATCCCAGTTTCTTGCAGCTTTAGCAAGCATTTGGCATTCAGAACATGATGTGGAAAATTGGTATAACCTTCTATTGTTAGGATCAGGAACAAATAATGAGTCATCGGTCATTATGTTACGAGCACATCGGTAGTGGTAGTTGCGAAAGCATTCTTTACAGGGTAAGCTTGCATGTTCTCGATGACAAATCCAACAGTATTTATCGGTTTCCTGAGATTAGAAATACCAGAATAAGAATAAACAGGGTAACGAGAATATGATGCAATAATGTAAGGTATAGAAATACTTACAGGCATGATTAGTGAGAACTCACGATAGTGTCGTCTAAAATTCAAATTATTAAAACATGAATAACCTGGGGAGACATAAAATGAGGAATTGAAATTCATGATTCAATGTAAATTAGATAAAACAGAATACAATATGCTAGTAAGATATACAAAAATAAAAATTGAACGATTAAAACCAAAAGATATGAAAAGATAGATAAAACAAGGGACACGAGAAAGGCTTAAGAGAGTATAAAGATTCACAATTTTAGTGCAATAATTTTACTTACTTGAGGTTTTGTTTATTCCTTGGGATATTTAAGTAACAATAAAGATTAACAGTAAAAAATAAAAGTGAAACAAAAAGTTCAAATTAATATCAAAAAGAACTGAACACGTTTAAACATCTTCTGAAAGAGAAAACAAAAACATCATCTGGAAGGAAAAAACATCTTACCAGCCATAAAACCAAACATCGCGCGTAAAATCCAATTTGAAAAATGGAGGGTAACTTAACTTGGCTTTCAACTAGAAACTAATAAACTTATCTGAATATTGAACACATTGACTATTTTTACCACTTTTCTTAATTTAACACAGATGTTTAAAGATTCCTTAGGAATTTATTGGCCTCTCTTATTGTTAACTCTTCATCCATCAACAATTGAAGAGTAAAATTACCCGGAATCACCTCTTTGTTTACTTTGCCAAAGCTTGTGAATTAGGATTTAACGAGTGAATGCCATGGATTTGTCGTATGAAAAAATTAACAATTATCAACATAAATGATATATTAACTCCGATTGGCTGAGAGAATCTCATGTTTATTCATTCCCGGATCAATTAATTGATAAAGTTTAAGCAATAACAAATGTTCAAACAAGCATTAATGGTGACAATTTGCTTAACAAGTTGTTTTTCTGTAGATCAATTGACAATTGCTATTGTTTCTGTATCTTTTGGATCTCTGGATCATCTGTTTGCTTTAACAATGATGGATAATTTAAAAAATTTTCATTACGATGAAAATTTTCCTAATACAGATGCGTAAGATGAGAATAGCTGAGCGTTGCTAGCTTTTTACCTAAAAACACAAAGGCGGTGAAAAAAGCTTCATTGAAAGCAACTGTAAGGGTTAATTTTTAAGATGTCTTTTGTTAACCTATCCTGGTATTTTTAATCAGTGAGGTAATTGTTTCAATTATGCCAATCATATTTATGGAACCGTCAACTTTGAAGATGAAGTCGCAATAGATTTATTGTTCCTTGATTGTTTCTGTACGCAATTTTTAGCTATGCTAACAAGGATGGTTTTGACTATTCATCTGTTTAAATTTTCAACTGTATCTTTTGTTCATCTGACTCATCGAAAGATTTTATAATGTGCTTATATATTTACATGCAAGATTTATACACCAGACACTGAAGTTCAAATAGTGTTCTTTACTTCTGCCTGCGACTGGCTCTTAAAAGTTCATTTGCTTTATTGTATCCATGAAATCTTGATCGATGTGAATACATTTGAGGTGAGAATGAGTTTTCTTTACCAATTTGTGATCCTAATAGGTTTATCCATTGGAGTAATCAGTAACAATGTTGAACCTTTGAATAATTTTGCTAATCAGCATGTTATGAATAATAATCCCGTTAATAATCCAACTAATACTTTCAATAATCCAGTTTTACCTAAAAACCTACATCCAGCTGTTAATAAGTTGCAGCCAGATAATATCAACCATAGAAGTAACAATTTTAACGAGAAAAATTTTGACAAAAACGACGATAATACTGCTCAAAGCAATTTGATAATCGATGAAACACGATCTATTGATCAGCTTATTGTTGATTATGGCTATAGTTTCAACAAGTACTATGTCACCACCAGTGATGGCTACATTTTAACTATTCACCGAATTAAAAATCCTTGCCTATCTGATGAACCATTGGATCCAATAATTTTGGGTCATCCGGCAACTCAAGATGGTTCCATTTTTATAGATGGTTCACCTTTTTACAACCCAATAAGTTGTTCAACTGGTGCTGTTGATGAACCTTTCAACCCAAATCTTGGTTTCTTGCTAGCAGATCTTGGCTACGACGTCTTTATGCCCAGCTTTAGAGGTTTCCGTTACTCAAGAAATCACACTGACTATAATCCAGCCAAGGGTAAACAAACTTCATATAAATACATTCATTTAATTATCCATATCTTTTAAAGTAAATAATACAAATTTTATTATCCACAGATGCGGAATATTGGGATTTTACTTCCGATGAAATGGGAAAATATGATGCACCAGCTATAGTTGATTTCGTTCTCGGCTTGTCAACATATCGTGAGTATAAAAATGATATCTTAATTTATAATGAGATCAATTTATGTGAATTGCTTATTGTTAATGTACATGTTAACATGTAAAATATAGCCTTCGAAAGGTTCAAATGTGTGTTTCTTTGTGATTTCATTAAATTTTGTTGTGGCCCTTCATGTTTAATGTTTAATTTTTAAAATCGTCTTTTTTATTGAATTCTTATAGCTGAAGTGATTTGGATTGGCCATTCATTAGGTGTTTCCATACCGTTGATTCTTCTCGCAACTCAACCTTCCTATGAAGAAAAAATTCGCCATGTAATCGGTTTGGCTCCTACAACTTTTCTCGGTCATACCACACACCCATCAACGAGATATTGGGCTGATTCTGGTTTAGGAAAAGAAAAGCAGACTGAATTTGGTCCTAAAGAAGACAATAAAACAACGACTAAAAGAGAATCGATAGTTGCTAATAGAGCCTCTAATGAATCTCTTACAAAATTGTCACGCCAATATTTCTATGACTTTGGTTACGATCCAGCCCAAACTAATGTCACTCGGTTACCCGTTTTCTATGCCCAGCAAACTCAAACATCATTATCAACATACGTTCATTTTTCCCAACTTGCTTGCACTCCTTATTTCAAGGCATTTGATGGTGGGAAGAAACGAAACACTCGTGAATATGGCAAACCTAAGCCTCCCTTTTACAAAATATCACAGATCAGGAATGTTACCTTTACAATTATGGCCTCACCAAACGATAAAGTTGCTAAACTTAACGACGTTAAAAAGCTGGTTAAAACTCTGAAAGGTAATTTGATTTAGTTACGTTGTAACACTTGAAAACAAACAATTACATTCGCTATCTTTAATTTGATGTTTGATCACCAGGCAGCATTGTTACGCTTTGTGTTGCCATCTATGGAAGCTTAATTTACTAACTCAATTCTTGTTTCTAATTACAGCTCCAGTTGATTTAAAGATCGTCAAATACAAGAAAATGAATCATTTTGGCTTCTTATGGTCTCTCAATCGGCAAAAGCTTGTTAATGATGTGATCGTTGACACATTGAATGAAGTCATATCATCATAAACTTTGCCAGCATCTTCGCCGTTAATATAAAGAAACTCAAGAAGACAAACAAATTGCTGGTTCCAAAGCTGTTAAAATCTTGTATTATTAATGCATAAATTATGAAATAATGAAAATTTGAAACTCACAATTAGCAAGAATTGCTTGTTTATATTTAACTGCATACTTTCATAACAATGAAAAGTTTGATATGAAAAGGTTATCAGCCTTATTCAATCAACTCGCGATTAAACCCAATGAATGAGCTGAAACTGCTTGTGGATTAACCATTTTATTGTAAGTTTTTTTCATAAATAATCCATAAAATCATTAATATATGAAAACATTAAGAAAATAAGAGAATCGGGTTCAACTAAAATTCAACCTTTAGTATGTAATTAATCAAAAAGGTAATCATAATTCTTCCAGGCTTTAGTTGTCATTGAACAATGTGATAAAATTAATATAATAAACGAGAATTCCTAAAATAGTAAACAACTTTGATGATGAAAATTTTCAAGAGCTAAATGTTGACATTTTTGATCAAACTTGTAACTGTCCATTTATCTTTACAGAATGGCTGGACTCGTCAGAAGATTCACGTTGGTCAAATTTTTGAATCTAATCCAATGGACTGACATTCTATACCAATGGAACCAATCGATATTTTCTGAAATTAGATACAGGAGGAGATGAAAGAGGTTAACTTGAATCAGCTTTTGTCAGATTTTGTTGTCAAATGAACGAAAGAAGATGAAGAAGAGCAAAAAAAAAGAAGAGCTGAAAGTAAAACTGAACGTTAACAGCAAAAGGCCCTATGACAAAGATGAGTCTTTGGTTGGTTGATTAAGTATTCATTATCTGGTACAAGAAAATGTTGAATCGTACTGAAGAGAAGATATCTTGTCATGCTCTATCATGATAACAATGAGTGCTCTGGAAATATAAATCTACTACGATGAAGATAGAGATAGAAAGTAAAGAGTGAGAATTTCTTGTAAGAAAGTTAATGTTAAACTTAAGTGAAAAATCTGCCTGGATCAAAATGAGTCTGCTTCGAATCACTCGCCCTTTCAATCTTTTTCAATATCAAATGTTCCATGTCTTCCTTTCCTTTCCACTTTCACCATCAACATCATTTTCAAAACCATCTGAACCATCATCGGACTCGTCATTATCATCATCGTCATCCCTTATTCAATCTCTTAAGTATCTTGACTTTTATTCATCTTGTGAATCGTCAACAACATTAACACTAACAGCCATCAGCTCCAAGTAGACCTTTGATAAACACAATCCTGCCAATGTGCTGAACGGATCTTCAATTGAATTCAAGTCTTAAAATGTATTTTCAAAGTGACACCAATATTCCAAAACAGTAATCAAGTGTGAGTTAATTGAAAGCAACAATGCGAAGTGATCAACCTCTTCTTCCATCCAATCCACCAACTGGGATTTTCCTTACTTCATCTGAATTGGATCAGCAACAATCAACTCGTCCACTGGTACCAGTGAGTAGACAAGATTCAAATCCGTGGCCATCATCAAACAATTCATCGACAAGTAAACGTGGTGGTGGCAGTGGGTCTGGCAGTGCCACTGGTAACCGTCAAAACAATCCTCCCAACCTCCCACCACCTCATCAACTGTATCGCTCTCGTCACCGTGAAACTGACACTGAAACTCTTTTAACTTACACTAAAGGTTTCCTTGTTTGTGCGTATTTTGTTTTCATCATTGGAAGTGGCATCACAATTAAAGAACTGTTTACCTTTCTATTCGATGATTACCGCTACAATACAGAATGGATAACCGGAATCATCATCTTAATACTCATTGGAATCTCTGTTTTGGGTATTTATGGAGCTTTCAAGGAAGATTCCTGTATCCTTTTAGTCTACGGATGCATCATATTAACGGTATTTCTTTTACACATTGCCTTACTCCTGGTTCTTAAAAATGCTTGTGCTGATAAACGTGACGTTTGTAGTAAAAATGTGGCCACTCCACCTGGTTTAGCACCCATCTTAGTAGCCATATCTGAGCTTGCCATTGCTTTGTCAGCTTTTTTCATGACACTGGTCATTGAATCGGAAAAAAAGAAGCATTCAGTTCCAAGATTATATCCAGTTGGGGAAAACTCGTGCCAAACTGTGTGAAAACCAATCCAAAGAAACATCCAAGTAAACACTGATTCACTTTGTAAATTGTAACCACTTTTTTCTAATACAATTTAATTGTAGTTGAATTGCAACAAATTGCAATAAACAAGAGAAAGAGTGAATTTCATTTCAGTATATAATTTAAATCCTTCATAGATGTCAAAATTTCAGGGAATCTCTTCAACTGACTATCGTCTGATTGAAACATTCAAGAGTGTCACTTAAAGCCTGTTGGATTCATTAGCAAACATTTGTTCAGCCAATTGAACGTCCATTGACCGCAATTGAACTTTTGACCTACCCTCGATAACCCAAGTAAAGGAGTAAAGCCACGGAAGAGAAAGGACGATAAGAAAGCTGTAAAAAGCATAATAATAAGAAGATGGCAGAAGGGAAGAAATAATTATCTTCAGCATTTCAACTTGAACCACTTACCCAAAACCAAATATCGATCGATTTACAGCTAGATGGATTCGTAGCAATCAGGACAAGAAAGAAATGTCAAGATTCACTTCTCTTCACTGATCAATTTATATTGTTATGCGTTTTTTTCCCTGAGATATTTTTTGTTTGTTTGTTAACATTCAATTCATTTAATCTTCCCCACTGGTGAAAGTGTAAATGTATATTTTTGTTCACACACGATAGTTACATTTGATCACTCTTCTTGATCATCATGAATCATCATCAAAACCATCAACATTATCATCATCATTCCAGTATGAAACAGTAATAAGGAAAAATTGTAATTATGACAAAAGGAAGATGTTATAATCAAAAATAAACACAATTGTATCCGCCTTACAGTGAAATGACTAGATAAATTGAGTACCATAATAAATGATCCATGATCTATCCAAATGATAATCAGATGAAACTCAGAATGCCATGCAAATATTATTGATCACTAAAAGACTGACGATAATAATGAGCATCTTCCGTCCTTTATTTGAAAATTTTTAACCCAACAATTATCTACTGTAATCAAAGTAAAAGATACAATCTGGACAAGAGTAATTTGATTCCAACCAACGTAACAAACATCAAAACAATAGCCAAGATCATTAATGTAAAGATCATGGATGGAACCTGAATTTATCAAATGTTTTCCTCGTCAATTAAGCAAATTAAATAATGAATAGAGATATTCAGATATAACACAAAAACCCAATTAAACAATTTGCTGGTAACTTAAACCATAACCCAAACCAAGACAACCAGAAACCCTTTTTTATACAATTTGATGTAATAATATTGATAAAATATTATTGAATTACAATAAAAGATATTAAAAACCCAAATTGACCAAAATTTACCCCTTCTTTATAAATTTTTGGGTTTAACCTAAAATTTATTGGTTTACTTGCAGTTAATGGTTGCACTTAACTATTATAAAATGGGAAATGATTAAACAAATCAACAGACAATACATTTCAACTAATAATTGATATTTCATTACTCATTTAATACATTAACAATAATAATTATTAAATAAGTCTTGTTTAGGTTTGTGTATCTCAATGTATCTTTGTAGGCCTTTGTGTTGAATAAAAACAAGAGCAAATTGCGTGACATCAACCCTTTCCTGGTTATTATTATTATATTATTATCAAGATCGATTGTGAACTTTTTTGATTGAAACAAAAAAAAACTAATGATAAAGATTCACTTCTATTCATGGTTGTTATAATGATGATAATCCTGGATCCTGGAAATTTTTTATTGTATTTAAACACACAAAACATTTCACCGTTTTTTCATGTAATATTTATACATTAATGTAACACACATTGTCAAGTTTTAGGTCCCTGGGACGAGACCAACTATTAAGATATTATTATCAGGTCTGAGTATCTATAACAGGCAAGGGTAAATGAAGGTTGAGTATTTATAAATTATGTTGATGTCCGATGCTTGGAATGAGAACAAATAGTTAAAAGATTTATTAGACAATTATCAAGATATGAAGGTAAATGAAGAAGTTGTATGAACCACTTTACTATTAGGTTGTCCGGGCCAAAATGGCGGACATTTGATTGTTGTTAACTTCGAATTACTTGGACTTTTTTTTATGAATTTTCGGTTAATGATACCTGAATAGCTAAGAATTTTTTTGAAATTAAAAGAATAGAATTATATGGTTTGGTTAATTAATTAGAACAATTTAAATCAAAAATTCGTTTTTTTATTTTGTCGAAAATTTCAAAAAATCAAAGGGTCCCCCCTTTGATTTGCTCGCTAACTTTTTTCAATTTTTGGATGTTTTTTGATAATCAAATAAAAGCGTTTAATTTTGTTGAGTAAATTAAATTACCATTCGATGAAAGAAGGCAAGACGAATAATTTGTGTTAATTTCGTGCATCTATCAGTTGAGGTTTAGTCTACAGACTCGATAAAAGAGGGGAAATTTTCGATTTTTGATTTTTTTAATAAATTTTCTAATAACTTTTTAATTATTGTTAATTTCAGCCTGAAATTTTGCATAATTAATTTTGTGGTATCTGTTAATAAAATTCCGAAATTTGAGTTAGCTACGAAATTCCTATTCAAAAATATTTTTGATCAAACTTCCGCCACTTTGGCCCGGACAACCTAATATTAAAAGAGGAAAGCGCGATAATGATTGATCGTAAAATTTTTGTTACTTTATATAATAATATTGATCTAGTTGAGTGTTTAATTGCCCTTGATGGTTAGGTGAGGAAAATTCAAGATTAAAATTATGGCTAAGTGATTAAAAGATTAAAATGGTCAAAATAATGGTAAAGATGGTTTAACGATTTGTAAAATGGCGCTTCATTATTTTGGCGGTTAAGTCTGGGGGAGAGACTTCCATTTTTATTTTATTCAACTGAAGTGTCATCGTTAAAATAGTGTAACGTCTTTTATTAATCAACTTTTTTCTTTGCTTGTGTTAATTTAATCAAGAGTAATTGATGATATTACTAGATTATCGAAACAACAATTAGAGTGTTTAATTGTAATAAATGTAGATTATGAGATGAAATGAAAAGAAACGGATGATTGTTGCAATTTTATTACCGTTAACCAACGTAAATTAATGTTTTATGTACATTTACTTGTGCTTACAGAGAAGACTTGTTGGGATGAAATTGATATCGATTTGTTTCACATATTAACTGGAATAATAATGTTTGCTCTTGTTTGTTCAACTTGTTCTTGTGAATACCATATCATCATTTTTGGCTTAAATAATGGTCTTCGTTGGTGTCCTCGTCATCATTTTCATCGTGTTCATCTTCATTAACATGGAAAGTCTTGTTGCCATATTAGAATATGTTTGTTTGTTTCTGGTAACGCAGCTCTTTAAGTTTACAATTGTACAGATGAAGATCAAAGGATGACATTGAAAATTAATGGATTATTGAAGCCTAAACAACAAGAAGTCCTCTCAAGCCTAGGACAGCCAAGGAAGGAAATAATATTTTTTCTTACTCCTTCATTTACTGTTAATATTGTATCTGTAACAGTTTTTATTGTGAAGGCATTTGTGTTATGATAGCAAAATAGAGATGCATGTTGCCCAAGAAATGCATTATCAAAATGGCCTCTTTACCCAGCAAAGCAATACTGGACTTTATTGTTTGGTAATATTTCCTTTAGTTTGCTTAATATGCAGAAGCTAAGAAGCTATAAAGATAATGATATCATCAGTAGTAAAAACAACAACAACTGAGCAGCATTGAACAGTATCAATGTTGGCAAATATGAATGAATAACCATGTTTAATCACCGAACCAATCTAAATCTACAATTGTTGTCAAAAATAATGTTTGGCTTCCAAAGTGAAACATGCTAAGTTTGGTCTTCACAATGATTATGAATGATTTGCTTTCCATTTTGATGGGTCATTATTATTACTTGTATTATATTTATAATTCATCTCTATTCTATCATTTGATTGATGAGTTTAACCATTCTCAATGTTAATATCATTCAAATTAAACAAAAACTTGATTCATTGATATTAATGAGATGGAGACAGATATATTAACTAGGATGGACTTGATTTGCATCCATTCTTTAAAAAAAACGTTTCTTTTTGTCACTAATATCTAATGTATAAAAACATTCATTTTTTCATTATTTCTAGATTTTCCATCGTCATGACCATTATAGATTCTGTGGATACAATGCTCAGTGATAAGTTTAATACCTTGGACAACCTTGGGAACACCCAAAAGGATTGAATTTGTGAACAGTCTTTTGCCTGGAAACATCACTAATGGACATAAATTGGGCTTATGTACAAGAAAAGGTTAAATGATGACGATAATGATAATAATGGTTAAAAATGATTAATGGCAATCCAATGAGGACTTTTGTTTTTATATCTTGAACAGTTTCAAAGAGCTTTCAACTTCACCCTTGTGAACCTGAATTGGCAAAAGTAACTATTGTTTTCATCAAGAAACTTACTCAGAAGAGATAAACATTTTGCTTGGAATATTTTTACTGCCTTTTCTCAGCTAGCTATTATTGTTTGAATTATTTTCAGTCATTGAACTGAACTAAGATGGGTAATATAACAATGAAAGTAAATAATTTAACTGGATGGGAATGTTTCATTTAAATGGATGAAAAATTTTAAAAGCAAAATGTTGACATCTAATACATTCAGTAATTTCACCATGTTTATGGATGCATTAATGTCTCTCATGAGTTATTGAGGCATCCAAAAAAAGGGAAACAAAAAAATGAATGAACTGCTTCAACCATGTGAACAATGTTCATTCATTAATTGATTGTTTCGTTGTTGAATTCACACTTTAAGTTAACAATTAGTCTTGAACCAAAAAACTGTCCATTGACATTACCATTCCATTAACAAACCAGAGATGGGTTTGGTTAATAGCAGTCTAACAGCCATAAATCACCAGTTATTTAAAAAGCGATTATTATTGATAAATATTAAGTCTGGATTGGTGTTTTCATTAATAATGATTAGTTTAGCCATCATCTAATCCTAGGAGTTAAACCACAAAGCTGGTCCAGTCTGACAACAAGGATTGGAAGCAGACGATCACTGGTTTAGTTAATTATTATTTATCATGTTTATTATTTTCATAGACTTGATAGTATATTTATTATTTATATTTTATTTAGTATTGATTGTTTTCAGCATAATGTTATGATGGATGAGTGCTGAAAATGTAATCAATGTCATTTGTTTAATATTAAACATGAAATATTATCAACTTGACTTTTGTTAAAACAAGTAATCAATTGAATTATGAGTTCATTGATGTTTGAGTTCACGTTTAAGCCTAATTTAGCATCAATTTAACCATAAATTAATTCTGATTGAATTGCTTGCCATAAAACAAACCAATTTGAGTTACAATTTAACATTTTATTGGTTGATGTCATCTATTTTCTTGTCTAACTTCAATTACAACTATGAATCTAATTGTTTCAGCTGGATTGTATTTGTGAAAATCAATAATTTTTAACATTGAACTAGAAAATTAAAGTCCGGTACAATTGAATTATTGAATTTATAGACAATTTAAGATTTATTGCGATCTAAAACAAGAGCAATTAACGAAAAGTAAAAACAATTAACAGTTGGAATATTTTTCAAAATACAAAATAAGAGACTTTAATAAGTCTGTATCAAATGATTATTATTGATCAGTAACATTGGATTGCAAAATTATCCCAATCAAGCTGCCAATCTAATGACACAATCTTGTTTAAAAGTGAAATTCACAAACCATTTGTTTCTCGTCAACAGGGAAAAACCTACAGATTCATTTGAATGATAAATCTGGTCAACTATCCTGGTAATTACATTGGCCGATTCACCAATTTCATGCATAAATATTTGGATCCTTTAAATATCTCAACCTGTGACTATCAACAATGTCCTTAACATTTGAGGCCTGGTTAAATCGTGATATATCTTTTCCGATTACCAAATTTGACCAAATGAGCAAAACCAGTCCAACCAAGCAGAGCAACGCCAAAGACGTCAGTGCGATTAATGAACCAAGTGATATCAATGATTCGTCTAAAACTGGCAATTTCAAGGGGAAATCGTCTAAATGCAATAAACGGTTCAATTTGTTGAAGCATTTACTTAAAATCAAAAATCATCCATTGACTCGCTTAAACGTAATTGCTTGCATCCTATCGGCAGTTGGTCTGATTTGGCAGATATTTCAAGTTTCAACTGTTTACTTTAGCTATCAAACGCGAGTTGACATTATCATATCTACACCTCAAGCCTTGGTTATTCCTGGATTCACCGTTTGTCTCGATATTGTACCCAATTGGACAATTATTAAACAATATGTTCCCAATATTGAACCTTCAAGCCCAATTTTAACCTCCACATTAACCAATCTTCCCATTAATGTACTTGCCTCAATGGCAACAGTCAATGTTTCCTTAAGTTGCCGAACCTCAGTCCCACCAAACCTATCACCGCATGTAAGTGATCTTTGTGAATCCTTTTCGGAGCCCAAATGGACAGTTCACTCTTCGGCTCGCTATGATTTGGTTAAAAAGTGTGTCACCTATTTTTACAATGCAGACCCCAGCCATTCTATTCGTATGCTTGACTTTGACGCTCGTGATTTTTTTACCCTTCGTGTTTACTCGGAAGGCAATCATTCGGTTACAGTGTTTGTTCACAATCCCAGAGAGATTCTTCCCTTCGAAGAATCTGATAGTTTCCCATTTTTCACTAAACAAGCAGCCAGACTGGTTGTGACTACATCCAAGGTGATCACTTCACTCTTGCCCGCTCCATATCGAACCAATTGTGTCTCTTATAATGAAACTGAATATGGCCGTACAGGATGCATCTACTCGTGTCGATTGAAAGAAGCTCAACGTAATTGTCCCCGTTGGCCTTACAATGTACCAGCTCCAACTAATACAACGGTTCCATTTAGGATTAGAGGACGTGACTGTGCTGGACCCTTGCGTTACACATGTTCAGATAGATCCGTTTGTCCAAACCAATGTAACAATGTTTGGTACTCTACATCATTAACCTATTTGCGTGATAAAAAAGATCCAAACGATTACATTACCAGATTCTCTGTTCGTCGGCCTTTGGGTATTGAATTTGAATACATGTATGGACCCAGATTGGATGCGATTGAGTTTTTATGTTATGTGGCCAGTGCATTGAGTATGTGGATGGGCATCTCGGTGTTTGACTTGACTCTATTGACAATTACTTGGACTAAAAAACGAGTTCCTGCAAAAACCCGAAAAATTGAGGGAGTTGTTGTTCTGGGAAGCTGAATACTCCAATCTTGAAAGCTAAAAGCAAAATATCACTTATTCAATCTGTAATCATGTACACTAGAAGCTCGTTAATGTTCCTAAAGATATTCCTAAGATACAAATTTTATAATGATTGTCAGAATCTATAAATACAAAGTCTTGACGTAAAACTATTAATAAACATGAACAGATTTACTGATAAATCAAAATAATGTTGATATGAATTCTTAATAGAAACCCAATTTCAACAACAAATTTCCTAAAAGCTAATAAATTTGCTAAAATTATTCAAGATGATTCCTTCATCTAACCATAGAGAATAAGCGAAACATGAAATAGCTGAAACATTTTAAGGTGAAATTATTCGTAGCATAATTCATCGAAATTTGAAATAAATATTAAGATTTTTGTAACTCCAAGTATAGCAAATTGCATGTAGAAGTGCAATTGAATTGCTTGTACTTTACAAAGTAAGACAACAAATAAAAGTGTACTTATAGCAGCTAAAAACATGATATAATAATATTCAGAGAAATGGTTTACAGTAAATTCAATTTTGAACATTTTATTATAAAGCTTTTCAGATTTGTTATAATGGAAGCTTGAAATATTTAAATCAATTGTCAACAGTAAATATGTAAAATTGTCAGCCATTTAACATGTCACACAGTTTATAATGATTTACTATTAACTGATAGATTTATAACAGTTTGAAAAAGATGTAAATTAATATACAATTTAATAAAATTGATGAAAATGGATTGAATTCAGTGTTAAGATTTAATGTTAAGAGTCACTGTAGATGCGCTTTGCTGACTGGTCTTGTATTCATATTTAAAAGTAGATTGGTGGACATGTAATTTAATAAAAAAAATTTGCTTCGGGTCAATTGATTGATAGTGAAATTTGATTTACAGTTGATCATGAATAAAAGGTGAGAACACTTTGCTGTGATCCTCTAATCAATAAAAATGGTGGTAAATTAGCAGTAAGTGTTTCCATCCAAGCCATGAATAATGAAGCTGAACATGATCCTTTCCTGGGAATGGGAATTGTCCTGTCAATGATGTAAAGAGAGGATAATTAGAATATAAAAATTGGTTAATCAAAAAGGTAATCAACTCACATAACAATTAGACTTGATTTGGATGAATGTTTCTCAATCAATTCTCTAATTCTTATCTGACGATATGATTTATTTTTCTGTGACTCCCACTCGGAGTCAGTGATGAATAACGATGAGTTTGATGTTGTTGGTGAAGGTGAAGATGGCAGGTCTGGACTAGACGGTGGTGAAGAGGAAGAGGTGGGTGTTGGGTTTGATGTAGTTGACTCGTGATAGTTGGTTTGACCAGTTTCTGAGGGAATATCTCGCACTCTCCAGTTTTCAATCAACTTCTTGAATTTCATCTTGTTCTCCTTCTTTGGAGGCTTTGAAACATCAGAGATGACAATGACATCTGAATAGTCAATCCTGAATTTGTTTAAAAGGGAAGCCATGTTACGCTGGTCATCATTCAAGTCACCACTTTTATCAGCCAAGGCAAACACTCGTAAACGACAATTAGACCTGTGATTGTGTCATAAATTTATTAGACAATAAAAGTAAATTCAATTTCAATCTTTACCATTGTTTCCTCGAAGTTAAAATGTACGGAATCAGCATGGTCAATCCACCATCATCGTAAAGCCACCAAACATCGATTGTTGATTTCACTGGTTTGCTCCTGAATAAATCAATATTTTTGATGACTTCTTCTGGAATTATATTATTTTGTTCAACTTGGTTTTGAACTCCAATCGAGTTAATCACAATGGTTGGAGGTGCTCTTGGAGGTGAATCTTGAAGTAAATTAAACAAGAAATCAAATTGAAAAAGGAACACCATTTAACGAGTAAATCCAAAGTAAATTTACCTGAAGGAGAATAAGAATCTCCATTAACTAGTTTATTCCATTTTTTAGTCACACAGGTAAAATTGAAGGATTTATTGGTGAATGCGTTTGATTGCTTTTCATCTAGAATCTCAAGAACTTTTGATAGACGACCGAAACGGGAACAATCAAATCCCTTTTCAACACGTAATATGCAAACGGCAAGATGCTTATCCAAGGTTTGACTGTAAATGTAAAGTAAAAATTAATATTGATTTGAATTGGTTTCAAAGCATAACTCACTGGATAACACTGAAGTAGTCATGAAGAGATCCAATATCACAGCTTTGCCAATCACTTTTGTAGCCCATGAAAACGATGTTTGGCCTTAGCTTTCCGATTCCAGTTGCCTTGTTGAAAAATATACACAAACAGTTATTTAAATGGTCAATGTATTTTTAGGAATAACATTTACTTTAGTTATTTGATATTTTACCAGTCAAATTGTCAAAGTTTGAGTATTATTCTGATTGTCAGTTTGTCAATAATCTTGATCGTAAACATGTCAATCGGATGAATGTTTTAATTTACATTGTAAAACGAACCATTTCATTCAGTTTTTTTATCAATTGACTTCAATAGATTTGATGAAATATTCAATAAATACATGTAAATATGATTTTCAATAAGATTGAATGCTGCATGTTCACATGTCAATAACTGACTGAATCAATCAAATGTAAATGAGAAAAAAATGAACTAATCTGACCTTTTTGCATTTCACTTTTTGTGCTTTTCATATGTAAATGTAAAAATCAAGTAAACAAGTTGCCGAAAAAAAGCAACATTTATTTACCTGAATTAAGCTTTTAGCACCAGATTCAAACGGCTCTTCATCAATAACTACGTAAAAGGCTTTGATGCCTCGATTACGAAGCCAATCGTTGTTTCGTTTCATAAGCGATTCTCTTGCTTTGAAAGATAACTTTTCTGGAGTAATATTGCCACAAACCATCAATCCAACTCCCTGAGTTATTTGGGATGCAAAATCAACTAAAGCAGGTCGAGAGTAAGCATCGCCAGATAGAAGCAATATTTGAGGCCTGAAAGACAATCAACACAAGTTTTAAAAAATTGACGTTAATTATGCTATTAAGTAATTGTTAAAATATGTTTTCAAATGTGAGATTGAAATAGACTGACCTGTATGTTTTTGCGTGTTCAGGCATACAGTTCAATTTGTTGGCTGAACTTAAAGCTGATTTATAAATCTGAGCTCTGGTTGATGAACCCCAGTTGACGTCTGAAAAGGGAAGTGGAGTTAATAATGGCACTAAATAAGATAATTTTGGATGTTACCTGGTTTCCTTAGTAAAACCAACATATAGAGAACGAATTCAACGATAAATGTGATTAAAGCTGTTTGCCAATTCATTATGAACATGACAATTAAACAAACAATTGACCCAGTCAAACTAATCCACATATTGTAATATCTAAATGATGGACGGAATCCCAAGGTTTTTGAAAATGATGCATGAAAACAGGAGAAGTTGATCAAACAGTAAGCAGCGAGGAAAAAGTTTGATATGATTGGTGCTATCACATTAAGATCGGCAATTAGGCAGCAAGCTAAGGCAATGCTGAATCCAAGAAGGTAACCTCGATGTGGTTGGTTATTCACTCCTGAACCTTTGGCGAAAAACTTTAGATATGGAAATATTTCATCTTGACAAAGAGCTTGGAATACTTTAGGAGCTGAAACGAGACTGCCAAGAGCCGATGACAGAGCGGCAGCAAAAATACCACAGTAAATGATTGGACCATAAAGGGAAACGATCTGCATCAAATTGTAATTGAAATACATTCCTTGCTTTTGACCATCAATCAATAAACTGGTTCCATTGACTCCAATCACTTCCCTAACTGTGGTAGCACCAAAAATGAAAACAAACAACAAGTAAACCAAAGTGGTCATCAAAATAGCAGATAATGTGCCAAGAGGTATTGCCCGTTGAGGATCCTGAAATTAAATGCAAATAAACAAAATAATTGCTGTTACAAACAATTTATATTGTTATCATAAGTCTAATGAATATCAACGGATTTTTTACCTTAAGATCACCAGAAATGTTTGCTCCAGCAAGGAATCCAGTGGCTGCCGGAAAATAAACTGAAAATACTGAGAAAAATGTTTCACCATTCTGAAAGCGAGGGCCAAAATTATCTGCAAAATTTGCTCCTGCAATTTGAATAATAACATTGATAATAAAGTTTAATCAAATATAAATTTCCTTTGGACTGGGATTGATAAATGCTCAATAGATGGCAACAGCAGACATAAAATTTATCAAAACCAAATGTAATCTTTACTTTAATAAAGAGTTAATTTTGATGCAATTTAACGTGATTTAATTTTATTCATAGCATTTGAAAGTTGAATGAACAGAAATATCAATGAAAAATCATCAAAAATCACCATTAAATTGATTTACGGCGCAATAGTCCATTCATATTCAAACGCACAACTCAAATTGAGCTCAAACTCAATTGTCAATTGTTTTGATCTTTCAAAATTAACTTGAATTTAGTTTTTTCTGATAAATATTATTTTTATTATTATTATTGATTGAATCATTTCTTACCACTCCAACCAGTAAATCCTCTTTCACTTTGATAAACATTGGGTGCTTTTAATGAGCCAAAAATGAAATTAAGAATGGATATGAACAGAATACCAACTAAGCCAACTTGAACCTTTTCAGTAAATAAAATATTTGGTTACACATTTTATTGGTAAACATAATTGTTGTCTCTTACTTTCGATTCCCATTCTGTTCCAATAAAAATAACAATCATGAGTAAAAAGAGTGTTATACATCCAATGATTCTCATGTTATCCAGATCAGAGTTGGTTATTTGAGCGCTGTAAGCCTGTTTAATGTGAATCAAAGTTTACAATTTAACCATCAAGCTAATCGTGTTATCATAAGTGATGATGTTTACCTTAAGGATGCTGTTAACTGCCTCTGAAAAGCCAACTATATACATTGCAGCAGCCACAGCATTGGCAAGGGAAAAAATGACGCCAATTGAACCACCAAATTCAGGGCCAAGGCTTCGAGAAATCATGTAATAAGTACCACCACCTTTAACCTCACCATTAGTACAAATAGCAGACATGGATAGCGAGGTAACAGTGGAAACCAATGTGGATAACAAAATGATAACACAACCCAAACCTATTCCAGCATGAGCCACAACCTAAAAGTTACCCAAATATTAATTTCTCTACTTATTTATTTATTTTCTCAGACTCACCCAGCCCATCCTGAGGAATAACATGATTCCCCAAATCCCAGATAAACATCGTACCTAATTAATGAAGACACATTCATCATCATTTCCTCAGTACTCAAGATTGCACCAAACCTGGTGAACCAGATACTTACCAAGACTCCTGTGATCCAACCCAATTTGATGCTGCTTTGTTGCTGTCTTTCATGGGAAAGGTTTTTCTTAAGAAATGAAAGTATTCAAAGTGTTAGATGAATGAAAATGTGTCAACTTTTGTAATTTAATGCAAAATATCTGATGCTTTGAAGCCATAGTAAGGCAATGGCGTCAGTATTTATGTTTGAAATATTTTCAACTGGAAATAATTTTTGATAACTTGGGCAACGATTGCCAACAATAATTTTGAGTGTGCAACCGAACTTTATTTTTAATATGTTTTACTTCATTTTTCTTGCAGTTTCATGTCATCGGTTGATAATGGATTAATGATTGAAGTGCATGAATTGACTTGGTTGAGAGAGGAAAGGAATTTAAATTTAGCTGATCAAACAAATTCTGTTGAACGATTAATTCAACAGTTGACAAAAGTTGACAGGTTTAAAATGAAAAAATGCTGTAAATGGGAAAAGATGAGTTTAATGACAGCAAAAATCAAACAAGCAAACTCAACAAACCTGACAATATCAACAATTATTACGAAAGGTTACATTGTTCATCAGACCATCAATAAATTTACATTTATAAATAGTCATGGTCACCGAAATTCATTTTCTGGTGATTACAAGAGGATGATGATGATCTCAACAAAATAGCGACAACAAGAGAGATTGAAAATGTCCTTCAACATATTCATTAACCATAATCAACAAGAAAACTAAATTGACCACAAATCGCATTCGCTTAAAATATGAAGACCAATCTCAATGATTGACAAGGCTGAGACTGAACTTTTTCATCTCATCAAATGCAACACTCGACATCAATTGGCCATTACTGCAGAAGCATATCGATCAATACATTAACTAAACAGTTTGATAAATATTTGGCTCGAAAGTAAATTGTTAAAGCAAAGTACTAACTATGAGACGAAATTGTCACTGGCCTTGTCAACAAGTCCTACATGCTACTCATTTTATTCATTTTATGGTGAAAATGATACACAATCAATGAGAAATTTAATTAGTTTAAACAGTTGGGAATGTTTGAACAGATTTACAAATTTTCCTAGCCTTGAGGCCTTAAAATTACTCTCTTCTTACCATTAGTTGACATTTTGCAAGCCTATTGTCACTGTGCTCTTAAATTGTCACCATCAATCAAACAATTAGCCAAGGTTGTTGTTGTCAAAGTTAATTTTAAAAGTGTTTAACATCTAATTGTTATGTAAAGCATTATTCAGCCAGCAAAATCACTTCGCGAAATGTGTTGGTCAGTTTATTAGCAATGTATGGATATGAATAATGAATAATGGTTTCACAGCAATTGTAACCATAAACCATTAATTTTTCCCTTCAAATCATTAAATTCATCATCGATTCGCTTTATACTGTACTTAGGATTTACTCGAAGACTTTAATTTTCGATATAAAACCGGTAAACCCAAAGCGCAATTCAACCTTGTTTCTTATGCTAATAGTAATCAACCTTAAACTGTTCCTAATATTCCAGTTATGTTAAGAAACTATCAAATGAGGTTGTAAAAAGACAAAAACAACACAATTGTAACATTTATGCACAAATTGAACAAATACTGCAAGAAAAATGGGCAGAAATGGGTAAAAATCAATTTCTTTCAATTCATGATTCTGTTATCTTGTTAGGACATAAAACCTGAGTCCATTTGTGCAATCTAAAAGTTTCTCTGATCGCCCGTTTTCGAGAAAATCGAGTTCAAAGTTGAAACTTCGATCGCCTTTTGTACATTAACGAAAGCAGATTTTTTCATGAAACTCATTTTCCACATGTAGTTTTTGATGGGTAACAACAAAATGAACTTATTTTGGGAAATAAAAGTTTCTAATCTCTGTAAAACAGATAAGTTCGATAATTAGTTAAACTGGCCGCATTTTGTGATCGATATAGTTAGAGATCTGAAACTTATTATTACTGCACAAAATTTGTTTCTTCATATCATGGTTTGAATACTTTTTTCAAAATATCGACCATTCTTCCAATTTTTCCCAATGGCCTCAGAAGTTTGAACCTCAATATTTCGAGAATGGCATCACTTACTATCATCATTTTTTGACCAAACATTAGGTTTAATTATGGAATATAGTATAATGTTATTAAATATCAAAGAAATAGAAGCTAATTCATTTAAAAATGAACATTCATCTAACACTTAAACAGTAACCATTTACCTTTGTTAATCTGGTATAAAATCTGGTAACCTAAATAATACATCGTTATAACTTTTTTCGTAGTTTCCTGAATTATTTAAAATTCGATTCTATCATGGCCCATAATTAAACCTATTGCTTGGTCAAAGAATGATGACTGTAGGTGATATCGATCTCGATATATTGAGGTTCAAAGTTTTAAGTCCAATGGGCAAAATCGAGAGAACCGTTGCGAATTTGAATAAAGTATTCAATTCATGATATGTGGAAACAAATTTTAGAGTCCAACAACAAGTTTCAGATCTCTAACTATATCGATCACAAAATGCGGCCAGTTTAACTGATAATCGAACTTATCTGTTTCACAGAAAACAGAAAATTTTATTTCTCAAAATAAATAAGTTTTGTGGTTACCCATCAAAAATTACATAAGGGAAACGAGTTTCATGAAAAAATCTGCTTTCGTTAATGTACAAAAGGCGATCGAAGTTTCAACTTTGAACTCGATTTTCTCGAAAACGGACGATCAGAGAAACTTTTAGATTGCACAAATGGGCTCAGGTTTTATGTCCTAACAAGATAACAGAGTCATAAATTGAGAGAAATTGATTTTTACCCATTTCTGCCCATTTTTCTTCCAGTTTTTGTTCAATTTGTCTCAATTTGTGCATAAATGTGTGAATTGTGTTGTTTGTGTCTTTTTAGTATTGTTACTGAATGATAAACAAGCAGAAAATGAAAAATCTAATGACTTTTCTTTGCATTTCAACTTACCATCGCTTCAGATCCATTTGGTTCACCTTCTTCACAACCATGAAGTTGATCAAGAGTAGGTCGACTTATGTGTCCATGAACCGAAGCCATATTTCGATAATGGTCAACCCGAGGTAATGCTTCTCTTGTATGATGTGTTGGTACATTTTTGGTATCACAACTTGAATTGTCCAAAGAGGTTCTTTTACTTAAAGTTGATCGAAGATAATACAAATCATTTACATTGTCATAATGACCAGACTCATCATTGTCACCATCACCTGAATCACCATTAGAGTTGCGTTTAAAATCGCCATTATCCATCACCTTAGCCACTTGAAATCGTGAATTGTTTTCATTGCTTTTCACTTTAAGATCAGTTGAACTGTCGACACAAACAGAAGTTAAATCTCGTAGCTAACCAAAATGATAGACTTACCATGTATTTAAATGTTTATTTGAATTGATTTGTAGCTTGCTGTTGTCCATTGAACCAGAAACCAGAAAACACTTTACCGTTCAACTCTAATTGTAAATCAAAAGGAGTCAAGTTACTCGTTCACAGTTACACTGACAAACTGAGTTGGAAAATAATTTGACGCAAAAGTAAAGCAAATTAAACTTGTCAATCATTAAACCTTTTTTAAAACAATTATTGAAGTGACAAAGTTAAAAATGTATATAAAATCATCATTTCAACATGAACTGAAACTGTATATTGAAGCAAAAATAAAGTTAGATCCACAAGCCAAGGTAAACTGTAAGCTCTTTGGATACACTTGAAAGGTGTGCACAATAGTAGCTGATCATAATTATGATCATTATTAAACACCGTAATGATATTTTAATGATTATCATTGAATAGACGTTAGCTTGTGTCAGCTAATTGTTAAAAGTTTGGTTTGTTAGCTTTTAATAAGACTCTGGTAAAGCCTTGATATGTCTATGTAAGTATTTTTGTTATAATTGCAGTTTTAATTGTTGACTTTGGTTACATTAAAAGGATCAAAATTGTTAACAATGTTAACTTGCTAATTATAATGAAAACCATCCAAGTTAAATTGATTCAATCAATGATATTGTAACGACAGTTACATAAAATGAAATGGAAACATTGTAAAGCAATTGTCACTCTTTGCAATTGGGTTTACAATTTAGGTTTATTTGTTTTTCTGGTTTTCGGGTTTCCATATATTGGTTTCTTGAAGCAATTTAAGGCATTTTGTTTAGCTTTTTTTGTTGCTTTAATTGTGCTAAAAATGATTTTAGGTTTTACATTGGGTTTTATAATCATTTTGGGTTAACTTATTCACAAGGCTTTTTCATTGAGCTTCACTGGTTTCAATATATTAAATTGGTTACATTTAAAGTAGATAAATAAGAAAATTTGGAGAAAATTTAATTTTATTAAAGTTAATAACATTCAATGATTGTTTTGATGGCAATTGATGATCTGTTTATGATTTCGATGTTGATCAACCTAAAAGTTGTCTAATGTGTCACACGATTTGGATAACAATTTAGATCCTTTCCAGACTCGGTTAAACACTTTGGAGGACAATTTACGTCCAATGTTGTTGAATAGATCATTGGTACTGCCAGTGATTAATGATCGAAGTGAGCGACTCGAGTCAAAAAGCGTATATTCAGTAACTGAGTTGAGCCAAACCTTTTTGGACAATTGTTTAAATAAAATGTCTGTATTGTAATCGAGAATGGCCGATATTTCCATGTATTTAACGTCGAATCGAGCGGCTAGTTTACGGGCTTCTTCAGAGGTTACTTCACGAGATCGTTCCAGGTCAATTTTATTGGCCACCAACAAGATAACCGGTAAATGGCGGTGAACATTGAGTTTGGTTAAAACCAAAAGTTGAGCTGCATTTTCAAAGCTTTTACGTTCAATTGTTGAAAAAACCACAACCAGAGCGTCTCTTTTATGAACCTTTAATGATTTGAGAAACAAGAATCAGTTAATCATGAAGAATCTTAAATTTATTCATAAACCATCAATCAAATTAACCATTGTAAATTGATTTCCTTGTGAGGTTCGCATCTTTTATTAACATGAAACCTTTTATTAATGAAATTTTCTGGTAACAAGTAAACAAAATGCTAATAAATTCAGACTGAATCACCGTTTGAATTACAATTGAGAATCTTTTCTCTTCTCAATCGATGTCTTGATCATTGTAAAACTAATAAGAAACAATTCAATTGAAACTGTAAATGGAGGAAATTGAATGATAATAAAAATAAACTCTGTTTTTATACAATAAATAAATACTCATTCATGTTATACAATATATTGAAGCAATGAGAGACAAAATTATAATACGAATTAGCTTTGTTATGGAAATGGTAAATTTGGGTTTCGAGTTATTCAGTTACCAGAAAAACCAGAAACATTATCATATGAAAGCTGCAACATCTAGTGATTATGATTGGATATTAACTATGAATTGGGTGAAATGAAGCCAAAAAATTGAGTAATTATCAATGAAAGTGATGAATTGAACAGAAGCTGATGAAAATGCGTCTCAATTAACTTTAATGGTTAAAGCAAAGCACTTATAAACTTGATTTATGGTTTAAATTTTATATTTTATTCATTTTAATGTTATCGGGTAAATCTGGTTAACCAAGATGACAAGCTGATGATTAACTTTTGATGTTTTCATTTCACATTTTTCTTGTTACATGAGATTATTGAGTTATTGATCAAGTTTCTAGTTGATCAAATTGACAATCAAATATTTAGCCATCAGATTTGCTTTTGGCATAAAATTTTTGCGCCTCGAACAGATTGATTGTTCAAGTGTAGAGAGACTATAATTCAATAAATACATTACAATTGACTAAATTAACTTGCGTCAGTTGATAACTAAATCAATGAAACCAAATTTGCGGTAAATTAAAACTAATTGTGAAGCTCTTGTCATCAATAAAACCATTTCTTTTAGTTTACTGTTTTAATATCAATGCAAACGTTTCTGGGATTGAAACTAATAACGAAATGACTTATTTCAATATGAATTGTTATGTTATTTTTCATCAATTTTTTTCAGCAATTTAACCATTTTTATGAGCAATTCTGATATATTAATTGAACAATAATTCTGGATGAATCTTTCATTAATAAGCCATCAATTTTGACTGTCAATTTTGAGACAGTTTTGTTTTTCAATACGCATTAATGAAAGATCAACATCTTATTATGATTTACCAGTTTAACCAGATTAAACATCAACTGACAGAGATTCAATCAATCAAAAATAAATTGAATTCCCTGAAGATAATTGAGATAAATAAATATCATAATTTGATCAATGGTTATAATAAGTATAATGGCCATTTGTAAATAATCATTCATCAAGCCTTTTCATTAATATAACTTTGGGTCAACAAGACCTACAGACAGATACAAAAAGGTTGATGAAGACAGTAAACATTTTGATTGGTATAACTATTTATTTATGATAATTTTAATTGTATTTTCATCCCTTCCAACGTCAAAGTTGATTCCCTTCTTAGCACTGGTTAGTGTTTCATTGAAAAGAAACCCAAATAAATGATTAATTGTAATGTTACCTGTTATGAAATATTACAGCCAATAGTTTCATTTAAGATGCTAAATAACAATAGCTATTATTAATAACATTATTAATGTTAACACCTGAAAAATCCCTTCATTTTTGTCACTTTTTATCAAAATATTAGATTAACTTTAAGCCTTTTTATTATTCATTTTGTTTTTTCAATTGAAACATTTTCACAACACTTCATCATTCATGAGATTTAAATATATTAAACATGTAATCATGAAAAGGTAAATCAGATTAAATAAGCTTAAGGAACTAAATCCAACAGCACTCAAACTCAACTAATCTGATTAGTATTTTGTAAAAATGTATCAATAATTATTTACATTAATGATTAGCACAATTTAAACAGTTGCTCGAGCAAATCAACAATTACAAAAGACTATAATCGTGAAAAATCAACATCAATGCTGCTATTAAGGAATTGAAAATAACAATTTAAGAAGTGAATTTAATCTTAAATTGAAGTGATTTGAAAAATACTAATAGCTGTTATCAGGAAATCAATTTATAACTCGCTTTTTCAAGTTACAAGAGTTTTAAGGATGTGATTCAACGTTAAATAAATAATAACTTGGAGTTTGACTGGGAGTTCACTTGGACTTGGAGTTGAAGTTGACTATAACCTGCAGGTCAAGGATGTTGGTCAATCTAAATACTTTATTTGATTTTAAGGATAACAATTTAATCTTGACAGTTTAAAGGAACAACAAAAGTTGATCTCAAAGTGACTATCAAATAACATGACTTTGAATAGCATGTTAAGATGCTAATTGTTATATAATTGTGTACTTCGATGATGAACATTTTTAATTGATATTAGAGTTTTTTTTCGTCAACATTTATCTCAAAAATACAAGTTGATTCAAGTTGAATAATGAATGACTTTTTTTGCCTTTTTTTGTATTGTTTGCCTAATTAACGGAATAATCAATCGTTATTCGAGGCTCGTTTAAAGTGTTCATTATCTTCTTTGATTAGTTTGATTGTTTAATGAAGCAAATGAGTAAAGGTTTTGAATAAAATTGATTGGCATTAGAGTGTAAACTTCAACTCTAATTAACTGGTTCATTGATACTTTGGTTCAATTTGTTATCACAGTTCAACTGTTTTCAAGTAAACATGAAGAGACTGAGCATTTTCAATGTGAGCTTTTTTTTCATAACATGAAACAAAAATATTGATCAATGCAATCAATAATGTTCAACATTTACTAATGTTTACTAATGTTAACTCAAGGTGAATTTAAATTGTCAACAATTAACAATCGGTCATTTATTTCATTCCAATTTGTTTACAGTAAAAGCAATTCAAACTTGGAGTTGTTTCTTCAATTACATTTTCACGTAATCTTGACCAGATTCAATGATTGAAGTGACAAATTGAATCAATTGAAAGATGATTAAAACACACTTGGACAGACGTTAACCTTTCAGGTTGCAGGTTTCATCTTTCAGGTGCATAACCATTGAAGTATCGATTGAAAATGTAGAGTTTCCATTGAGATTTGAATGGACAGCTTAACTAATTAATATCAACCATTTACTTGGAGTAAACTGGATTCATTTGACAGGAAAATATCGTAAAATTAAGCATCGCCTAAGGAGCTGTTCAATGATAAGCATCTCATGAAAAGGTAATAAATGTACATTTTTAGGAAACTCTTTGCATAAACATTTCAAGCATTTCATCTGCATTAATGTTTTAAGTCTACAAGATTTGGAATAACATTTTCGTATATTTGTCAACTTCGATTATTGACATTTTCAGATTACTCGACATTCGAGTTTCATGTTATTCAATAAAATAATGAGTTGAACTGACTAAAGTATCTTGAAATAAGTTGAAAGTGTTGACCTTAAATTGAATTTTACTTTTTAGGTTTTTTGGGTTTTCTGGTTTTGCTGTTTACTGATAAGTATAAGATGAAATTATCTGGCAAATGTGTGTTCAGTTGAACATTGAGTTGGCCAAGGAAAACACCTTTGATTGTTTCACCATATTTTCATGGAAAAAACTCATCATTTTCATCAACTTAATTATGATTATTGTTTTTCTTCATCACCAATTGACCTTGTTTCAGCTGTGATATGAATCGATGGAAAGGCAGTTTAATGGGAAAACTAATAATAATCGTAATAAAAGTTCTGTTTACATGAACATAATTAGTTTTCTTGATTATCCAAACAACACACATTTGTAATCAGTTTGGTGTAAAATTTGAATCTATTCATTTACATGAACCAATAATGATTGCCTTTCAAGGAAGCATCAAAATTGAAGAAGCATTCAATATTATTGAATCAATATGAGTTGTGTGTTCAAAAGTCAACTTGAAAGGAAACTTGAGATACGAAATTAAATTAAATTGGTTTAACAATTGAATCAATCAATAGTCGATTGAAACAAAAAGCCAAAGATGAAGCCAAATGTTTCAATTCAATTTAAACATTTGATCTGAAGTTGCATTTTACAGCAAAATATAATTATCAAAAATGATTTCAATTTTCAATGAAAATAATGAAATTGAAAGGTTGAAATTTTCATAAATTGTTATTTAATTGAGTTGGTCTAAAAATAATCAATAAATTTCATATCAAATTAATTCATCAATTAGGGCCTAAGTGGGAGTTTTAGTCTAAGGAAATTGTGTTATTAAATCATGATTACACTGAAAACACATTTAGTAGGATGTTCAAGGAAATATGATAAATATGTTAAGGTAAATATATATTTATATTGATATCAAGGTGATGCTGGGAAGGATAAAAAGGGTTGCCAAGGTTGGAGGAAATATTTTTGTTATTCTTGTTATTCTGTCCTTTATCACTTTCAATCATGATAAGTATTCAGTTGCTCAAAATGTTGCTTCACTTGAATAGGCGTAATGCTGTTTTGATAATGGTTATAATTTGAAAAGAAATTATTCGCTCAATTCATGATTTCCATGTAATCCTTGATTTTGGAATATTTTTTTCTTCCCTTTTCTTGTCATTTTACTGTTGCTAATATTTCCACTTAAAAGCTTTACATGAATATTGTGCGAAAGGATTTTTGAAATTTAATTCAATTTTCTGCTTTACTTCATCATTATCTGAATGAATTTTACAAGAGTAAACAATTCAACTTGTTAATCTGATTGTTAACTTGTAAAATGTTACAAGTTTGGGTTCAGGTTGCCGGAAAATTGGGTTTAACTTGACAGGTAAAAATTTGTAGCTTTCAACTCTAGTAATGAAAATAATGGTGAAGATCAACCAGATTATTGAAGTTGATTGATGTACATTGGTGGCTATTTTTTAGGTTTTTTGGGTTCTTTTTCTTGGACTTATTTCTCTCACCTGTTTCTCGATGAAATGAAAGTCTTTGGATGAGTTGAGAGTTTCAAAGAAAAATTCATAATATTCTGTTCCAAGTTTAATCCTGATTGTATCGGGAGATGAACAGTTGTCATCTTGGATTGATGGGGAATGGTTGGTCAATAAGGAGGAGATAATAGTCTTTTTACCGACATTATCATAACCAGTGACCAGAATGCGGCAAGGTTTAAAGATTCGAGGTGAGGATTCACCAGACGATCTGTTTGAGAAGAGGTCACTTGAACCTGGTGAGATTGAGAGGGATTCACCGGTAGTGTGGCGACGATGGTGAAGATTGTGAAGTGTTGTTGTCGGTGTTGAGTAACCTGGGTTTGAGTCAATGTTCAATAGGGAAGCACGTTTGGAACAGGCACTCATTGATCGCTGTCTTAATGTTAAATCTTTAGTCACTGGCCGTGGGCCAATGTAGGACGGCATGGTGTATCCACGAGGTCGAAACGATGTATCTGGATAGTGTGGATGATAGTAAGGGTCAGATGGCTGTTGATTGTTTACACTGGTTAAGGGTGCACCAGTGACTCCTGTTGCACCAGATATGGAGGATGAGGATGAAGAGGCAGTGGTTGGTTGATATGTTGATGACGACTGATTGGTTTCATTTGATGAATCAACAATTAACCCAACTTCACTTGGATAACTTAAATTGCGAACAATATGAGTGTGATGTTGTTGAATTAAGGCTAAATCAATGGGAGTTGGAGGCAAGAAACGCTTCCTTCTGATGCTTTCCGTTAAACGGTAACCTAACCGTCCAGCAGTTTCCATGGGTTCACTTGTTAAATCAGGAGTTGAAGTCATACTTTTTTCATTAACCATTCAAAGATTCATCAATCAACCAATTAGTTAAACAAAATTAAGCGAAATGAATTAAATAAAAAAATTAATCAAATTGGTTGCCAAACATGGTTCAACTAGTTAACAGCAAGACTCGACTTTTGTGTTTTGCTTTTTCTCCCTGTTGCTTGATGCACTTTTTTCAAAATGGGTAAAGACTCGAAATGAACAAACATGAAAATATTTCATGAGGATAAACAGAAACTGCGCACTTATCATTATCTTCATCCTGATCATCATCATTATTTACCTTCAACTGTAATAATCTTCTCACATGTGAGTATTTCAATATTTACGTTCACCATACTGATATATGAACCTGTTTACATTGGGTCAGTTTGGATTGAAAATTTCATCTTATTAGGTTTTGTTTAACTTTTCAATTGGGATTTCAATCTTTTCCTAAAATCATTATTTACAGTTGATTTTACCTCTTGTCTTGTATTACACTTTACAGGTTAATTTCAGTTCCAATATTTTGTTCACTTGTTATGAAACACTGATCCAAGTGTTGTCAGGAAAAATTATTATCAGCATTGTTATTTTAATTTTATCAAATTTAGATGTTGCTGTTTCAATGATTTCAATGTAAGCCTCTGGTTAACATTGAAGTTCCCTATTGTTATATTGATAAAACGTTTGAATCCCTGTGGCGATGAAATTTTATTTGATATATTAATTTTATAGTGAAAATAAGATGAACTTTCCTTTTTTTTCTTCAATCTGATCAATCATTGAATAATCAAAGCTCTGAAATTGAGGATAAATTCACAGTTTACCGTTTGTTTTTAAATTAATTTGCTTTCATTTTTACCAATCTCAGGATTGGATTCACCTTTAAAAATCAAATTTTGAGTGAAATCGGATAATCTTACAATTTTCGCTCTTTTTTCTGATTCCATCTTAGGTTATCATCCATTGTTGGTCCATACCTTTCAGCCTTATTGCTATTTCATTATTTCATCTTTTCAAAATATCAAACTTATCAAAATATCAGCAAAACTCAATCTTTTTCAACCTTCTTTTCATCCTGTTTTCAATGTTTTTTTTCAATTGAAAGGACAAGTTGAAGATTGAAAGATTGAGAGTTTTGTTTTTGTTTTACAGAATCCATTTTAAATGTTGAAAATACTTCAACTATTATCAATGTGATTAATATCTTGCTATAATGATAAATTTAGATTTCAATAGTTATCCTTGAATATCCTTTTACTTTGCATGTAGAAAGATTGAACTCAAACTTAGGCCTTTAATGGTTTAGACTCTTGATGTATTGAAAATTTAAGTGCTCATCATAACCCTGTTGATTCAATTACCTCAATATTTAACTATCATTTGTATTCTTAACCAGTTTATACATTCTAAATATATTTAATTGTGCCTTGGTTAAATTGTAGTTGCTAAAATGTAATTTGAAATGTTAACAATTACTGTGATGTGAATACAAGTTGTACTTAAAGGATTTCCCCTCTTCTTTGTTTTTTCAATTTCTTTGTAACTGTTTTTTAGTAACGTCTTTTGAATAAATTAAACAACATAAATTATACTAATTATTATTACTGTGTTCACTCTGTCCAATCATCAGATGGATTATGTTTTGTTGATTACGAATTCTCATGTTAATTATTTATAAAGGATGATTCCTTGTGGAGGTAATTTGGTTAGTTAATTAACCTTACCCTATGTACTCTATCTTGTGCTTATGCGTTGCCCAATTAACCTCTTTCAACCTTTCTTTTTTTTCAGATTCCATCAGTTGTAAACAAGAAAAAAGGAGAAGCGGTGGAAAATAATCAACCAATCCGATTTGTTCTGTTGATCAGTTGGCTCCTGTGGGATTTCAGGGAAAAGGAATACATTTATTGAGATGACAGATTAAAAATTAATGTCCATACAATAACCTTGCCCGAATTGCATGGGTTTATAATGCTGCCAAGATTTTTTCCTGTTCATCTGTTCGCCTTTTGATTGGTATCCACCAGGTAGGATTATTTATATCATTTGATGATGCGGATGACCGTAGGTTGACCATGGTTGGCTTTTAAGGTGAAGGTTCTTTATGAAAAATTGTACAACCATTAACCTGATCTCAAAGGTGAACAAAAATAATAGTTGAAGAGAAAAGCTTTTATACTAATGGGGAATATCATTTTTCTTTCAGGTTCCTCTTCAATCAAAATCACCTTTTATCAAAATCGAATTTTTGTTTCCATTTAATGATTAAATGAAGATGATTATGATGACAATGATGGCTGGTTTCTTTTTTTTCGTGACACAAGATGGGATTGAATGTGATTTTTTGTGTGAATCAATATAAAATGAAAGCAGTTACGCCTTAATTCTTGTTTCTCTTGGTTTAAAAGTTGTTAATCTAATATTCATTTTCTTTGTTTCTATTACTAATACTTGCATCATGAAATTAATTTAGATAGACTAGACAAACCAATGAAACAACTTTTGCCTAAACACTTATGAACAAAATTGAAGCAAGTTATGTACGAGGTAAACAAATTGTCCCTAAGCAAGTTTTTGTCAGATAATTTATTCGGAAGATTTGTTGGTTCTTTTTTTAATCAACCCTCTTGATGTTGACAAAGCTGAAGATACAATCTGGAATCATATTGATCATCACTGATTTCGTTAAGCAATTTTCATTTAATGATTTATTTTCAAGTTTTGTTTCTGATTTTTCCACGTTATTCATATTGCTTTGGGTTGATGTAGCAAATGAACTTTCCTTGAAAGATCTTTTGTTAGCCTCCCTTTAATTAGTATCCACCTTTTTTCAATTAATTTCTGTGACAATTTAGATTCATGATGGCAATTTGATATTTCAATGATTGATTAATAAAAGTTACCAGATAAAATCTAAAAAACAGTACTGAAATCTTATTAAGATATCAAATGGAAGGACTTTCGAAGTTATAATCTCCTAGTTTTACTGATTAAAGCAACTTAACAATTGATTGAACTGAAAACAATGAGATTTCATTATTGTGTTTGAAGATGAACAGATGAAAATTGAAATTATGGTTTAACTGAAAACTGTAGAAATCTCGTTAATTAACTTTACTGGCAAATATTAATAATAAATGACTAATAATTTTCCCAAGTCTCAAAAAAATCTTAACCATTTAGTTTGTTTTTGAAACATGATTTTTCATCTTTTATTGCAAGTTTGATTGAAGAATGAATTTGCTTTGAATTTGATACTTTCAATACATTGGATAAAACAATGAATTTGATTTGATTAGTGAATGGATACGTCAGATAAATTGGATAAAACGTAGAAAATATATGATTTTTTTTGGCTTTTTTACATGATGAAATTTCCATAAAATTTCCTAACCTTTTGGTTTTCAAAAAAAAGTTTTTTAAAATTTGTTTCCACAATAAAAGTGGATGTGCAGTCTGCAGCTGGGTATTTGATGAAAAATTTTAACGTATTTTTTATTCTAGCGTCGAGCAACGTTCAACCTCTTTTGCCTCAGGAGACTTTGATCTTTTGTTCTAAGTCTTGAATACGTCTCTCGAACTCTTACGAAAATTCGCGTTTAAAATTGGTAAAGGCTCAAAACAGCCAAGTTCAATACAGCGGCTGTATTACAGCCAAGCCAGCTGTTTGATATTATCAATTGGTTGTGCGCGACTTTTTTGTCCTAGCGAAAGCCAATATGCCATCGTCAATTTTGCCATAAAATTGTCCACTTGCACTTGATTGCAAATTACTAGGTATTGCAATTTCGTCGATTGTATTTGGTAGAGGAGGAATTTTCGATAAGAAGCAGTTGAAAAGCAGCGTTTAAACAATTCAGATAGGAGTAAAACAAGTTTGATAATACTTCAAGCACTTACCACAGACCAATCAATAAAATTGCCACTATCGGTATATTTTTGGGTGTTTTATACAGGGCTATTCAGCTACTTAGTAAGATGTTGAACGCCAATAACTTTGCAACCAGACATACCTTCGACCTAAGAATCGAATATAGTGAGTTTGGGGGACATTCATTTTTTATGTTTCAAGGACAAGGTCATTCAAGGTCATTTTTCGGAAATCGCTGCTGTTCATGTTAGAGTTCATTCTGAGGTCCGAACATCATTTAGGAAGACAAAAAATCTTCCTGATCAAGTTGCAACGATCTGTGATGAACGGTGCTTGAGTTATTGACATTTGAGTTTCAAAACTTCGTTAATTTAAAATTTTTATTTTTATGAAAATTCGCATTTTTCATGCTCATGCGGCGTAATCAAAACCTAAATTCATTTTCCACTACTTTCTCACGATCCAGGTTACTGCGCACAGCTTCAACAGCGCTCTAAACGAATGGGGTTAAGCAAGTTTATTAAACAAGGTCTAATTGAATTTTTACAGTAAAAGATGCATTCTTTTTGCCAATTAGTTCCAATTTAGTCCCAATGAGCATGAAAAACGCGATTTTCATAAAAATAAAAATTTTAAATTAACGAAGTTTTGAAACTCAAATGTCAATAACTCAAGCACCGTTCATCACAGATCGTTGCAACTTGATCAAGAAGATTTTTTGTCTTCCTAAATGATGTTCGGACCTCAGAATGAACTCTAACATGAACAGCAGCGATTTCCGAAAAATGACCTTGAATGACCTTGTCCTTGAAACATAAAAAATGAATGTCCCCCAAACTCACTATATTCGATTCTTAGGTCGAAGGTATGTCTGGTTGCAAAGTTATTGGCGTTCAACATCTTACTAAGTAGCTGAATAGCCCTGTATTTATTCTCATACATCAACTCATCATGCCTGATTGGTTGATGAAGAGGCGAATCATGGTTATCCTTTCCATAGATTAAACCATTAGTAGCATGGAGATATTGGGTAACGTTTTTAGGAGGAGATATCTCACAACCCTGAGATAATAAACATGAGGTAGGGCTCAACTGATTGGAAGGTGAAGAATTTGCTTAAGATGTATCATTGTTTGAGAAAGTTGAGTCTTTTGTGGTTCCTCTTCGAGCAAGATCAAAAACTTTTGAATGACCTGTGGCCTTCAATGTCCACCATTTCACCATGAGTTAAGTAATAAGGAGAGAAACATTGCATGAACCTGAAGGCTGTTTATCCTTGCGGTGAAATGTATTTTACATTATTCAAGTAGTGATACAAGTTGATTTAACCAAAAGGAAGAGTCGTGCATCATCTCGCACGTCAATATTGATATCAACAATGCCATGAGGCCATTTTTTGATGTCATCTATAATGAATAAATTTTGCATTATTTCTCAGTTGAAAGTTATTTCAATGAAAACTCACCTCTTTTATTATTGAAATCAAGCATCTACAGGTTTTTGCATAAAGTAGCAAAAGGCGGAGAACGACATTCCTTGCAATATTTTTTCAACTTTGTCGCCATTGTTGATCAGCTAATTTTTTAGGCATCGTAATTACGATAAGATTTATCTCGAGACAACTTTAAACTTTGCTTCATTCTTGAGCCATTATTCATTTTGACGGAATTTGGCGAGTTCAATTCAGAGTCACCCTAGAAACAAAAAAAAAGATAAATTAAAGGATAGGTTAATTTAAAGATATCAACAAAAAGTAAACTAGGTTTAACAGAGAGGTTGAATCAGGTTGGATTAGTATAAACAGATTATCATTAGTTAAATTGATTACTAATTGGCATTCTACCTACCTCATAATATTTAAACATTTTTGGCTTTAAACAACAGTCCGTATATTGATGTGAAGGTAAAGATGACTGGGGTGAAGAAGCAGAGTCCAATCCATGTTTACTGGTCATTCTGGTGATATTTGTAAATAAAATCAAAACACACAATCACAAATGTAAAATATCAATGAGGAGAAAGAAGATGAAGCTAATAGTTCTGTTTGACAACTAATCTTCGGCTAAACAAATGTTTCATGTTTCATTTTACTGTAATATTGTTAGATCTTAAACAAGATTAAAATTAATTGTGTGAAAAATTCAGTTACTTTTTTTTCACTGACTTTAACCGAGATTAATCGAGAATCTTGGTTGTGATATTGATGTGTCATGAATCATGATTCATAAATGTCATAATGATAATAGAGATAACCAATCCACTGGTAACCAGTGACTGGTTACTGGTTGTTGAGTAACAAAAAAAACAAATTGAACCTCACTTTCACATGATGCAAAAACAGTTGATTAATGATGAGTTTGGGTTCAAATTACCCTTTCTTATTTTTAACCAGATTTAGCTTTGTAAAACTGTAAATGTAAAATTGTAAATGTAAAACTGATGAATAAACAAAGATACATCAATTGGCTTTTCTTATGGGAAAATATTAATTAATTAATTAATCAATTAATAATTAGCAAGTCCTTGACTACACACTAAGGTGCGATTTAAAAAGTTTGCAACCAAACGGTTATTTAACCATAGCTCCTCATAGACTAGACACTTTGGCACAATTTTTAGACTACACGATTAGTTGAAATATAAGGATCATTGCGATATATTTTTTGCATGTATTGTAGTGCATATTTAGTAGTAAATCAGAGAATGAACTTTAAACATTTGATAAATTTAAATTGATTTCATGACTAGTCCCTGATCAGTGTTGTAAAACTCTGGTGGCTTTAGAAATTTCATAATTCAGTATTTGTAGGATTTAGTCCTTGACTACACAGTAGTGCACCTTTTTCAGCTTCAGGACTGACTATCGTCAAGTTGAGAAATCCATCCGGTTAATGTATCCATGACATCAAGATTAACTGACCATGGAATATGATTTAGACAAAATATCATAATAATTTAAATCTTAAAATTGATGATTGAATTTTATTCTATTCTTACCTTTTCTTAATTTAGCCATTGTAGTGTTCACATCTAATAGTGGACAAAACTCTCAAGTTAAAATCTGCATAATGATTTTTTTATTGGTTAAAGGTGAACGGTATATGAGTTTGATTTATCATCATAGATAAACTATGGTTGAGTTTGATTTGATGAGTTAGGTACATGTATTACCAAGGAATAGGTTTCCAAAACTTAATAAGACTGAAGAAAATGCAGTTGTAATGGATGTCAATTAAGGAAGTCAAGGGGTGTTTAAATTTGCACTTTTTCTAGAATTGGTCCGCTGTATCTCGTATTATTATTTTCCTCACAATTTAACCTGTTGAATGTCTTTCGTCAAATAACTGTATCAATTGTTGTATCAAATCGTAATAGTTCAAGTTACTTGCTGGCTCCCAAGCTCGGTTATCACTCACGCTATAATCCTTGCCATTTCAAATAATACTCAACTTCTCCTTTTCTGATTCTTTTATCAAAAATCTTTTCAACTGTTATACTCTTCGTTAGAGATAGCCGAGAGATAGAGATAGCCATTTTTTTCAAAACACAGATGAAAGTGAGGCACCGGTGCCGCTGGTTGAAAGAGTTGATAAAGATGGTTCCATTTTATCACATTCGAGGTGAGATGGGAAGACGGTTGATGGAGAAGTTGATGAGGATCATGAATCATGATCAAATTGGCTGTGGTTGAAATTGATTCATTGTCATTTTTAGCGGCTAACTGGTCAAATTGATTGGTCGCATCTTTAAGTTTTTGCATAACTCTTGCTTTAAACGTTGCTGCTCCATGAAATTTGTTGCAACTTTTTATAAATCTAACAGATTTTTCAAATATTGATTTTGAATTCTTTATATCGATGATGATATAAAAGTGATTCCAATGTAGGTGAAGATGATGATGATTCTTTGAGAGACTAGTATAGCTTGTTAAATAGACACAGACTAAAGATGAATTTTAAAGCTAGTTTCAACTATTACATTAGGATAATAATATTCTGTGTCCATTCTTGCTAATCCATCCAACAGATTATACTTTCTTCAAACTAAAAACTTGTTAGTCAAACCAATGCAGTCAAACCGAGATCACCAGCACAATTGATTATTTTCTGCATCTCTTCAGGATTTTCTTTAATCCCAAGTTTTTCAAAATACATGAATTCAACTATGGCTTTGAGATGAGTATATTTCATTTTAAAAATAGTAATGATTGTCTGAAAATTAGTTTGATCTTTGAATAAATCCTTGAAGTGTGAGGAATGAAGATCAAGCACATGACGGTGACACTTAATAGTGTTACCCTCGCACATGAGAGTTATTTCACAATTCGTTTGATTATTGAAGCTGTATTGGAGACTACGAAGTAGACTCGCCTCTATATTCATGTTGGTTATGAACATGATGATGAGTTGATGGAACAACGTTAACAATGTTAACAATCACTGACAAAAATTAAACTTAAAGGTTTAAGTCTGATGATGCAGAATGATGATTTACAGAAACAATTAAGCAACAGTTTCTATCAGACTGTCATGTTGCTCTGGTTAAAGATTCAAAGATAAGATAAAAGTGTTAAGTAACTTGAACCCAGATTGATTAGTAAACATTAAACAGTAAAGGGTCCAGACTGTTTGAAGAAATTAAGGTTAAAATTGTATCTACAGGGCATTTCAGCTAATTTTCCTGTTGTAAATTGGCTATATCTTCGCCCCTGAGTGACCTAGAGGTTATATATTTTGTTTATGGAAATTTAGGCGATACTCAATTGTCATATTTCAAGGTCAAGGTCGTTCAAGGTCATTGCGTTATTTGACCTCTAACTGATGTTTGGAGGTCATTTTCTAAGAGTGCAAAAATTTTCAGATTGGTTGATGCTAGTGACATGTCCATAATTTATACTGGTCAAAAGATATGAGTGTTTACACATTATTGTGTTGATCAATTGGTTTCAAGAAAAATGCATTTATCTTTTCAACGGTGTAAGATACTAACTCGTAGTAAACATCAACCAATCTGAAAATTTTTGCACTCTTAGAAAATGATCTCCAAACATCAGTTGGAGGTTAAATAACGCAATGACCTTGAATGACCTTGCCCTTGAAATATGACAATTGAGTATCGCTGAAATTTTCATGAACAAAATCTCTAGCCTCAAAGTCACTCTAGTGCAGAGTAATAGCCGTTTTACAACAGGAAAATTAGCTGAAATGCCCTGTACTAAACGTTAGATGATTGATTATCCCATTAATAGACGGCGCTTATGTATTTACATTAATTTACCCTTTCACGCAGGTCTTTTCAATACGGAAATATTATTGTTGTTCACTTCTGACCAAAGAGTAACGAAGTCTACTCCTCCACTCTATACTTGTGACCCTTGGACATCCATTTCAACTTTAAACTTTCACCAATTATCATCATTTTCCATTTTAACTTTATATTTGTTTCTCATTTGTTTCTAAAGATTATCAATTAGTAATAGCTCCAAATCTGGATTTTCACTTTCACTTTCAAAACTGCATTTTCATGAGTTTCTCATTTGTTTCTCAGCATTTACATCCTAGTCCAAACTTTGCATCAGTTATCATGTTTTGTTCCATCACATTAATTGTTAAATCTGTAAGTATTCATACTTTTGTTATTCAAAAGTTTCTCATTTCATCATTTTTTGTTTTTCTTCATTATCAATTGTTCAATTTTTGCAAATATATTCGTATTTTGTTTTTCCTCATTTTTTAATGTATTTTAGTGTCTGTAATTACAATTCATATCATCAATTAATGTGTAATGATAATTGATTGAATCTTATCATTTACACTCGATGCGATCTCACTTTATTGCGTATAAAAATTGCTGAAATTGAAGCTGGTCAAGTTAATATTTGGATGGAGGATATAATGTTATGTGATTATGCTGATGATGATGAAGTACAATGCGTTAAAATTGTCAAAAAACCCAATATAACTAATCTTAATGATTATGCTGATGTTGATGATGATGAAATACAATGCACTAAAACTATCCTATGGATTAAGGAGAATGATCCTGAAAGAATTAAACCGAATGCCGTTCGAAAACGAGCCAGAACTTCCACAAAACCCAAACACATAATTGATCTTAATGAAGATTGTTTGATTTAAATTTTCAGCTACATTTATGATTCACAGGAATTAAACAGCTTGTGTTCAAGTAAGTAATCATGATTGTAAATTTTCAAATTTTTTAATAAATTTTCACTTTCTATTTTCATTTGGAGAGTTTTGAAAGGTATGGAAACCTGTCGAGTATCTAATCAATTTCGGTAAGTTTAAAAATTCTTAATATATTTTAATATTAGCAACTGTTGGACAACTTTTTTGCAGAAACTGAAAGATTAAATTCAAAAGATTTATTTTACGATCACTCAAATTCAAATTCCATTCTTTGATTTCATTTACTTTCATTGTTCTTTTCAGATTCTGTCTGTAAAAACCATAAACCAAAACTATCAAAGGATACTTTCTATTTTCACAGTTGTGATCAATTGATTCAACTCAATTTATTTCCAAACATTGAGGTAAAATATTATATTTTTATTATATTATTTTTTTTGTATATTATGTTATTATATTTATACATTATTGTATATTGTATATAAAATGTGTATAATAATTATTTTATTATATAATCTAACAGGTTTTAGACTTACGTGGACTTACGTATAAAATATTGAATGAAAACGATATTTTACAGTTTGTGAGCAAAGCTAATAAATTAAAAGATTTAATTCAAGAAGGATTTTATTTCTCTGAAGAAATAATGAAACAATGTAAAACCTGGAGATGCTTGCCACTACCGGTCTGCATGTAGGTCCAGATCTGTTGGAATATGTCCGTCTCTGTAAATTAAAGCAACTTAAAATTCATGGTTATCGACTTGATGATTTAATCCGTAATAACAGATATCTTTATAAGCTGAAGAGACTCAACATCTCAGGTAAGTTTCACTTTGTGACTCACGTTTATTATTTGATTTTGATTTTAAGAATTGTATTTTATTGATTCCATAAATAGGTAGATCAGTGGGCATGTATAATGAGCCCATACTCATGAAGCTTAAAATTCTTAAGATGAGTCTCAGAGTATGGTTGTGATGAATTTTATGGATTGAATTTCTGAACTTTTGTCCTGCATTGGAAAGTGCCTATCTGTTGATAAAATCAAATAAGCATATTGTCTCTGGGTCAACCGTTAATTACAATATGCGTGATCTTGTGCTCATCTATTGCCGTGTAAGTATAAAATTTTGTTTTTGTTACAGAAAAAGAGTCAATAATAAATCTGTATCTCATTTTACACAGAATCAAGCAAATGGATCTGAATGTAAATAAGAATGGAGCTCATTGAGGACTCTACTTGTGAGATATCCAAATCTAAAACATTTGCCTTTACGAGAAAACTCTAGAATCTTTGATACTCACGTTGAAGAACTGGTCGAATTATTGCCAAATTTAGAGTCGACTTCAGAGCATCAGATGGGATAACTGTTGAGTCTCTCAACTTTGTCCAGAAGTTTGCTGTTATGCGAATTCAGCACTTCACTAAAATTCACTTGTATTGCAATGAAAATGCAAAACAAATGAAATTGGATCTACCTCATTTATCCTATGATCCAGATTGTATAGTTAAAGAGTTTGATTTCATGCGACACGATTTCATGATTGATTCTATTCTTTGTTGTTCAAAGTTCTACTTCTTTACTATTACTTGTTACTTATTGAATGCCTCCTCAACATTAATTAGATGATGATGCCAATGGTAGTACCGAATCATCATTTAGTACAATCATTTAGTAAATCGGAATGCATCCAAAACTATTGTCTTGAACTTGTCATCAGTTGTACATTAACAGTTTTACTAACAAGCTACAAGGGCGACCTGTTAATAGAGGGCACATTTTTGAAGCTTAATTGCAATATGATTAAATTATTTAATCTAACTTTTTCAAGAAAATTAGAATAGATACAAGTTTAAAAGTTAATATTTTTCATTTGATGCGTGAAAATATTCCTTTTCTAATACTGAATAATCTGAGTTTTTGCTTGAGTCTGGAAAAAAACTTTTGCCAAAAGTTTGGATTAATTGGTTAAAATTTCTTTAAATTAATCCAAATTTTTGCTCAATTTGACCTTTTTCAATGCTAATTTTTATAACGAGGCCAAAACTTTTCAATCGACCTTTCTTGCAGCTAAATAAATGTAAAATAGTCATGTCTCAATTATTTCTCTATGTGTTTTTATGGATGGATTTGGCAAACTGTATTTAAAAGGAGCTCATTAAAAGTCCATTTGAGAAAGAATGCCATATTTAATTACAATTAATTATGTATCAAAATTAAAGAGCATAGTTTTGCAATTCAAATGATGCAAATCTATAACATGCTTAACTAGCTGAAAATTTTAAAACTTCCAAGAGGCATTCAATGACGAAATAAGGAATTAAAATGTGTCTTAAACGCCTAGTGTAAATCTGGTCAAAGATAAGAAAGGGTAATTTTAACCAAAAAGCAAAGGAGAAGAAGAGGCTTCTCTCAATACAATTTTTTAATTGTTAAAAAGCGAATTTATTGGGGCTAGTGTTGTATGTTGTTCTTGTACATCAACGCCAGGAACAATTGTTCTTTGTGTTCTGTTCCGATTTTTTGGAACTAGGAACAACCTAAGGAACAGAACAAAGGTGACGCAATAAAATGTTAAATGAGTGCCTAAAGTAATCCATTAACATCAAAGAGATTCAAGTCAAACCCTAAAAATTTACACCAAAATTGTTCTCAGTTTTAGTGTTTTGTTTTGATTTGTAGTGAAGAAATTGTTCTTCTATTAGTTCTTCTTTCTTTCTTCCTTCCTTTCTTTTTTCCTCAGTTTTTTCAATTAGGCGAACCTGGGAAAAAAAGTCTTCCTTTACTTTTAAACTTGAACCCAAACTCATCATTAATCAACGGTTTTTGCATCATGTAAAAGTAAGGTTCAGTCTGTTTTTTTTGTTTCTTGTGTTTAAATGTTATTAAAAAAACTTTCAAATGATTGTTTGCTCATCATTTTATGTTTTTTGGTTCTATAAATGAGCTAAATAACTTTGTTTATTATTGTTTTCGCCTTCTGAACCTTCGACATCCATTTTAACTTTACATTTGTTTCTCATTTGTTTCTCATCATTTACATCCTAGTCCAACTTTGCATCAGTTATCATCAGTTATCATTAATTTCATGAACCATTCAATTGTTTGGGCTTCCTTGTGGTAGTCGTCTGTGTCTCTCAACTTGAGTTTGATTTTTAACATTTGCGTTATCCCATCAACTCATCATCATATGTAAGTATGCTACTCAAAGTTTATCATTTCCTCAGTTTTAACATGTCGACGCAATCTATACCGGTACATACATACAATATATAAAGTCAAAACATGAAATTTTTTCGTAAATTTAAATTAGAAGGATATGTAAAACCATTTTTGGATTAAAGAGTTAGGTAAAAAATATGTTGCCTCAACTGTTGAACTAAATTTTATTTTGTTTTTTCTCATTGACATTGGTTTTTCATCAATAATTTGAGTTTTTAAATGTGGATTGGATTTTTTGTATTCAGTGAAAAGAATCTAAGAAAAGTATTTACGATCAGTCATGATCGGGGGCTCAGATTGTTAAGTTAACATCAAAATGAATTATTTTCCACTGATTAGTACTTTCTTTATACAAATAATTTTTGCTTCGGCAGAATTAAGTTCAGAAAGACCCAAGTGTGAAGAGATTACTGTACCTATGTGTAGAGGTATTGGTTATAATATGACCTCTATGCCCAATCAATTTCATCATGAAAAACAAGATGAAGCTGGAATGGAAGCTCATCAATTCCGCTTGTGGAAATTTCTTGTTCGGATGATCTGAAACTTTTACTTTGTTCCATGTATACTCCGATTTGTATGGAAGATTATCCGTGTAGACTACCTGTTCAGTCTGTGAAAGAGCACATGCAGGTTGTGCCGTAATTATGTTAACATATGGCTTTCCATGGCCTGAATCGATGGATTGTAATAATTTTCCAGTTTATCCAGGAGCTCCTGAACAACTTTGTATGGATCAGAAAAATGGTGAAACACCTGGACCCGTAAAGCCACTTAAACCGTCAAATCTATCACCACTCTAGCCGTCAACAACAGCATCTTATTACCCGTTATCAACTTTAGCAACTTCAACACTTAACTCTATTCCCAATAATTCAGTCAAAAATTCTGCTTCACCTGGAGCGCGATAATGCCCTTGTAACTGTAGGCCGCCAATTATTCCGATTAATATTCAAAACGATTATTACAAAAACATCAACAATGGAGGAATTATTGACTGTGCTCGACCCTGTCAGACGAACTTATTTTTCTCCAAACAAGAACAATCAAAATCATCCTTGGTTATCACCATAATAGCACTTTGCAGTAGTGATGTAAAAATATTATTGTTTGAGCAATAATATTCGATATTTCTCTCTCGATATTTATCGATATTTTCTACAATATATCGAATATTCAAATTAGCTGAACTTTTGCTATTAAATGTTCATTAATGCCCAAATTCAAACTTCTCGGAAGTGAGATTAAAGTGTTACTTTTTTCTGCTCATTTTCAGACCTTTAACTTGTCATTTTTTTGTATTGATTTTCTAGAAATTTCATTCAATAAATAAAGCTAACCATGAATCTCAAGCTTTTTACTATGAAAATATTGTAAAAGTAGCGATATTTTGTCGATATTAGATATTATTGCTAAATATTGCAATATATTCGATATTCCTTGCAATAATATTGGGCTCTTCGATAAATATTTTTTTTCAATATCGTACACCACTTTTTTGCAGTTTGTTTGGCTCTCTCATGGTTATCTTCACATATCTCACTGATTGTGAACGCTTTTGTTATCCTGAGCGATCGATAATCTTTCTGCCAACCAGTTATCTTATGCTGCAGTTGGTTTTCTCGCTCCCAAATTTTTCGATTCAATAGCAATTACGTGTGATTCAAATAAACTACTGTATGCAGGCTTCGGGACGCCTACAAGCGAATGTACCATTGTCTTTGCCCTGATCTTCTTTTTCAGTATGCCCGCCTCTTTTTGGTGGATCATTTTAACTTTTTCCTGGTTTCTTTCTGCCAGTCTTAAGTGGACTGCCATAAATGATTACTCAGTATATTTCCATATGATTGCGTGGGGCATTCCTTTCATCAAAACATTTCTGGTCATTTTTATGCAAGCTATCGATGGTGAACCATTGGCCGGTATCAGTTTTGTTGGTAATCTAAATTTTCATCTTCTTATGCGCTTCATCATAGTCACTCTTTGTAGGACAGTCCTTCAAAATCTCCAATAAATATGGTCCTATTCAAAAAAATCCAATTCTAAAATATCCAAACTGAAAATGTCCAAAACAAAAACAATGAGTTAATCCACATTACACTCGAAGATAAGTGCCTTGTCTTATCATGGGAGTTGATGATGTTGAATGCTGCTAGTCCTAGTGACATCCCGCCATGTAACTGCCAATAATATTTAAATTTTTCATGTAAAATATTTTGGAAATTGGTTTAAACTTCTTTCTTTTTATGTTTCCATGTTTTCAGGTAGAATCCTTTGTAGTTATCTTATGGTCGGAATCTTTTTCCTTTTGGCTGGTCTCATCTCTATTGTGCGAATTCGTAGAGCAATAAGTCAACAAATTCGTCATTTTACTGATAAATTTGGACTGGATAAATTAATGGTTCGAATAATTATCTTCTCCATTTTACATATTGTACCAATGGTCTCAGTAATCATTTGTAATTATTACCAATACTCATACGGCCATGTCTGGGAAACTCATTATATAATACTTGTGCATGTAATCCATCTCGTATTGAAACACCTTATGTCACCATTTATCTGTTCAAATATATAATGCTTCTGGTTCCAGGGATATCCAATTTCTTCTGGATATTATCAGCTAAAACTCACAGATCCTGGTGGCATTGTATATCTCGTACACTTTGCTGCTGTTGGCATAATACTGCAAGGTAATTAATGACAAATCACTCTTAATCCAAATTTCAGGACAAAAGCCATAAAAAATGATGAATCGCAGATTAATAGAGAAAAAGCAATCAAACAAAGTTGATACGATCCACTCTCCATTACCTCTTGATATTCTCGATCAAGATACTTACAAGGGAAGGTGCCTAAGTGGTACGGTTCGATTTCGGAAATTTTATGATCAATCGATAGAAATGCGTGAAAAACAGATGTGGTGAAAGTTTAGCGCGTGTCAGGGATTCCGCTGGAAGTCCCTTTCTAGGTATAAGTCTAATCTTACTCATTTAACGACGATGTATAGGAGGGTAACATGGACGCTTGATGTATAGGTAAATTACGATCTCAA